AGCAGGACCAACGACACCAATCCCCGTCGACGAAGCACCACCAACACCCGCACAGCAGCTGAACCCGACTCAACGAGAAGTCCACAGAAGCGCACACTTCGTCGCCAGCTTCTACTCCAACTCCGACGCGTATCAACGCTCACCCGGACACCGCGCTCCTGAAGACATCTGGCACGCACGCACAGGACATCCAAGCAACACAGTGTTAAATAACACAATTCGAGCAGGAGTTCTAGACAAGGACTCGCTACTACTACCCGACGGCAGAGAACTTCAACGTGCACGAGGAACTTGCCTTATCTGCCCCGAAGCCGACTTACCCCATCGACCGTTTTCTTCTCACCACAACCCAAGCGCACCTACATACGCACCACTCGAGAAGGTGTACAGCGACATCCTCTACAATGGCAAACCAGGACAAGTCACCTACAATTATACGATTACCTTCATCGACGCCGCCACTCGATATGTCTGGCATCTAAACCTACCAAGCCGCTACATGGCACTCGCAGCGTTCGCCGCCTGGCTACCAGTAGCAGAACGAGAGTGGGGAGCACAGCTGAAAAGCTTCCAGTCAGACAGAGGAGGAGAATACACCTCTCAGCGCTTCAAGCAGTACCTGGCGGAAAGAGGAATCAAGCAACTCCTCTCCCTTCCCTACGCCCATCAGCAGCAAGGTGTCGCAGAAAGAATGAACAGGACTCTGCAGAACAGCATGCGCAAACTGCTACGTGGCATGCGGCTACCCAACCACCAGTGGCCTGCAGCAATGGACCATGCTGTCATGCTGCACAACTTGCTGTCGTCGTCGTCACTCCCGAACAACGCATCACCGCACCTGCTGTGGACAGGGAAGCAGGGCAGCACAAAAATGTTACGAGTTTTCGGGTGCATGGTACAGTACCGACCCCCAGAAGCACGAGCGGGAAGATTTTTACAACGGGCACAGTGGGGACTACACCTCGGCATCGAGAAAAATTACAACGCGTGGAAAATCTTCGACGTCCACTCAAAGGAAACAGTAGCAGCACGTGATGTGATCTTCTACGAGCGACTCACCCTTCAAACGTACCTCGCCAACTTGCACGAGAATCAAAACCCCACAGGTGGCTTTCGCGGTGACCGAGCCTTCGCCTCAGCAGCGGACGAAGCAAACTGGGATGAACAGAACGTCGACAACGCATCGGAAGAAGCCGGACCTCTCCCGTTCTGCTCCGTCAACGTGCCCATGGACGAAGAAAATCCTCGCGACAGTGCCAACGCCGAAGTCTTCTATCACTTTGCCGACAACGGTTACGTAACACCTGCGACAGTCAACACAAATGAAGCAGAACGGATAGGGCCAAATTTCATACCCGATCCAGAAGCGGGAGACGAAGCAGCTTATCCCGAGGATCCAACACTCCCCCGATACTCACAGACTGGGCTGCAAATCCTCGGCCTCGTCACCGCAGTGCACGGCAACGCGCTTCCTAAGGAGCCTGCGACGATTCAGCAGGCTCTGGGGGGGGAACACAGGGAGAAATGGCGTGAAGCCATGGACAGAGAACTAAAGGCATTGGAGGAACGCAACACCTGGAAGGTCGTTCCCGCAAGCGTGGCAAGGAACAAGACTATTCTCACCGGGAAATGGGTCTTCCGCATCAAAACGAAAGCAGACGGCACGATCGAGAAATTCAAAGCACGCTGGGTCGTGCGTGGATTCGATCAGGAGCAAAGACGAGACTTCACCGAGACATTCGCCCCAGTCAGTCGACATACCTCTCTCCGAATCCTTCTCGCCGTCGCCGCCATGAAGAAGAAGAAGCTGCGACAAATTGATGTCGCCAATGCATTCCTCTACGCACCCGTCGACGCCGAAATCTTCGTCGAACTCCCACACGGTACCCACGGAAACCCCAATCAGATCTGTCAACTACTGAAATCTCTCTACGGAATCAAACAAGCACCGCGGCTGTGGCAACAGCACCTACACACCCGCCTTACTCGCATCGGATTTCGTCAACTACCTCACGACCAAGGGATGTACCGACTCACCAAAGACGCAGACTACATCCTGCTGATAGTCTATGTTGACGACTTGCTCTACATCGGCTCCACCGACGACGTCACCACCTGGTTCGAAGGGGAGCTGCAGAAGGACCTCACGCTCACGGTCTCTTCTACCGTCACGCAGTACCTTGGGCTCAACATCCGCGAAGAAGAAAATGCGATCTATCTAAGCGCCGAGAAATACGCCGACACGATCGCCAAGCGTTTTTCGCTCACACGTACCGCTATCGCCACGCCATACCGCTACACGGCAGGAGATGACAAAGGAAATTCCGCTCCACTCAAAGCTGCCGAAATACGAGACTACCAGAGGAAACTGGGCTGCCTCCTCTTCGCAGCCGTCACCTGTCGCCCGGATCTATCCTACTCCGCAAGCCAACTCGCTACCTACCTCAAGAAACCCGAAGCAGAGCACCTGGCGGAGCTCGATCGCGCACTGCACTATTTCGTGAGCACGCCGACGATCGGCCTGACTTACTACAAGAACGAAGCTACGTCAACGAAACTAATCGGCTACGTCGATGCCGACCATGCCGGCGATTCAGATAACAGGCGCTCTCGCACTGGCTATGTCTATCGTCTAGAGCCTATCGGACCTATCTCCTGGCAGTCGAGTAAGCAGGAACTAATCGCTCTCTCCTCAGCTGAAGCAGAATATATCGCCCTTTGCTCAGCCACCAAGGAAGGACTCTACCTTCGCGAGCTGCTGGAAGAAGCAAAGTTAGCCGAGTTACCCAACTTCACCTTGTTCTGCGACAACCAATCCGCAATTCGCATCGCCAACAAGAGCGAATTCGCGAACAGAACGAAGCATATCGCCCTACGATACTTCTTCGTGAAAGACGAAATCGAGAAAGGGAAACTCGATCTATCCTACTGTCCCACGTCCGAGATGGCAGCCGACTACTTGATCAAGAAACGTGGAAAACAGAAGTTCGAGTACTGCATGCTGCTGACTGGACAAAGCCACGTCACCATCAGCGACACTCCAGAAGCGAAGGGGAGTGTTGGGAACGAATAAGTTAAGCGCCTCTGTCGTGTCGAAACTCAGGACACAAAGCGAAGAAGTCCAAATCGAAGCATCGCGAGTCAACCCTCGGAGGTTAGGGTAACCGCCTGGAGGTTACGCGAAGGTCAAAGGTCAGCGACCTTTGACTTGACCAATACAGCGCGACAGCAAGGACACACAACTGACTCGACATTGAGCAGTTGCCCGAGTCGCACTGTATCGAATCGCAACAGCAAGGTAGTTTAATTACATCTATTCGTATTCCTTGTACTCTTATATAAAGCTTTGTATTTGCCTGTTTTAATTAACTTACTTTGCCCTCACATACCAGCGCAAGGTGGTTCAAGGTTTTCTTATTCAACGCTTCCGTTATTACATCATCCTACTCAAACTTTAACTCTACAAAGATCCTAGGGCACCTCAACCCAACAAATTGATTGTTCTGCCCATTACCATTTGCGTTTACATTTTCTCAGAGGTATTTTCTGCTAGCATACTAGAGAAAGCACTGGATTTGTTTTTTCTCAAATCCTCGGGTGCTCCAAACTCAATGAGTTGCCCAAGTTCCAAGACAAGAACCTGAAAAGAGGGGATTGATTGTGAATAAACCAGAATATATAAGTTTTTTAGCAGGTAAGACGTGTGCACCAAGGGAGGACACGCGTAAGGTAGGTGTGGGGTGTGCGTGCGTAGGGTGTTGGCATGAAGGGTGTGCGCACATGCACTCACAGACGTTGGCATGAAGGGTGTGCGCACATGCACTCACAGACGTTGGCATGAAGGGTGTGCGCACATGCACTCACAGACGTTGGCATGAAGGGTGTGCGCACATGCACTCACAGACGTTGGCATGAAGGGTGTGCGCACATGCACTCACAGACATTGGCATGAAGGGTGTGCGCACATGCACTCACAGACATTGGCATGAAGGGTGTGCGCGCACACATCACATGGACGTGAGCAGGAGGCACACACAACGCTCTTCTGACTTGCCTGGTCGTAATCAAGAACGGTCGAGAGGCGGTGTGCGATGGTGATGACGGTGCTATCCTTAAATGACTCCCGTAGAATGGCTTTAATTACTGCATCGCTCTCCCCATCCATGCTCGCTGTCGCTTCATCCATCAGCAACACGCGTGTCGATGCAAGCAAAGCTCTGCATAGAAATCAAATACCATCAGAAAGCAAGAGAGAGAGAAAAAAACTGAATAAAGACTGTAACCAATAATAAGGGCGCGTCAGATCCGTTACAAAGTGATTTGGCCGGAATTGGTCGACAATTTGGTCGACTATATCTTTCGCCAAAGTCGACAACATGGTCGACTTCAATAATGACCAATATCCGGCCACATTTACAGGGCCGAAAAATCTGACACATTTGGTGGCCGATTTGATGGCCGCTTTGCAAATGTGTCAGATTTGCAGTTCGCCAGGGTCGCCGGATTGTGCGACGGAATCGCAGATGCAGTACTTGTGTGACACGTTGCGTCGCACGAGTTGGCGACGTCGCGTAGTGACTGTAGCGATCTCAGGTCGACAAATTGGTCGACTTTCGAGTCGACTGCACGTCGGAACTTTGTCGAATGCTGAACCGGCCATCAATTTTTTTACAAATGGCCGGATTTGGCGAACTCTTCGAAAATCTTTGCGGATGTCGCGAATGTGTTACCTTCGCTAATTCCGGCCGGCCGGATTTTTCCGACAACGGATCTGACGCACCCTAACAGTATCACCGTGTAGGATTCTGAGACAGAGATAAGACCTGCACTGTGATTGACCCCAAAATCATTCCCTTGGCGGTACCGTGCGAGGCAGAGAAGCTGCTTCTGCCCCAGGGAGAGGTTCCCCCCGCCCTGAGCCAGGGCACCATCCAGCTCGCCCAGCAGCCCCGACACCAGCGGCTTTAGGCGCACCTTTGAGGCCCCTCAAAAGTATCCTCTTAGGCGTACCTTGCAAGGCAGAGCAGTTGCCTCTGCCCCAGGGACAGGTTTCCACCGCCCTGAGCCAGGGCACCATCCAGCCCGCCCAGCAGCCTCGCCACCAGCGGCTTTAGGCGCACTGTTGCCAGCACCGACCACAGGGCCTCGTCACTGTGCTGCCTGTGAATGGGGGAATGGGCGGTGGTGAGGTGGGGTGTGGGAGGGTGAATGGACTTTTGAGTTGACTAAACAGTTAGTCACCAGCGGCTTCAGGAGCACCGTTGCCAGCACCAACCACAGGGCCTCGTCACTGTGCTGCCTGTGATGGGGCATGGGGGGTGGTGAGGTGGGGTATGGAAGGGTGCAAGTGATTTCTGAGTTGACTGAAAAGCGGCCACCAGCGGCTTTACGCGCACCGTTGCCAGTACTGCCCTGGTCACAGGGACTCGTCATTGTGCAGGCTGTGATAGGGGAACGAGAGGGATAAAGCACAGGATGGGAGGGAATGGGGGGTGCGAAACGGGGTTTGGGAGGGTGACTGTGCACAAGAGGAGAGGCTTAACGCGTGAGGGAGAGTGACACATGTGAGGTGCGGCGAGAAGATGAACAGCTGGAAAAAATGCCACAAAAAGGCCACAAAAAGGGCACAAAGTTTCAATAGCGTCCTGTCGCTGATTCCTGATCAGAAAGAGGAGTCATACCCCATGGGATCAAGGTTGAATCGCAATGACTGGCTGAAAAGAACCGGCTCTTGAGGAATGGCCACCACCTGCAACAGGGGAGACCGATGAAAACGGGGACAAGGGATCGAGAAAGGGAATATTTACTTATAACTTCTTAGAGAGCTGCCAACAGATGGGGAAAAGGCTACTTGGCAGGATTGCGGGAGGTGTTTCAGTCAACTCAAGAATGTTACTTTGTTGCTTTCCTTATTTTGCAGGGTTGCGACTACATTTTGAGTTGAGTCAAGAAAGTTTCTTAATCTCTTACCTTACTTCGCAGAGTTGCGAGTGGCAGCGATGCAATGTCCACATCATCGATGCAGATGCTGCCTGAAGACGCTTCCACCAACCGCAGCAGATGGAGGAAATGCTACGTGTAATGTCACTGCTTACCTTACTGCGCAGGGTGGCGAGGGGAAGTGATGCAATGTCCAAATCATCAATGTGAATGGTCCCCGAAGACGATTCTACCAACCGCAGCAGCGCGAGCATGAGGGTCGACTTGCCTGCACCTGATAGGTTGAGACATGACAGACCACACATAACAGCCAGCCAGCACGGTCTCAAGTCTTTTTACAAAGGCACATGGGCACTTATTAGAGAAGCCTAGAAAGCATTCATATCAAGTATAATGGCAACCCCACCCCATGTATCCCCTCACCTGTTCGCCCCACCACGCCGCACTTCTCTCCCCCCGCGAGCCGAAAGCTCAAGCTGCGCAGCACTGCAAGCCCTGAACTGCCATACCGCACTGTCAGCTGCTCCACTCGCACTGCCCCTGCTGACGGCCACGAGGGGCAAACGGCGCTTCTGCTGTTCCTCTCCTCCTCCTCCTGGCTGTTTGGTGCTGCATCAGTGGCTTGGCAGTGGGTGAAGGGCGGATTGCGAGAGAATTGTGGCTTGATGATGTTGTCCATCTTAAAGGACAGGCGCCTGATTGCTGTTTGCAGTGCTCCGAACAGCAAGCTGGGTACGGAGGATTTGGTGGTGGGGCCTTCCTGCTGCTGCCGCTGCTGCTGCTGCTGCTGTTGTCGTTGCTGCTGCTGCAGCTGCTGCCACTTGTTGTGCGGCTGATGCTTGGATTTACTTTTGGCAGGTGTGGGCTCTTCACCTGGCAGCGTGGTGTACTCGAGTGTGCGCTCAACACTCGTGAACTGGCATGGACGGGGTGGGGTGTCAGAGGGGCAGGGATGAAACGATGCAGGTTATTGAGTTAGGAAAGTGCACGATGGACGTGCCCCCTGTGGTTCTTGCAACCATATCAAGGCATGAGAATGGGATGTGGAGATCGAGCGTGCATCATCATCAAGCTGCTTCAAATAAGAGGTAAGAGAGCACAAGGGTGTTTGCCTCTCTAGTATTCATCCTATGGGTGCATGAGAATGGGATGTGAAGCGACGCATAAGACTTAAGAGAGCACTAGAGTGTTTGCTTCTCTATCGGCACACGGTGCGGAAGGAGTGAATGGTGCGGAAGGAGTGAACGGTGCGGAAGGAGTGAACAGTGCAGCACACCATGAAAGAAGGAGCCGTGTTTTGAGTCGACTCAAAACACGAAGGAGTGAACAGTGCAGCACATCAGGAACGAAGGAGCACATTCCTGGTTCCCACCCCACCCCGCCACGGTGCTCCTTCGTTCATGGTGCACGTGCCTCACTTCCCTCACACCCATGAGCATCGCAACAATCGCTCGCACCCTGGTCCCTTGCCTCGACCATGTTCTCCAGCTCTGATTCTTTACATGTTCCCTCAAACTTTGGCTCATCACACACGGTCCCTGGCCATTACACACGGTCCCTGGCCATGACACACGGTCCCTGGCCATTACACACGGTCCCTGGCCATTACACACGGTCCCTGGCCATGACACACGGTCCCTGGCCATTACACACGGTCCCTGGCCATTACACACGGTCCCTTGCCACGACACACGGTCCCTGGCCATTACACACGGTCCCTGGCCATTACACACGGTCCCTGGCCATGACACACGGTCCCTGGCCATTACACACGGTCCCTGGCCATTACACACGGTCCCTGGCCATTACACACGGTCCCTGGCCATTACACACGGTCCCTGGCCATGACACACGGTCCCTGGCCATTACACACGGTCCCTGGCCATTACACACGGTCCCTTGCCATTACACACGGTCCCTTGCCGAAGCTCACACCCTGGTCCCTTGCCATTACACACGGTAGTTTACATGTTGGGAAGTTACTGGCTTTCAGAGAGGAATCAAAAGCTTCCTCGCCTCACCGTGTCCCTTCGCCTCGTCTCATCCTGTCCCTTCGCTTCACCCTCTCCCTCCCTTCGCTTCACCCTCTCCCTCCCTTCGCTTCACCCTCTCCCTCCCTTCGCATCACCCTCTCCCTCCCTTCGCTTCACCCTCTCCCTCCCTTCGATTCAACCTCTCCCTACCTTCGCTTCACCCTCTCCCTCCCTTCGCTTCACCCTCTCCCTCCCTTCGCTTCACCCTCTCCCTCCCTTCGCATCACCCTCTCCCTCCCTTCGCTTCACCCTCTCCCTCCCTTCGCTTCAACCTCTCCCTCCCTTCGATTCACCCTCTCCCTCCCTTCGCTTCACCCTCTCCCTCCCTTCGCTTCACCCTCTCCCTCCCTTCAATTCAACCTCTCCCTACCTTCGCTTCACCCTCTCCCTCCCTTCGCTTCACCCTCTCCCTCCCTTCGCTTCAACCTCTCCCTCCCTTCGATTCACCCTCTCCCTCCCTTCGCTTCACCCTCTCCCTCCCTTCGCTTCACCCTCTCCCTCCCTTCAATTCAACCTCTCCCTACCTTCGCTTCACCCTCTCCCTCCCTTCGCTTCACCCTCTCCCTCCCTTCGCTTCACCCTCTCCCTCCCTTCGCTTCACCCTCTCCCTCCCTTCGCTTCACCCTCTCCCTCCCTTCGCTTCACCCTCTCCCTCCTTTCGATTCAACCTCTCCCTACCTTCGCTTCACCCTCTCCCTCCCTTCTCTTCAACCTCTCCCTCCCTTCGCTTCAACATCTCCCTACCTTCGCTTCACCCTCTCCCTCCCCTTCGCTTCACCCTCTCCCTCCCTTCGCTTCACCCTCTCCCTCCCTTCGCTTCACCCTCTCCCTCCCTTCGCTTCACCCTCTCCCTCCCTTCGCTTCACCCTCTCCCTCCCTTCGATTCAACCTCTCCCTACCTTCGCTTCACCCTCTCCCTCCCTTCGCTTCAACCTCTCCCTCCCTTCGCTTCAACATCTCCCTACCTTCGCTTCACCCTCTCCCTCCCTTCGCTTCACCCTCTCCCTCCCTTCGCTTCACCCTCTCCCTCCCTTCAATTCAACCTCTCCCTACCTTCGCTTCACCCTCTCCCTCCCTTCGCTTCACCCTCTCCCTCCCTTTGCTTCACCCTCTCCCTCCCTTCGCTTCACCCTCTCCCTCCCTTCGCTTCACCCTCTCCCTCCCTTCGCTTCACCCTCTCCCTCCTTTCGATTCAACATCTCCCTACCTTCGCTTCACCCTCTCCCTCCCCTTCGCTTCACCCTCTCCCTCCCTTCGCTTCACCCTCTCCCTCCCTTCGCTTCACCCTCTCCCTCCCTTCGCTTCACCCTCTCCCTCCCTTCGATTCAACCTCTCCCTACCTTCGCTTCACCCTCTCCCTCCCTTCGCTTCAACCTCTCCCTCCCTTCGCTTCAACATCTCCCTACCTTCGCTTCACCCTCTCCCTCCCTTCGCTTCACCCTCTCCCTCCCTTCGCTTCACCCTCTCCCTCCCTTCAATTCAACCTCTCCCTACCTTCGCTTCACCCTCTCCCTCCCTTCGCTTCACCCTCTCCCTCCCTTTGCTTCACCCTCTCCCTCCCTTCGCTTCACCCTCTCCCTCCCTTCGCTTCACCCTCTCCCTCCCTTCGCTTCACCCTCTCCCTCCTTTCGATTCAACATCTCCCTACCTTCGCTTCACCCTCTCCCTCCCCTTCGCTTCACCCTCTCCCTCCCTTCGCTTCACCCTCTCCCTCCCTTCGCTTCACCCTCTCCCTCCCTTCGCTTCACCCTCTCCCTCCCTTCGCTTCACCCTCTCCCTACCTTCGCTTCACCCTCTCCCTCCCTTCGCTTCAACCTCTCCCTCCCTTCGCTTCAACATCTCCCTACCTTCGCTTCACCCTCTCCCTCCCTTCGCTTCACCCTCTCCCTCCCTTCGCTTCAACCTCTCCCTCCCTTCAATTCAACCTCTCCCTACCTTCGCTTCACACTCTCCCTCCCTTCGCTTCACCCTCTCCCTCCCTTCGCTTCACCCTCTCCCTCCCTTCGCTTCACCCTCTCCCTCCCTTCGCTTCACCCTCTCCCTCCCTTCGCTTCACCCTCTCCCTCCTTTCGATTCAACCTTTCCCTACCTTCGCTTCACCCTCTCCCTCCCTTCTCTTCAACCTCTCCCTCCCTTCGCTTCAACATCTCCCTACCTTCGCTTCACCCTCTCCCTCCCCTTCGCTTCACCCTCTCCCTCCCTTCGCTTCACCCTCTCCCTCCCTTTGCTTCACCCTCTCCCTCCCTTCGCTTCACCCTCTCCCTCCCTTCGCTTCACCCTCTCCCTCCCTTCGCTTCACCCTCTCCCTCCCTTCGCTTCACCCTCTCCCTCCCTTCGCTTCACCCTCTCCCTCCCTTCGCTTCACCCTCTCCCTCCCTTCGCTTGACCCTCTCCCTCCCTTCGCTTCACCCTCTCCCTCCCTTCGCCTCTCACCCTCTTCCCTCGCCTCAAAGTATACTGAGAAGTTTTCTGTTTACGATGTTCTCTCCCTGTCACCGTGTTCGTTCTCTCCCCTCTCCTCCTCCCCTCACCATGTTCTCCAGCGCCCACCGTAACGAGTCTGGCAACCTTTCTGTCCCTCACATTCCCCCATACTGCAGCGCCCACCGCAGGGAATCCGTGCCCCCCCCCTTTACCCTCTCTCCCCACCATTCACCTCACTCCCCCTCCCCAATCCTCACCGTGCTCTCCAGCTCCACGCCATACTGCAATGCCCAGCACAGGGAGTCCAGCACCCTTCCCTTGCCGCACTTCACTTCCCTCCCACCCATAACCATTACAGCCAGTGCAACGCACCCTTCTCTCTCCCCCCTGCCTCACCCTCCCCACGCTCTTCAGTACCGTGTTTTCAAGCTCCACGCCGTGTTGCAGCGCCCAGCGCAGCGAGTCCGAAGCCTTCCCTTCCCTCCCTTCCCTCACACCCCTGGCTGTCCCCCAATCCCCACCCTTCCCCCCCCCTCTCACCGTGTTCTCGAGCTCCACGCCGTATTGCAGCGCCCACCGCAGGGAGTCCGGCAGCTGCAGCAGATAAGACAAAGCCAGCGCGGCCATGGCGGGCGGCAGCGAGTGGCGCAGGGCGACGGCGGCGAGGGCGGCGGAGAGCAAGGCGGCGGCAACGAGGAGGTCCAATCGGAAGCCCAACCACTCCCACGTGGCAATCCAGAATAGGTGCGGGCTGGCGTTGGTGGTGACGTGGCGCAGGAAGAGGCGATGGAAGCGGCGCTGCTGGGAGAAGGCCCGGATGGTTGGGAGGCCCTGGTGTGGGGGGAGGTGGAAGGGGAAAGGGAGTAGAGACTTGAGAGGTGAGCTTGGGAAGTGCATGCAACAATGAATGCGTGGGCCAGGGTCTGTCTCCCTGTGTGTGTGTGCGTGCGTGCATTTATGCGGGATGAAGGGAGCAACAACTTGTCCTTCTCACCTCCATGGTTGCGAGGAAGCGAGCGAGCAGCACGGAGCGAGTGGTGCACTCCATACGTCGGACCTCCATTGCCGTGCACACGTACAGATGCCGCAGGTGCAGCAGCAGCAGCAGCAGCGGCAGCATGGGGATGAGTGTCCACGGCACAGCTATGCACGCTGATACCACCGCAGCAACGCACAGGCCGAAGGGCTGTAGGTAAGTGGAGGACGGGAAGGATAGTACGGGTTTAGCGGGAGTGGGATGATGGAGAATGGAGATGGGAGAGTGGGTGACTGGGAGTATGGTCGGAGTAACTTTGTGTATTCACATGGTATCTAGCTGACATGAAACCCCTAACTCGTTTTGAACCCTCCTCAATCTTCCCTCCCTCCATCACGCTCCCCCACCCCTCTGTCGACCCTTCAACTCACATTGAGGAAGTCCAGCAGCAGCTGCGGAAGCGCATTGTCAGTCACCCCGAGGTCCTCACTGAAGCGGTTCAGCACGCGGCCCGTGGGGTTGGGTTGCAGTGAAATAACGCGAGTGGGGTGACTACTGAGTCTCAACTCACATTCAGAAAATCCAGCAGCAGCTGGGGCAGCACATCATCGGTAACCCCGAGGTCCTCACTGAACCGGTTCAGCACGCGCCCCGTGGGGTTGCGGTGGAAGAAGGCGAGCGGCGAGGCGAGCACCGATGAAAGCATGAGTGAGTGCATACAGGAGGAGGCGCGCAGTGCGGCGAAGTGGAGGAGGAGAGAGGCAAGGAGGGAGAGGGCCACGCAGGACAGGGCGATGGCTGCCAGCGTGACCAGTGGGTGCGGTGTGGTGTTGGGCTCCTCCGTCCACAGGCCCAGGAACCTTGGATTGGGGGAGGAGAAGGGAGGCGAGAGATTAGAGGAGGGAGTGGGCCACGCAGGACAGGGCGATGGCCGTGAGGATGGCAAGCGGTGCGGTGTGGTCTCAGGCCCCTCCGTCCACAGGCCCAGGAACCTTGAGGAGAGGGGAGGGGTGGGTGGGGAGGGGAGGGGAGGGGAGGGGAGGGGAGGGGAGGGGAGGGGAGGGGAGGAGGGGCAAGAGTCATCAAGCATGGAGCAGGAGGGATGGGCAGATGTCCGATGGAAGTGGCGTGCAGCGCGGCACACAGGAGGCGTGGATGAGCAGTGAGACGAGAAGGCGAGAGGGCCATACAGGAGGGGGCGATGGCCGTGAGGGCGAGAAGAGGGGGAGGGGATGGCGAGAGGAGGTTTTTGGGGGGGCGTGCGTGAGAGAGAAAGGGAGCGTGAGGGAGGACTTCCTCACCAGCTGACGAGGGCGTTGGAGACGTGTGCGGTGAGGAAGAGGGCGGCAAAGAGCAGCAGAGGCAGCACTCGAATCTTTCTGGCGTAGCCCCAAAACACCGACAGGGGGATGGCGCCCCGCTGCCACCCTTCCACGTCCAGCAGGCCTGCAGGCACACACAGAGCGGTTTGGGGGTAGCGCGTAAGGGGATAGCGTGAAAGGGGGTAGCGTGAAATGGGATAGGGGGACGCACACCCAGTGATTGAAGCACACACACAGACAGGTTGATGGCGCCCTGCTGCCACCCTTCCACGTCCAGCAGGCCTGCAGGCACGCAGAGCGACGTGGGGGATACTGTGGGATGAGACAGCGGCGGGAAACACAGCCGCTTCCAAGGGATGGAAGCACATGCACAGACAGCGCGATGGCGCCCCGCTGCCATCCTTCCACGTCCAGCAGGCCTGCAGGCACACACAGGGGGGTGCACGTGCAGGCACGCACAGCGATTAGGGGATAGTGTGGGATGATACAGCGTGAAACACAGCCGCTTCCAAGGGATTGAAGCACACGCACAGACAACGGGATGGCGCCCCGCTGCCACCCGTCCAGCAGGGTTTAGGGTTTAGAAGCACACAGAGTTGGATGCAAGCACACACAGCCGTTTGGGGATAGCCTGGGATGGGATAGGTTAACGCACAGCCAGGGATGGGAGCACAGGCACAGAGAGCGGGGGGGGGATGGCACCCCGCTGCCATCAGGTACACGCCCTGGGTTTGGGGTGGGATGAGACAGCGGGCGGGAGCACACCCAGGGATGGGAGCAGACACGATTGCGTGGGACGGGCAGTTGGAGGGATTGGGATAAATGAAGCCATTTTTGCCTGCCTACCTTGCTCGTCACCTTCTGTGGAGCCACTCGCATCCTCCGCCTCCTCCTCCTCCTCCTCCTCCTCCTCCTCCTCCTCCTCCTCCTCCTCCTCCTCCTCCTCCTCCTCCTCCTCCTCCTCCTCCTCCTCCTCCTCCTCCTGCACTCCCTTCCTCCTCCGGAAGAGGGAGTAACTCCTCATGTGGGACACACTCCTCCTCCTCTTGTGCAACGAGCCCTTGGCATCCTGGCCCCCATGTGGGTCACTCTCCTCCTCCCTGCATGCATCTTCCAACCCCTTGACCTCCTCTGCTGTCTCCCGTTCTCTGCTGTCTCCGCCACTTGCTCTCAACAACGATTCTCTTTGAATCAACTCAGGAGTCTCCCCATGTGAGGCACTCTCCCCTTCCCTCCATGCATCTTCCACCCCCTTCACCCCCGCTGCTGTCTCCCCTTCTCTGCTGTCTCCGCAGTTTTCTCTCAACGACAACGTTCTTTGAATGCCCTCCGTCGCCCCATCTGCTGTCTCCGCCACATCCTCGCTTCCTCTCAACAACGATTCCCTTTGAATCGACTCAGAAGTGGCCCCATGTGGGACACACTCCCCTTCCCTGCATGCATCTACCAGCCCCTTCGCCCGCTCTGCTGCCACCCCCTCTGCTCTCTTCCCTTCTCTGCTGTCTCTGCCACCTCCTCTCAACGGCAATTCTCTTTGAATGCCCTCCTTTGCCGCATCTGACCTGTCCGCCTCAGCGTCTGTCTCTATGACGGGGCATTCGTCTTTGCTTCCTCTCAACGGCGAGTCCCTGTGAGTGCACTCCTCCTCGCATTCCCTCGTGCATTCTGCTGGTGCATCTGTGTTGTTGCTCTCACTACTCAAGTCGCAATCCACAGCGCTGCCACTGCCGCTGCCTCTGCAGCTGTGTGAGTGAGCAACAGAGTGAGCAGCTCTGTGCGTCAACTCTGGAAGCGGCACTGCAGCATCCGTGTTCGTGCTGCTGCTGCTGGTGCCGGTGCCAGGGACAGTGGCAGTGGCAGTGGCAGTGGCAGCGGTACAGGCGGCACTGTCAGTGTCAGTGGCAGAAGCGTGAGAAGCATCAGAGCCGTCTCGCCCCAGAGGGGGATTGTCGCAGTGTTGCTGTGCAGAGGGCAGGGCGCAGATGTCACTCCAGGCGCCACACGCCGCTGCTCTGCCACCGTCCAGCACCAACACTCTGTCGCAGCTGGGGATGGGGGGGGTGGGAACAGAACAAAAACATAGAAAGAGAGTCGCGATTGCGAGATGGGGGATAGGGAGCAAGAACAAAGACGTAGGGAGGACGCGGGAGGTTGAGGTTGAGTGAGAGGGATTTAATGGGACAGAGGGTGAGTTCAAATGGGATAAGAGAGGGGTTCAAAGGGATAGAGAGCGTTTCAATGGAGCAGAGAGGGGTTCACTGGGGTTGCAAAAGGAAAGACGGTACATCTGTACTGTGTGTGTGCATGGAAGGCTTTGAGCTTGCACACTTGTCTGGGATGCAACAGAAATGCATAGACGCATGAGCAGACACATACATCCAAAGGAGGGGGCTAAGAACGTGCGCGCGAGAGTGTAAGAAAATGGGATGGGGGATCAATGCATTAAAAACACCGCCTCCCTCCCTCATCAATTCTCTGCTACCTCTCCACCCCTTCCCCATCCCCTTTTCCCACACACACCCATTACCATACCTCCCCGCTCCTTCCCCATCCCGTTCCCCCACACCGAGTACCGTACCTCCCAAGGTATTGCACGTGGTGAGTCACTGCGTGACAGAGGCCCCCACCCCCCACCCATGACCATACCTGCCAAGGTACTGCACGTGGTGAGTCACTGTGTGACAGAGGCCCCCACCCCCCACCCATCACCATACCTGCCAAGGTATTGCACGTGGTGAGTGACGACAATCCGGGGCAGCCCTGCCAGCAGCCCACACACGCACTGCTGAAACACGTGGCTGGCAACGGCTGGATCCAACGCGGCTAGCGGGTCGTCCAGGAGGACCAGCACGGGTGGGGGCGCACTCCTGCTGCTGCTGGTGGCGTTGGTTCTATTGCCGCTGCTATTGTTACCGCCATTGTTTCTACTGCTGCTATTGCTATCGCCACTGCAATAGCCATCAGCATGCGACTGTGGGGTGCCAGCGCAGCAGTGCAGGGCGGCATACGCCGCCCGGGCGAGCGACACGCGCGCCCTCTGCCCGCCACTGAGGTTGCCGCCGCCCTCCTCCACCAATGACTCGTCGCCACGTGGCCACAGGGCCAGGTCCGAGCGCAGGGCGCAGGCATCCAGCACCTTGAGTAAGGGGCCACGGGGGATGCCTCCAAGGGGCAATGGAGATTCAGAGAGAACGGGGAAGGAGATGGCCACGGGGGAGGAAGAGGCAAGAGGCAAAGTCGAGGAATGGCAGAAGGGGGCATTGGGAGACGTTGAGAGGGATTCAGGGCGGATCCAAAACGAAGGCAGTGACGGAGTAAGAGAGAGCAGAGAGGAGAAGGCGACGGGGGGGGAGGAGAGAAGAGGGGAGCTTTGGGAGGCGTTTGAAGGAGAGACAGGATCAGGGCGGAGAGACAGGATCACGGCGGAGAGACAGGATCAGGGCGGAGAGACAGGATCAGGGTGGAGAGACAGGAGCAGGGCGATCTTCCTATGCACAAAGCGCACCTTGGCATACAGTGTCTCGTCTAGCGGTGTGCCGAATAGGATATTGTCTCGCACCGTGCCCTCGATGAGGAATGGCTGGTGGCATGGGCGGGCGGAAGGAAGGGGGCGGGCGGGGGAGGGGAGGAAGGACTTTTGAGAGTGATGTTTGAGTCGACTCAAGAGGATGCTGTCTCGCACCATGCCCTGGATGAGGAACGGCTGGTGGCATGGACGGATGGAAGAAGGTGTGGAAGGATGGGGGGGGAAGGGACTTTTGAGTCGACTGAAAAAGCTGGTGGAGTGGGATGCACCGTGCCCTCGATCAGGAACGGCTGGTGGCATGGACAGGCGGGAGCAAGTGGGGGAGAGGGGGGGTGGCGGGAGGAGGGAAGTGGGTGCTCGGACGTAGCATGTTGGAAAGGGTGAGAGAGAGAGACGCGTGGGAAAAGGCCAGAAGGAGACGCGTGGGAAGGGCCGAGAGAGGGAGACGCGTGGGAAACGGCGAGAGAAAGACGAGTGGCATCGGGTGAGAGAGAGACGAGTAGCAAAGGGTGAGAGAGAGACGAGTAGCAGAGTGTGCGAGAGAGATGAGTAGCAAAGGGTGAGTGGCGAGTGGGTGGGCGACCTGCTGCGATGCATAGGCGAGGGAGGGCACGGAGCGGTGCATGGCGCCGGATGAGAGAGGCACTTCCCCGAGAATACCCAGCAGCAGCAACGACTTGCCACTGCCCGTCTGCCAGGTGGCAAGGGAGGGCGGGAGGCAGGGTAAATGGCATACAGTCAAAGGGCGCCACTCAGCAGGCTGCAGGCAGCACAGCAGGCAGTAGAACAGTCTGTGACAGCCAGAGGCACACAACACGCACAAGGCACAGGCATGCGGCAGGCAAGAGCATTCCTTACCATTACATAGCATTCCATGGCATTCCATCGCAGGCAATAGCAGGCAATAGCAGGCAGCAAGCAGCGGGCTCACCTTGCCAGTGACTCCCAGCAGCTCCGCCTCTCCCAGCCTCACGCTCACTCCCTCCACCTGCCCGCTCGGTGCACCGTCTATCTCCACCTGCCCCTCTTGCTCCGCCCATGCGGTCACACACGTGCCCTCCAAGGCAGCAGCACCAGCAGCATCGGCAGAAGCAGCAGCAGCAGAAGGGCCAACAGCAGGGGAAGGGCCAGCAGCACGAAAGCTCATGATCCGCTGGAGGGAACGCACGCGGAAAGCTTTGGGGACGCGGCGGAAACTCCTGACTCTGCTCATGTAGGCCTTGCCATAAGGCGTGCCATCATCGCCCATGCAAGGCTCAGTCATATCCAGTACATGTCCTGCCGATGATTGAGTCGACTCAAAAATCGCCTCAAGCGCTTGCTTTTTCCATCTCCTTCCTCTAAATCCCTTTCCTCCTCCCTCTTTGTTCTCCATCTTACCCTCGACCTTAACCTCCCCGGCTGCTTCTCCCCAAGCAAACGAAGCCCCTTCAAGCACCAGGGTGGCACGCGGGGGGGAGGGAAGGCGTGTGGGAGCAGAGGAGGAGGAGAGGCTGTGTCTGGACAGGGAGGCGAGCTCTGAGGGTGGTGGGAACTGGTGTATCGGTGCTGGGGACTGGAGACTTGGTGCTGTGAGAGCAGCACTTGTCGATTCAGGTGACTTGGTGGTGGTTGGGGTGTCAAGGCCGTGGTGGTGTGCTCCTGGGAGCAGAGCAGAGCCATTCTGAGATGGCGCTCCTTGCTGCCTGGCTCTGTGGGGGGTGGTCTGTTGGAGTGCAGGTAGCACGCACAGGGAGGTGTAGGCACAGGGAGGGAGGCACAAGAAGAATTGCTGCAAACATATTGGTTGGTAACGATAGGCGGTGAAAACCCGAGAAAAGTGGTGGGTGGGTGGGTGGGTGGGTGGTTGGGTAGGTTGGGTAGGTTGGGTAGGGTGGGTAGGTTGCCAGCAGCAAAGAGCATGGTGCTGCTTCCTGCATACCAACGTGCAGGGAGTGCGAGAGTCGCTTGAAGCTGAAAGATGCCTATTTTGAGGTGCCTTGAACATTGCGGGTAGAAAGACGAAACCTCAAAAGGCAATGCTGACCTGCAGGAAGTGTGAGAGTCGCTTGAAGCTGACAAACGCCTCTGCTATTTGGTGTATGCCATAGGCCACCTTCCACCCCATGGTGTAGTGCGGGATCTGTGCGGATATGGTATGGCGTGGCAGAGGGCACGGAGGGAGGAGCGGAGGGAACGGAGGGAGGGGAGGAAGGGAAGTGTGGGGCATGTTAGTGGACTGCTTAGAGAGAAGCAACAGAGCACGATGACCAACCCACTCGACCCAGTCCCTCACAATTGTTGAGGCGCCACAACAATTGCAACGCAACTGATTCGAAAGAAGCAACGGTGCACGATGACCAGCAGCCCATGCGCCGTTGAGCAACGCATTTAATCCAATCTACTCCCCCACGCGCATTGATGAGTGGCCCGTGCTGATGTGAGAGCGCGTGCACGTGTATGTATCCCGCCAACTCTGCTCAACTAAGGGCACAGGAAAGACGCATCTTGAAGAGCGTGAGCGAGCACGTATGCTTTTGAATCGACTCAAAAGGAGCGTGAGCAAGCACGTATGCTTTTGAATCGACTCAAAAGGAGCGTGAGCGAGCATGTAGAACACAGCAGCAGCCGCCGTGAGTTGGCCTTAAGAGTCGACTCAAAAGTCTCCTCTGGGACATGCTATGAGAGATGCAGCTGTCCTTTCGTATGGTTCTATTGAGGTGCATGGAAGCAAGGAGAGGTGCAGCGCATCTCGAGGAGAGTAAGCACGTAGAACACAGAGGTTGCGGTGAGTTGGACTCCGAGGCACGTGAAGGTGGCGAAGGTGACGAGGGCGACCACGTGAAGGTGGCCAAGGTGACGAGGGCGACCACGTTTTGAGACGTCTCAGAACTTACCTCCAAGAGCGTAAGCACGTAGAACACAGAGGCGGCGGTGAGTTGCCCTCCGAGGCACGTGAAGGTGGCGAAGGTGACGAGGGCGACCACGGAGGTGAAGGAGAAGTAGAGCGCAGCAGTCACGGCGTTGATGGCAGCTGTCCACTGCAGGCTGGCAGAATGAAAGGTGAGAATGGAGAGGATTTTTTAGGCGCTTCTAAAGCATCCAGCGAGGTGATTGAGAAGCAGAGAGAGTAGCCGTCACAGCATTGATGGCAGACGTTCACTGCTGCAGGCTGGATGGAGGACGGGGAGGATGGAGGAGGGTGGAGGGTGGAGGGTGGAGGGTGGAGGGTGGAGGGGAACTTTGAGGCGCTTCAAAAGCAATCAGCGAGGTGAATGGGAAGCAGAGAGTGTCGTCATGGCGTTGATGGTGGGGCTGTGCTGTGCAGGCTGGAGAGGACGGCCTGAATGGATGGTGCAGGGCGCCGGGTGCAGGGTGCAGGGTGCAAGGCGCAGGGTGCAGGGCGCCGGGTGCAGGGTGCTGGACAGAGGGAGCAAATGCTGATTCTGATTAGGAGCGGATTCAATGACAAGAACAGTTCGAGAGAGAGGGGGGACGGAGGGGTGGGCGAGGCTGAGAGGGAAGAAGAGGGAGCGGAGAAAGCTTGGAACAAATGAGGGAGGGGTGGGAAGGGGAGGCGGACGGCAAAAGTGGTGGGAGTTGGAGGGATGGACTAACAAGGACACTTCTGTGCGTCTGATTCGTTGGATGAGTTCTGTGAGCCGCCCCTCCAGAGCCAGTGTCTTCACTGTCAGGATGCCGCCCAGAGCCTGTTGTGGTGCCAGGGGGTGGGTGGGCGGGTGGGTGGGTGGGAGGGTAGGATGAGTGGGTGGGTGGGTGGCTGGGTGAGTGGGAGGGGATGGGAGTTGAAGGATGTTAGGAATCGAAGGCATGGTAGGAGACTTCTGAGACGACGCCGAAGTTGCACGTGAGAGGACAAGGATAGGCCAGGCATCAGTGGAATTCCATTGACAGGTGGGGACCATGTCCCACGACACAGCACACCTGAGGCGTCGTTTTTGAGGCGCCTTAAAAATCAACTCAATGCATCAGTGCAATTCCTATTGACAGGTAGGGACCATGTCCCACGATACGGCACGTCTGAGGCGTCTCAAAAGTCCTCTCAGTTGAGGCGTCTCAGAAGCCCTCTCAGCACGCTGTGTTTTGCCACACCATGTGCAAGGGCACGACACATGTCTGCTTTTGAGTCGACTCAAAAGCAAGGGCACGACACATGTCTCCTCTCACTCACCGCGTGCGTTGACTTTTGAGTCGACTCAAAAGTCAATTTTGCCACACCATGTGCAAAACATTGTCAGCACGACACATGTCTCCTCTCACTCACCGCGTGCGTTTTACCTTCTTCTCCTGCTCCCTTCTCGCTTTTCTCCCTCCCACATTCCACCCTTCTTCTTACTTCTGCCTACCTTCCCCTTCACATCATGACCCTAACACCGCAACAGTCTATTCACTCCAGCAGCCGTTTTTGCTATTGGCCCAGCCTGCTACCGATTAGGTTAGACAGGTATGTTTGTACGGTGGATATATCACACCCATAACCCCCCAGGGGACGCACACGTAGCCCTCCCACTCTCAACTGGGGAACGATTCCAGTGCCCCACCAACAATTCCCCCTCTCACTAAGGTCGTCTCACCCTCACTTGAGGCACGTTAGGGACTGGCGCTCATTGGCGAAACACTGGGACTCGAACCCAAGACCTTTGGCTCTAATACCACTTGTTGGGCCAACCTGCTTGGGTTAAAGAGCATGTTTGTATGGCCGGAAGAGGAGGGTAGAACACCCTTAGGGCCCCAAGGCGCACCTGATGCCCTCCGGAACGGTCTCAGTGCGCCACCAACAACATTTGCCCCTCTCTTGACGTCCTCCCCTTGCTTCCCACCTCCACCCCGGCCTCCTTGCTACAATCCCCAAACCCTTTGCCCCTAGAAGGCCTCTTTCATCTTTCCCCTCCCCCACCCAGCCCCTCTCCCCGCCGAGCCCCCCTCGTCCTCTTCCCCATGCCCCCTCGTTCCCCTCTCCCATCGCCCTTCTCCCCCCTCCCCAACTGCCCACCTCTTCCATGTGCTTGACGCGCACATCAGTGAATTTTGACATCTCACAGATTATACTCACCCACCTCCCCCACCCCAACCGCCCACCTATCTCTCCCCAACCGCCCACCTCTCCCTCCCGAACCGCCCACCTCTCTCCCCAACTGCCTACCTCCTCTGTGTGCTTGACGCGTGCATCTGTGGCCTCCGCCGTTTTCGCCCGCAGCCGCACCCTCCACTTCCCACAGGCCAGCTGGTGTGGTTTGGTTGTTTGTGGGTGGGAGGAGGGTGGGGCGAGAGTAAAGCGCATAAGGGGAGGGGAATGGAGGGAGCGGCGCATGGAAGGCAGATGGGGGAGAGAGGGTGAGTCTTCCAGCCGCACCCTCCACTTCCCACACGTCAGCTGGTGTCGTTTGGTTATTCGGGGGGAGAGAGTGAAGTGCGTAAGCCGAATGGAAGGAGTGACGCATGGAGGGCGGACGACGGGGGAGAGAGGGTGAGATTGACGAGATGTGAGGGAGCAGGGAAGCCAGGCTTGTCACCGACATTCTTAGACTTGTGCCCAGCTTCTATTATAGCCTGATGACAAAGCGTGAGTGCACCTGTAGTGGAAGCAGCAGCAGTTGCATGCCAATGCCAGCAATGGTGGGCACCCATCCGATCTCCCTCGCTATCAGCCACGTGACCAACACTAGCTCGATAGGAGCCTTCATGAAGGAGGCAGGGAAGAAGAAAGCACGTATGGAGCGGAGAATGCGTGAAGCGGAGGAAGGCAGTGATTCACAAGAAAGGTAGGTAGCCTTGTGCAGGTGGGTAGGATAGGACCATCGCTCTTGGCCTTCATCCACTGCCTCTTCTCTTTCCCCCCACCACTAGAGTCCCCACGCCACGCCACTCCACTCCAAAGCCCTTCCCCTGACAGCCCCCCACCCCCCATCCATCATCCCTGGCCCCCCATCCCAAAGTACTCTTCGCCTCACCACCCAGAGCGCCTGGCTGCAGAACACAAGGTCGTCCAATCGGCGCACGTCATTGGACAGCAGGTTGATGCAGTGCCCGCTGCTGACGTGGCTCAGCGCACTGGCGGTGAGCGTGAGGAGGTGACGATGCACTGCAGGGGAAGAGAAGGAGATGGAACTTGTGGGAGGGAAGGCCGAATTATATTAGAATTCGAATCAGAATTCAACGCAGAGGAGGTGGGAGGGTGGAGTAAGGGAGGGTGTGTGAGGAGGTGGCGGTGCACTGCAGGGGAAGAGACGGAGATGGAGCGTGTGGGAGGGAAGGGGAGGAAGACCGGTGTGGGGAGGACAGTTGGGGGAAGGGCGGGGGGATGGGCAAAAAGAAGCAGAAGCAGTTTGGCGGATTTTGGGTGGCAGAGGCTTGGAGCTTGGGCTGCGAGCGGAAAGGTATAGGAGTAGAGACAACAACACGGGGAGTGGGAGAGGAGGAAGCGGATGGGGGCAAGGGAGGACAGTTGGGGGAAGGAGGTGAGGGGATGGGCGAAAAGCACCAGAGAGACTCTGACCAATGTGGATGGCAACCTCACCTGCGCTGATGGCGGCGGTGCGAGTGTTGGTGGAGACAACATATGCGCGGTAGCACAACTGCTGGGTCACCATGGCCAGAGCCACTGCCACTGCGCCCATCCCCGCTGCCGTGAGGTAGCCCTCGGTGGGGCCGCACTGCCCTGCCCCGCTGCCGTCACTGCTGCTGCCGCTGTCACTGCTGCTGCCGCTGTCACTGCTGCTGCCGCTGTCACTGCTGCTGCCGCTGTCACTGCTGCTGCTGCTGTCACACCCTTCCAGGTAGGCGACCTGGTGCGGGGAAGGAGGGGGGAGGGGAGACGTATGCACGGTAGCAAAACTGCTGGGTCACCACGGCCAGCGCCACACCACCAGTGCGCTCATCCCCCCTGCCATGCCGTGCCACTGCCACTGCGCCCATCCCAGGTAACCCTCCGTGGGCCCGCCGCTGCTGCTGCCGCTGTCACTGCTGCTGCTGCTGCTGCTGCTGCTGCTGCTGCTGCTGCTGCTGCTGCTGCTGCTGCTGCTGCTGCTGCTGCTGCTGCTGCTGCTGCTGCTGCTGCTGCTGCTGCTGCTGCTGCTGCTGCTGCTGCTGCTGCTGCTGCTGCTGCTGCTGCTGCTGCTGTCACACCCTTCCAGGTAGGCGACTTGGTGGGGGGATGGAGGAGAAGAACGAGGGGGAAATGTTGGAGAGTGAGGGGGAGTGGGGGAGAGGGTAGGCGGGAATGGCTCCTGAACTGATGAATCTTATTAGACTCGGCGTTCACGTATGCGTGCACGCACGCACAGACATTTCACTCACTGGTAGGGTTGTCACAAGCACGCACTGGCAAGCATAATCTCACCATGCAATAGCAGCACTCACAATGCGATAGAGCAGCACGGCTTTGACCACATGCAGCATCGACTCCCCGAGAAACATCACTGCAAGCAGCAGCAGCGCCCACCGGTGCGGCCAATACAGAGCCGCCCAAAACGGCCACTTCCCTCTGCCCCCTGCTTTCCATCCGTCCCAGAACACCAACTGACCGCTTCCCATCCGCCTTTCCCCCTGCTCCCCTTCACACTGCTCCTCCTCCTTCCGCCCCCTTTCCCCATGCTCCTCCCCCTTCTGCCCCCTCTCCCCCTGATCCCCTTCCATGATGCGCGCCGTTTGCGCGTCCAGCCAATCCGCGCGCCAGGTGCGCGGGGGCGGGGGGAGGTCCGCCAGCTGCAGCATTGTGCGCGCGCCCAGGCGCATTGTGGGGGTCACCTGCGCGCATTAAGGGAGGGGAATTGCAAGGGAAGTGAGTCACTTGCACGCGTTGGGTGGGGGGAGATCCGCCAGCTGCAGTGTTGTGCGCGCGCCCAGGCGCATTGTAGGGTTCACCTGCGCGCGCGCGGCATTGGTTGGTTGGTTTCATTGTGCACGGGGAAGGGAGGGGGAAGGGAGTGTTAGCATGGTTGCCGACCTAGAGGGAAGGGGACTGCCATAGAGCTCCCTTAGCGGCTGGTGGGCACTTCCTGTTTAGTTTTTTATTGTGTGATTGTTTGGTCTTGTCTAGTGTTAGTAGGTTTGGTTAGCTCTCCTGTGCGCTTATTGAGTTTTGCTATGTGATGATGTGATCACGATGCATGTCTGTCTCTTCCCGTCTTGATCAATGCAAGGGCCGTTGAGGGAAGGGGGCGGCGGAATTGGAGATGAGAGAGGCACACGGAAGCTAGTAAGCTGCCTACGCTACGCCGAAAGAAGCAAGGAAGAAAGCAAGTGACTTGGATGGAACCGGGCCACAGGCAGCCAGCCGAGCAGGCAGCGCCGCGTGACCCACCCATGCGAATGTCAATGCTGACCACAGGCTCGGCTCTCCGTCGTCTCCCTCGCCTTCCTCCGCCTCCTCCTCCCGCTGGATATTATCATCATCAGCAACAGCAGCACCGGCAGGAGCAGCATTGAAGCCGTGGCCATCACCCACGGCTGTCGCTTCTGCCACCGATGCGCCGCCATTTTCGCAATTGTCGCATGCCCCTGCGAGCAGCAAGCGTCCTTCCTCCTTGTCGCAAATGTCGCCGGTAGTGGTTGTCACATCGTCGGAGTAACGCGCCTCGCTGACGCTCCGATCAGCGGCCGCAGCATTGCTGGTTCGCTGCAGCTGCATCTGCGATTGCTGGTCCAAGCCTAGAGATATTGTCATCTCGCCTCCGTCCGTTGAATCGCAATTTGGGGGGCACGGGGTGCGAGTGCTGACGACTGGGGTGGGGTGCTGCTGAGGCGAATCGCCTCGACTGTCGATGTCGACAGACAGGTTGCTTTCGTGTCCCTACATCATCAGACTGCTACTCGAAATTCACCTGTCAGTCTATCTGTGTCACTTATTCCGTCAGTCTGTTTCTCCGTTCCGTCTGATATGAAAGGTCTCCCGGGCTGTGCATGGAAATGTTTCAATCGCAGCTGGTCGTTCAAGAAAGTGAGCAACGAGCTGTCCAGTTACTCGTTTCAACGTACGGTATCGTCGTCTATCTCAATGTATAAAGTTGGTTTTAACGCCGCGAGACTCTGTCTTGTGGACGACCCAAAATAGGATATCGATAAATAATAATAATGCTGCATGAATTGCCGGGCATCAGTCCCGCTATGCACCTCTGGTGGACATAGGAAAGGGTTTACCATGATGCATTGCTGAACGGGGGATACTTGAGCAAACATGTGTTCGCGCCGCGCGAACATTTTGGGCCAAGTTCATGCGCTTTTTGCCTCGGTGAAGGACCAAAGCAGAGGCAATTACCCAGAGAGGTGATATTGCTGGTAGTAAGTCCCCTCCCCACTCACAGATGGTTGTGGTGTGAGACGGCAACGATGGCATACGCCTCTAGCAGGGAAAGCAGAGACATTGTTGTTGCTCTAAATGAGTTACTGAAAAGAGAAGGATGAAAGCTTATTGAATATTATTATAATGTAGTACTATACATTCATAAGATACAGTAGTACATGCAGTTGAGAAGCTGTGCTCACTATTCAGCGAATCCCACAATAGTGACACATCAAAACGAGAATGACTTCTGTCAGAATAGACAGCAGCCCTCGAATCCGAAATCCTCGCTCTGAATTTCATCCAACATCCCATCCCACCCTCCTCCCCTGAATTACTGACAAAAAGCCGCGTCGGGTAGATTGTGTTGCTTCTTACGCCCAAGCGCCTGAAACTGGAACCAGGATTTTTGTTGTGAAGGCCACTTCATCGCCTTCCATCGACTCACACGATTCACCACTCTCAGACTGCGGCTTCGAGTCAGACTGCTCCGACTCCCTCACGATCAGTCGCTTGATGAACGGCGGGAAGAACGGCCACAGTCGCTGCTGCAGCTCAAGCAGCTGCCGCCAGTCGTCACATGTGACCACCCCACGGCAGATCGACGCGCCGCAGTGGCAACTGAAGTTGTCACTGCTGGTGCGGACGACGCCTGCGTTGGTGCTCCCGTATTCGATGCTCAACTCTTCGCCTTGCACGATGTCCCGCAAGGCCACCACCGTCACCGAGTCTTCCAATCCGCAGTTTGGGTCGCATGAGTGGTTGATAAAGTCGGGCGTCTCGGGCCCACGCGTCGGATGCGGCACCTGCCAGAGGTGATCGTTGACTCGCAGCGAGAGCTCTCGCGTGCGCTCGTCGCTTCCCAGCAGGTAGTCGAGACCGACAAGCTTGCCGGCGAAGACGAGAAGCGGTTCGCCACGTCGGACGCTCGCCAATGCGAACATCCCCTTGAAGCCGTCCGCGCCGCCTTTGTAGCGAGGAACCACGCGCGGGTCGTACCACCCCGACTCGGCCATCTTCCGCTCAATATAAGCCGAGCAGTGGCCGGCGAACCGCCGCTGCCAGTCGTGCGAGCGCCACTCGGTGAATGTGAGCGTGCCACGGCAGCACGCGGCGCCGCAGCGGCAGTGCAGGCCGGCATGCATGCTACCCTCCGTCTCCGTGCAGGCGTAGTCGTACGTGACGTGCTCACCCGAGCGAATGTCGCGCAGAGCGACCATGCAAGTGGCGGTAGCGTACCACGTGTTGGGGTCGCACGAGTGGTTGTAATAAAAGCTCGGATCTTCGTCGGGGTCAGTTATCGTGTCGTACATGTCGTCACCGACCATGTACGAAAAGTGAATCATCATTTCGCGCTTCTTTTGATCGGGTTCCGCTGATAAGTCACGAGCGTGGTACACTCGCCGCGCAGCGGCCTCTTCTTCGTCCCAATCGCAAACGACCTCGCCTTGTGCGATAAAGCTGCGCGCGAACAGCCCGCAGCATCGGAAACCGTAGAGCTGGTGCTCCTTCACGACGATGTGCGGGTGGAGACCCATGATGGAGGAGCGAGAACGGTTGGAGGATGAGTGTGTGTGAAGCGTGCAGTCTGATGACGGGAGGAAATGGTGCGCTGAATTAGTACTATCGTTGCTTGAAAGTTGATACTGATCCAAAACGCCGTGAGATGCTGTCTTTATGGATCCTAGGAGAATTGGTGTGGAGGCGCGATACACTGAACGAAGGCAGAGGCCCTCAAGGTGAGGTTAAGGAACTGGAAGTCAATCACCCACCAAAAATCGTTCGCGTTCCACACAAAAGTCGGCCCCATTCGCCCAACGAAATGCTGAGGCCCTCGAGGTGAGGTGATGGAATCGGAAGCCAATCACCCACCTAGTATGATCGCATTCCAGACGAAGATCGCTTCCATCCGCCCAGAACGAAGGCAGAGGCTCGTCGATGTGAGGTGATGGAATTGGAAGCACCACCCCACCTAAGTAGGATCGCGTTCCAGACGATGATCGCCCCCCAATTACCGAAGTGATTGACTTCCGATTCCATCTGGTACGTTTCTTGTACATTCTTTGCGGTCTAATCTGTTCTGTCACGGTGCAAAATGGTGTAGGAAAAAACTGCTAAGCACCGTATCTAAGCGTTTTAAAAGCGGTTAGGGCGCGTGTGTTCTTGCCGACCCTGACAAAGTTCGAACTCAAACCGTTTTGCACCGTGGCAAAAAGTTTTGAACTGTATTTTACCGTGACAAACCGTTTTAAAAGTTGGAACTTTCAGTCAGGCTCGGCAAGAACACACGCGCCAAACGTACTGTACGAGTTGCAATCCCCCTACCATTGCTACGCTCCAGTGATGATATGCATCAGGCCTGTCGCTTGCAAGGCGTTTGCCCTGCTGGACCTTGAATTCCAGGGCTGGGTTGCCCTTGAAAACTGAAATTGATGGGTTGAGAAAATTGCGGCCCTGATTCATTACAGGGCTGATTTCGGGCTAGGGTCTGGAGTTTTAAGGGTAGATTTCAGGCCAGCCCCGGAACAAAGTCTTTCGAACTTCCCCTTCCACTCCTCCCCGCCCCTCCCCCCCCAAACTCCTCCATTCCCCCTCCCCCCGTTTCTATTTTGATTGCATTCAAGCCTGTCAAATTTGGAGTTGCGTGGCTGGACCACAGATTCAACTCAACCAACAACTGGTACTTGTACCAATTACAACCTCGCTCCCATCCCATGACACACAGACAGTAGCCAGAACCAACATGCAGCAGCAAAACACATCTCAGATCCCCGTCATGTTGTGCACCTCAGGCCTGAATGGGCATAGCAAGCAGCAAAACACATCTCAGATCTTTGCTAAGAGTTGGAAGAGGAGGAAGTCTGTTTCGCGTGCGTAGTGAATGACGCTAACTAGTTTTTTTTATTGCTAACTAGCTAATTTGAACTTGCGGAGTGCAGCTGTCAGCTTTGTGGTAGAACTGAGGCTGCAGAATTTTCCGCGGCAAACCTGATTTACAGGGAGGAATAAATTTCAGCCCTGAAGCCTAAAGGGCCGAGACTCGCCCCGACCCTGCTAAATACAGGGTCGTACATGCCGGGCCCCCTGATTTGTCCTGGGGGGCCAAAACGAAACGACAGCCCTGATATGCATGCATGCTTGGCGGATGGTCAATTGTGTTGGGCGAAGAATGACGTTCGCAACAATCGTTAATTGTCGTGGGAGCTGATCGCACGGCTTGCAGCCTAGGCGTCCAACTCATCCATTCGTTGCCAGGCCAGACATTCGATAATACCCATCGCCTGGAACGCGATCATGTGTGTGGAAGAACCGTGGAACGGGAACACCGAATGAGTGATTGACGTGTGGCAACTTCCGCCAGGGCAGAGCATCGGCGGGAAGCCATTTATTTAGAATTCAACACGGAGCGTAGGATTTCTCGATCCGACGGTAAAGATGGAAATCGAAAATCGAGTGATCTCCGCAACTCACGCTATATGAGAGTGGAATCGCGTTGCGACCAATACCGTTCCACAGTGTACATTCCCCATGGGCAACGGATTTGAATCTCTCACGGTCAGCCAGGGGGCTGAAACTTGAACCTGCGACTACCCTGGACACTCTAGCTGCTGCTGCTGCCAGCCAGCTCATTTCCTCTCGTACAATTGAATCAACCAAACTCTCTTCGTCACGAAGTGCGTGACAAAAGAATCTCACGCATCAGCCCCTTTTCAACACGACGATCCGAGCAACACGACGATCCGAGCAATCCTGGCTATAATACACGGAGGAGCGAACCATAGCGTGAAAGATTGACTGAGAAAGACGATAGCCAGAAAGGAGTCTAACAGAACAGATACCGCTGCTCACCAACTATTGGACAACCAGACGCGTGCGAGTTATTTCTATCCAAAGCAGGGGGGGGAGACCCAGTTCAGTCGAACGGGCGAACAGACCGATGGAATAACAGACTGACTGTAAAAGCAAGCAGGAAATTCCGTCGTAGGCAGCCAAGCGACACGAACGCAACAGATTTTACCTGTCGACAGCGACAGTTGAGGCGGGTCGAGGTGCCAGCAGCAGCCCAGTCCGACCAGTATCTCCGAAGTTGCGATTCAATGGACGGAGGCGAGATGATGATATCCCTGGATCTGGAGCAGCCGCAGCAGAAGCAGCAGCGAACCGGCAATACTGTGGCCGCTGATCGGAGTGTCAGCGAGACGCGTTACTACTCTGACGATGGGACAATTACCGGCGACATTTGCGACAAGGAGGAAGGGCGGTTGCTGCTCGCAGGGGCGTGCGACAGTCGCGAGGATGGCGGCGCATCGATGCGACAATCGGCGGCAGAAGCGACGGCCACGGGTGATGGCCACGGCACCAGCAGCGGTGCTGCTTCTGCTGCTGGTTGTGGTGCTGCTGATGATTCCGGGGAGGTGGAAGAAGGCGAGGGGGACGATGGAGAGCCGAGCCTATGGTCAGCATTGGCGTTTGCATGGGTGAGCGCGCTGCCTGCTTGGCTGGCTGGTTGTTTGGTTCCATCCAAGTAACTATCTCTCTTCCTTGCTTCCTTCGGCGTAGCGCGACTCAGGTTGCGCGACTCGTCCTAGGGAGCTTAGGTTGCCTGTGCGCGACTCACTTTTCTTGCCTCTCAACTCCATTCCCCCCCTTTCCCCCTAATCAATGCGGCGCGCAGGTGAGTCCGATAGTGCGCATGGGCGCGCGCAGAGCGCTGCAGCTGGCGGACCTACCCCCGCCCCCCCGCACCTGTCGCGCGGAATGGCTGGACGCGCAAACGGCGCGCTTGCAAGGGGAGGGGCGGAAGGAGGAGGAGCTTTGGGAAGGGGGGCAGGCGGAAAAGCGGGGGGAAAGGAGAAGCGGTCAGTGCGTGGTGTCGGGCGGATGGCGGGATGATTGCCCCGAGGGTGCGGTGGCCCGCGCTGGTGGGATGGATGGTGCGGTGAGGCATCTCAGAACTCGGGCGGATGGGGGGATGGTTGCCCCCAGGGGCCCGCGATGGTATCGTGGGGTGGGCCGCGTTGGTCGGCTGTGGGCGGGGGGCAGGCGGAAGTGGCCTTTTTGGGCGGCTCTGTATTGGCCGCACCGGTGGCAGCTGCTGCTGCTTGCAGTTCTGTTTCTCGGGGAGTCGATTCTGCAAGTAATCAAAGCCGTGCTGCTGTATCAAATGGTGAGTGCTGCTGTACTGCATGGTGGGTCATAAGTTGGAAAATCGCGTTTTGCGTTTAGTATGCAAGCGTATATACGCCGAACGCTGGAAGGGGGTCTGGTACGCATAGAATGCGCAGCCCCGGGCAGGTAAAAAACTTTCGGGCAGGATGTTTGGGTTGGGACGTGCTAAGCTCCCGTCCCCTTTTTATCAACATCCTCAGCGGAACTGCCGCGCGCATCTGCAGCCGGGAGAGGGGAAGGTGTTTCTGCAGGAGTGAAGGACACGGTGGTGGTTGAGCTAGGAAGGGAAGAAAACGAGAGGATGATCATCGAATAAACATAAGGCCTGTAATTATGGTCGGCTCGGATAGTAGAGTCTGGTTGAGGACTCGTGACTCGACAGCGGGAATTGGGAATGAATGGGGGGATGGAGAGGGTTGTCAAACGGTGGAGGGGAGGGGCATGGGGTTTGAAATTCAAAATTTGAGTTCGCCACGTCCCAGTCAGCCCGTGCGTATTTGGGCATATCTACACCAAAAACGTAATTTGTTCAGGCGTGTAAGGAATTTTCTCGGCATTCCTTACGGAGCCGACTACATCGCGTACAGCAACAGCCGTTGTTCGCCCGTTACTGTTAACGGGACTTCGCTGACTTCGCGCGCACTGTTTTGCCAAACCTCGCACTGCTGGCATGGCCGTATCGGCCTACGCTTCGGGACTAGCCCGAGCCTCGCTCCAGCGTAGCACTAGCAAGCTCGCACGCACCGCGTTACCGTTTTGCATGTTTCGCGTATAAATGTTCGCTCATGCCTTCGCTCACATTTTGTACTCGTTTGACACCATAGTGCAATTCTCGCTACTTCGATTCATTGCACCCGTAACACTTGGTATTCAGAGCCCCTTTTCTTTCGGACCGCGCATCTCCGCACACCAGGAAATCAACTTTTGATTTTTCACTCGAAGGGACTTACGCACCTTAGCCCCTAGGAGCCGCTGTCCTCGCGTTCTCTCGTAAACGCGTGCAGCCACGACTGCGCTTAAACTAAGACGAGTCGACGCCCTTCGTCATGGCTGAAAATATCGACGTCACCACCCTCACGCAGGAGCGTTTGAACGATCTGCTGCGACAGCTGCGCGAAAGTTCCGAGGAAATCGCGGCATTGACGGCAGAACGCTCATCGCTGCAAAATGACCTCACGAGGGCACAACAAGCACAATCTCAAGCACCTGGCACTCCGATTCAACCTGCACCCTCGACATCACAACACGGGAGTGTGGGGCAACCCGCGAGCGCGGCCAGTGATGGCGTCGTCCGCCCCGACGGGGACGACGACCACGGCACGACACACCCCGGAGCGACGCATGCGGCCCCAAGTCAGCCTCGCGTCACGATTTCGGCACCAACCCACGATTCGGGACTGCCGTCACCGAGGCCGCTGAAGCCGCAGCGCCCGCCATGCTTTGACCCGAGTCAACGGGGTGGTCCTACCGTTCAGGCGTGGTTGTTCACGATGAATGTCTTCTTCGACGCCAACTACGTCTCGGAGGACTCGGCGAAGATTCGATACGCCGTGTCGCTGCTACGAGGACCCGCCATGGACTGGTGGCGCGTCATCGTCACGAAGCCGACAGACTACGCGACACTACCGACACGGGAAGGACAAACCGGACCCTGGGCGCCGTCGTATTTCGTGGAGGTGCCCCAGTATCGCACGTGGGACGCGTGGTGCGCAGGTCTGCGCGCTCGATTTGAGCCAATTGCGGCTTCGATCGCGGCGCGACAGAAGCTCCGCACTTGGCGCCAACTCGGTTCCGTCCAGGACTACACGAGCGGATTTCTGGCGCTATGCGAACAGGTGGGCTACATGCATGAGAGCGAGCGCATCGACCGCTACATCGGCGGCCTGAAGCAGGACATCGCTCAGGAAATCCAGCTTCGCGGCGTCACCGAATTTCAGGAAATTCTCGCTATGGCGGAGAAGCTCGACTTCTTTCGCCGACCGAGACCGAGGTCCTACGGAAACAACAACTGGGGACATCGGCCTCGTGGGACGAACGAGAGCGCCACGATACGCGCCGTCGCCGCAAATGCCGCTGCCGCACCGTTCAAAGGGCGCTGCTTTGCGTGCAATCGGCCGGGACATCGCAAGAGCGAATGCCCGGAAAACGCTAAGGGAAAGGAGGAAGCTGAGCAGCAGAAACAGACCAAGCAGCAGGGAAACGCTGGAAGTCAGTAGCAGACGGGCCCTCTACTGACAGGTCACGCCGCTCGCCCGACCCAACCGACCCTCACCGAGTGATTGTGCCGGTTCACGCAATCGACCACACCCGGCCGAATAAGGAGGGTACCACGGTAGACAGCCCTATACTGCTCAGTGGGAAAAATTGGGACGGACTTAGTTAAAATCTTCGTAGACGGGGGAGCCAGCCACAGCCTCATTAACACTGCTACAGCACGAAAACTGCGACTGCCACTGGACAGATGCTTACCTGAGATCGACGCACGACTGGTAGACGGCACGCCGCTGGCAATACGGGAACGCGTAGACCGAGTTCGGATTCGATGCGGGGGTAACTTCACGTTTAGCCAGGAAATGCTCGCAACGACCCTCGACGGAACCGACATTTTACTCGGGCGTGATTGGCTGCGACGACACAATCCGCGAATCGACTGGACGACGGGTGACTGCACCGTGCGAGTGAACGGTAACAACATCGCCTTACCTCGCTGGGGCTCGCCTGAGTCTTCGTCGGTGCGTGTCAATGCGATCACGATGAAACGCGCTGTAGCGGCCGGAGCTGACGTGTACGCGGTTGACATTCGGGAAGCCGAGGCAGCAGACAAGGGAGGGGATTTACAAAAACTGCTGACCGACGTACCGAGTGATCTGGCAGCACTGGTAACACGGTACAGTGACATTTTCCCGGATGACTTACCGACGGGACTGCCACCTCAGCGACCGCACGATCACAGGATAGAACTGGAACCGGGGGCACAGCCAACAGTACAGCGACAGTTCCGACTGACCCAACCCGAACTAGACGAACTAAGGAAGCAGCTCGATTACCTGCTCGAGAAGGAATTCATTCGCCCTAGCTCGTCGCCCTTCGCCGCACCAATACTGTTCACACCGAAAAATGACGGGGGATTTCGCATGTGCACAGACTACAGAGCACTGAACAGGGTTACCATCAAATCCCGTTACCCCATCCCACGAGCCGACGAACTGATCGACCAACTGCGCACATCCCGGGTTTTCTCGAAAATTGACCTCCGGGGAGGCTACCACCAAATTCGCGTCAACCCACCCGACTGCCCTAAAACCGCATTCCGAACACGCTACGGATCTTTCGAATACACTGTCATGCCATTTGGACTGACCAACGCCCCCGTCACCTTCCAAATGACCATGAACGAAGCATTCCGCCCGCTTCTAGATAAGTGCGTCATCGTTTACCTGGACGACATTTTGATTTACAGCCCTGACAGAGCACAGCACTTACAGGACATCGAAGCAGTTTTTAGAATCCTGAGTGAGAACCGCCTACTGACCAAAGCATCTAAGTGTGAGTTTTTACAGGACCGCCTGGAGTTTTTAGGACATGTTATTTCAGCTGCAGGAGTGGAAATAGACCCGAAGAAAATCGCGACGATTCAGGCTTGGCACGCGCCGACCAACTTGACCGCGTTGCAGAGTTTCCTGGGGTTCGTCAACTACGTGCGCCGGTTCGTCCCCGACATGGCGAAGCTGACTGCCCCGTTGACCGACCTGCTGAGGAAGGGGGTTGAGTACACGTGGGGGGAGAAAGAGCAAGCTGCCTTCTCGGCCCTCAAAAACATTTTGTGCTCACCGCCCGTGCTTCACATCGCAGATCCACACCGTCCGTTCGAGCTCGTCACCGACGCAAGTGACATCGCTGTGGGAGCAGTACTGTTGCAGGACTTCGGGAACGGCCTCCAGCCAATCGCGTACGAGTCTCGCAAGCTACACCCGCCCGAACGCAACTACCCGATACACGACCGCGAAATGCTGGCGATCGTGCACGCGTTCAAAGTTTGGCGGTGTTACCTGACTGGCGCCGACGTGATAGTACGGACAGACCACCGCTCACTACAGTACCTTCGCGCCCAACCGAATCTCAACCCACGACAGATTCGCTCGTTCGACTATCTTGAGTCCAATTTTCACTACACCGTTACGTACAAAAAAGGCGCATCCAACATCGCCGACGCTCTCACCCGCCCCACCGCCCAACTCCACGCCATCCTACTCGCCCAGACCAACCCGCTTTTAACTGGCCTATTCACCCACGGATACCGCACCGACCCATTCTTCACGACCGGAAATTCACAGCAACTGGCAGAAGCAAAAGGAGTTTATTACGTAAAAACAGGCACCAACCGCATTTGGGTACCCGCGTACTCACTACTGAGGGAGCTGCTACTGCAAGAGGCACACGACGGGATTACCTCGGGACATTTCGGGGTAGAAAAAACACGACAGCAACTGCAGCGGTATTATTATGGCCGGAGCTGTTGACCGACGTACAGCAGCACGTGGGCTCGTGCCTTACGTGTCAGGTGATGAAGAGTTCAAGGAAGCGGAAGGCGGGTCAATTGCAGCCGATCCCACCGCCCGAACGCGCCTGGCAGCAAGTAACCATGGACTTCGTCACAGGGTTACCTTCGAACCCTGGGGGTAACGACGCGGTGATGGTCGTCGTGGATAGGCTGACGAAGATGGCACACTTCGCTGCGTGCGAAAAGTCGATCTCAGCCGAGGAGACCGCTCGCCTGTTCATCGCAGCCGTTGTTCGCCTGCACGGGATACCAGCAGCGATTATCAGCGACAGGGACACGAAGTTTACCAGCAACTTCTGGAAGAACCTTTGGGAGCAGTTCGGGACCAGGCTACAGTTCAGTTCGTCGTACCACCCCGAGACCGACAGCCAAACGGAGCGGACGAATCAGACGATGGAGCAGTTGATTCGTGCCACGTGCGACGACCCCACGACCTGGGAGCAGCAGCTGCCGCTGATCGAGTTCGCGTACAACAACGCCACGTAAGCAACGACGCAGCAGTCCCCGTTCTACCTGAACTATGGGCAAAACCCCACAGTGCCCATGACGCCGAGTCCGGACAACCCAACGCCACGTGCACAACAATTTGCCGAAATCCTGCAAGCTGCCCGCACCAGAGCCGCCGAAGCAATAAAAAAAGCCAACGTCATCGCTAAGCGCAACGCTGACCGCCACCGCCGCCCTGTCACGTACCAATCTGGAGATTACGTGCTGCTCGACACGCAAAATCTGCGACTGCCTGACGTACCGAAATTACGACCGCGCTACTGTGGACCATTCCAAATCAGTCACATGATCACACCCGTCACCGCACATCTACTGTTACCAACCGACTGGTACATCAGCCCTTCGTTCCACGTCAGCCTACTTCGCCCATACATACCGACCACAAGTCAACTGCCGCGTCACCGCCCACAATCAATGACTCGCCCTGCATCGGAGCCGATCATCGAGCCCGAAAAAATCCTGAGCCATCGGATCCGCCACCCCACGGGAATCAGGAGGATTGAATTCCTCGTTCGCTGGAAGGACCGCACGCCAACTGAAGATAGCTGGGTGCCCCTGACCAACATTGAAAACCACCCTGCCCTGCAAGTGTACCTGAGGAGCCGGGGATTCCGCGATATACACGCACTCGCGTAGCGGAGGGGGCTTCTTAAGGGGGGGGGTAGTGTAAGGAATTTTCTCGGCATTCCTTACGGAGCCGACTACATCGCGTACAGCAACAGCCGTTGTTCGCCCGTTACTGTTAACGGGACTTCGCTGACTTCGCGCGCACTGTTTTGCCAAACCTCGCACTGCTGGCATGGCCGTATCGGCCTACGCTTCGGGACTAGCCCGAGCCTCGCTCCAGCGTAGCACTAGCAAGCTCGCACGCACCGCGTTACCGTTTTGCATGTTTCGCGTATAAATGTTCGCTCATGCCTTCGCTCACATTTTGTACTCGTTTGACACCATAGTGCAATTCTCGCTACTTCGATTCATTGCACCCGTAACAAGGCGTATAGACGCTATGCACATTTACATTGGAGTCTTATTTTCCTATTTATGTGAGTGCTGCTGTATCGCATGGTGAGATCACAATGCACCAGTGAGTGAAAAAGTTGGCGTGTGCGTGCATGCATGCGTGAGTGTGCGTACATGATCGCGTGAACAGAGATTCTCTTACACTTCATCATTCTCAGAACTACACCCCTCCTCAACTCTCCCACTCCCCCTCACTCTCCATCAATTCCCCCTGCCTCCTCCTTCCCCTCCATAGATAGCCTACCTTGAAGCGTGTGGTGGCAGCAGCAGCAGCAGCAGTGTGGCAGGGCAACCCGCACCCACAGAGGGTTACCTCACTGCAGCAGGGCTGGGCGCAGTGGCGGTGGTGATGGCCGTGGTGAGCCAGCAATTGAGCTACCGATCGTATGTTGTCTCCACCAACACACACACCGCTGCCATCAGTGCAGGTGAGTGAGAAGAGGGAGAGGTGCCTAAACCCTTGCGGCGCCTCAAAAGTCAGTGGCGGTGGTAATGGCCGTAGTGAGCCAGCAATTGAGCTACCGCTCTTATGCTGTCTCCACCAACACACACACCACCGCCATCAGCGCAGGTGAGGAGAGAGGGGGGCAGTGGGCAGGCAGGCCGTCAGCGTCAGCTTCAAAACTGCTTGTTGTCGTCTCGCGAGTCCTACAGCTCTCCGCTCGCAGCCCACGCTCCCAATCTCAGCCATCCAGTTCGGGAAGAATGCCTCTGTTCCCCCAACTGTTCTCCCCGCCCACTTCCACTTCCTCCCCTCCCACACCCTCCCTCTCCCTTTCAGTGCATCGCCACATCCTCTCAGAAGAAAATGTGTGTGTCAGTAAACCAGCTGAGCTTTGATTCGTCTTGAAAATCAACTCGGTCTTCCTCCCTTCCCACACCCGTCCTCTCCCCGTCAGTGCACCGTCACCTCCTCTCCCTCACCGCCAGCGCGCTGAGCCACGTCAGCAGCGGGCACTGCATCAATCTGCTGTCCAATGATGTGCGCCGATTGGAAGACCTGGTGTTTTTTGGCAACGCGCTCTGGGTGGTGAGGCCAAGGGGACGGTGGGGTGGGGTGCCAGGTGGGGGATGGGAGGACGGAGATGACGGATGGGGGATGACGGATGGGGGATGACGGATGGGGGGACAGGGGATGACGCTTGGGGGGACAAGGGCAATAGAGGGAAGGGCTTGTGGAATGAAGAGATATGGAGTTGGGGACTGTGGTGGTGGGGGAGAAGAGGGAGTGGATGGGAAGAAGGCCAAGAGCAATTGTCCTACCCACCCGCATAAGGTTGCCAGCCTCTTTTTGTGATTGACTGCCTTCGTCCGCTTGATGCATTCCCCACGTTCCTGCGGGTGTTCTCCTGTGGCTGCTTCTCTTGCTACCCTGTTTCCGTTATGCAGGCCCCGATTGAGCTTGCGATGGTCACGTGGCTGATAGCGAGGGAGATCGGATGGGTGCCCACCATCGCTGGCATCGCCACGCAACTGCTGCTGCTTCCACTACAGGTGCGTGGTTTGACACTCGGCTATGATTGACCTTGTGGTTGTCACGTGGCTGATATTGAGGGAGATCGATCGGACAGGTGCCCACCATTGCTAGCATCGCCACGCAACTGCTGCATGCCTCGTCACTTCGTTTTCGGCGGAGAGACTGAGAGAGAGATAGCTTAACTTAGAGCCTTATCAGCTCTTTTCCCTCTGCCCTTTGCACTCTGCAATGGGTACTTAAGGCCCCGAAGCCCTTCCAAGAGCTCATTCTTCGACTCATACTTCACTGTTTTCTCAAGATCATTCCGGTTACTCCGTCCACTCCCATTGCGCGTTTCATTCCCCCCCACCATATAACCACACTTTTCCCCCACCAAATAACCGCACAACAACAACTGGCGTGCGGGCGTTGTGCTCTGCCCCCCCAAAGTCGTCCCCCGTCTGCCCTCCATGCGTCAATCCCTCCATCCCCCTTATGTGCTTCACTCTTTCCTCCGAAACAACCGAACAACAGCAGCTGGCATGTGGGAAGTGGGGGGTGCGGCTGCGAGAGCAAACAGCGGAGGCCACGGATGCACGCGTCAAGCACATGGAAGAGGTGGGCGGTTAGGGAGGGAGGAGGTGGGTGGGTATAATTTCTAGGACGGCGAAAACAGCGGAGGCCACGGATACACGTGTCAAGCACACGGAGGAGGTTGGTGTTTAAGGAGGGAGGAGAGGGGAGAGCGGAAAGAGAGGGGTTGGGTGGGAGATGGGAAGTGAGGGGTTGGATGGGGAAGGGGAGGGTTGGATGGGGGAACGGAGGGTTGGATGGGGGAACGGAGGGTTGGATGGGGGAACGGAGGGTTGGATGGGGGAACGGAGGGTTGGATGGGGGAACGGAGAGGTTGGGTGAGGGAGGTGAAGAGAGGGGTTGGATGGGGAGGGGGGGGGGGGGGAGAAGAGAGGGGTTAGGTTGGGGAGGGGAAACTTGAAGGAGGCAATGGTAGGGGCCAAGGGTTGGGGGATGGGAGCCCATTGTGGAGGTGGGAAGAAAGGGGAGGACGTCGATAGAGGGTCAAAAACAGCTGTCAGAGTGAATATTTTGCGGTGTTGCGGTGCGGGGAACGTAGGCGAGTGGCGAGAGTAAGATGGGTGGAATGTGGGAAAGAGAGGGGCAAGAAGGGAGCAGGAGAGGAAGGTATAACACACACAGTGTGTCAATGAAATTGCACTATGGCATGGCATATTCATGGCCTCTCAGGTGCTTGCCTTGCCTTTCCATCCTAGCATCCTTCAGCTCCTGTCCCCTCTCACCGTTGGCCTAGTCTACCACTGACTGGGTTAGACGGGCACGTTTGTTTGGTGGGAAAGCACACCCACCCACGCTGCACCTGTAGCCCTCCCACACTCAACCGGGGAACAATCACAGTGCCTCACCAACAACCTCAGGACGCGGCACCTCAAGCAATTTTGCACGATCGATCGCAGGATCGCTGATTCAACCGTACTGAAAAGCTGCTGAAAGCATTCAAATCTTTTGAAACCATTTGAAACTCCTAAAACATTCGATCCTGCGCAGGATCGATCGCAGGATCGGTGCTAGAGGTGTCGCGTCCTCACCCTCACTAGGGTCGTCTCCCCTCACTTGGGGCTCGTTAGGGCAATTGGCGCCCATTGGCGCTTATTGAGACTCGAAGTCGAGACCTTTGGCACAGATACCACTTGTTGGCCCAGCTTGTTACCGACTGAGCTAGAAGCTCTTGTTTGGTGGGTAGCACTCTCAACTGGTGAACCCCTCAGGCCACACCTGTGATCCGTCCACACTCAACTGGTGAACAACATCCAGTGACCCTTCAACATCACCCACCCATCTGTCGCTCCACAACAGGCTCTGGGCGGCATCCTGACAGTGAAGATACTGGCATTGGAGCGGGTTTTCACGGCAATCATCGAACGACTCAGGCGGACAGAAGTGTCCTTGTGAGTCAATCCCTTCAGCTCCCACCACTGTTCTCTGCCTCCTTCCCTTCCCGCCCCTCTCGTCCCACATTTTACTCATCTGATCACTCCAGCTACATGCATTCATGCATTCCATCCCTACAGAATCAACATTCGCTCCTTCCGTCCACCACCCTGCTGCCCAAACGGTCCTTTGTATTAATGCGGTGATTCGTACAAGCAATACGGTCCACCACCCTGCTGCACTCCATCTTCCCCCTTCGCCATCCAGCCTGCAGTGCACAGCCGCCATCAACGCCATCTTCTTTTTCTTCACGTCAGCGATTGCTTCTGGGTCGAGTAGAAAATCGCCTCAAAAATCCCCTCCATCTTCCCTTCCTCTCCAGCCTGCAGAGCACCGCTGCCATCAACGCCGTGACGGATGCCCTTTACTTCTCCTTCACCTCCGTGGTCGCCCTCGTCACCTTCGCCACCTTCACGTGCCTCGGAGGGCACCTCACTGCCTCCTCCGTGTTCTACGTGCTCACGCTGCTCGAGGTGCGTGCTTCCTTGTTTTCTGGTACCGCTGTTCTTCAGGCACCTCATAAACACCCTCATGTGCCTCGGAGGGCACCTCACCGCCTCCTCCGTGTTCCACGTGCTCACACTGCTCGAGGTGCGTCTTTCCTTGCTCCTCAGTCGAGCAGGGTTGACAAACCTGCTACTCATGGAGCAGTTGATATGCGTGTTCTCACAGCGCCCACTCATGGAGGCGCGTGTTCTCACAGCGCCCACTCATGGAGGCGCGTGTTCTCACAGCGCGCACTCATGGAGGCGCGTGTTCTCACAGCGCCCACTCATGGAGGCGCGTGTTCTCACAGCGCCCACTCATGGAGGCGCGTGTTCTCACAGCGCGCACTCATGGTGGCGCGTGGGAGGGTATTGGATCGGATTGACTGGGATGGTCATTGTGCGCTGTTGCTACTTTCTGGACGACACTGTCAGCTTTGCCCACTGACATGCCCCGCCCTCCCCTTCCTCCCCTCCTCCGTATCCCCCACAGATACCGCGATACACCATGGGGCGGAAGGTGGCCCATGGCAATCGGAACATACGCGTTTTAGGACATTTCAAAACTTGCATGCCCCTCCCTCCACTCCCTCTGAACCCACAGATACCGCGATACACCATGGGGTGGAAGGTGGCCCATGGCATTCAGAACATACGCGTTTTAGGACATTTCAAAACTTGCATGCCCCTCCCTCCACTCCCTCTGAACCCACAGTTACCGCGATACACCATGGGGTGGAAAGTGGTCCATGGCATTCAGAACATACGCATTTTAGGACATTTCAAAACTTGCATGCCCCTCCCTCCACTCCCTCTGAACCCACAGTTACCGCGATACACCATGGGGTGGAAGGTGGCCCATGGCATTCAGAATATCGCCGAGGCATCTGTCAGCTTCAAGCGACTGTCGCACTTCCTGCAGGTCAGATTCATGCTCGTTTCATGGTCTTTTCATGCTCGTTTCATGCTCTATTCATTCTCTTTTCATGCTCCTTTCATGCTCTTTTCATGCTCTTTTCTTGCTCTTTTCATGCTCTTTTTATGCTCTTTTCATGCTCTTTTTATGATCTTTTCATGCTCTTCCGTGCTGCCCGCGCATTGGGGTCAACGCCAATGCTGCGGCGCATGTCCGGTTGGAGCCTTACGCATGGGTGATGCGGTGCGATTGGTCACTGGGAGTGTGAAAGCATGCCGCCTCAGTGCGCCTCAGTGCGCCTCAGTACGCCTCAGTGCGCCTCAGTGCGCCTCAGTACGCCTCAGTGCGCCTCAGTGCGCCTCAGTGCGCCTCAGTGCGCCTCAGTACGCCTCAGTGCGCCTCAGTGTGCCACAACGTGCCTCAGTGCGGTGGGTCGGTGGGTGCGAGTGATGAATGTGTATCTTCTCAAAAGTCAGACCAGCTTGCTGAGTACCATCTCATCCCCTCTCAGAGTGCCTCTGCCTGTACATGCCTGTGCGTGCTGCCTGCACTCCAACAGACCAAACCCCACGGAGCCACGCACAAGGGAGCCCCTTCTCAGAACGGATATGCAGCACTGCTCCCAGAAGCGCGCCACTATGCCCTTGAGGCGATGTTTGAGTTCACTGTTGAGACGTCTCAAAAGATGTTTGAGTCCACGCAAGGAGCGAATTCACAGAATGGCTCGGCATTGCTCCCAGAGGAGTTGACTTTTGCGTCGACTCAAAAGAATTCACACAATGGTTCTGCATTGCTCCCAGAGGAGCGCCGCTACGCCAGTGCCACCCAAACCACCACCACCATGCCTCTCAAATCCACAGCTACTGCTCTCACAGCACCGACTCTCCAGTCCCCGCCATCGTTGGAGCTCGCCTCACTGCCCTGCCACAGCCTCTCCTCCTCCTCCTCTGCTCCCACACGCCTTCCTTCCACCCCCCGTGCTGCCTTGGTGCTTGAAGGGGCTTCTTTTTCTTGGGGAGAAGCAGTGGGAGAAGCTCGGTGCGAGGGGGAGATGGAGGACGAAGAGAAAGGAGAAGGATTGAGCAGAAGGAGGGAGAGCCATGCACTTCAAGTGGCATCGGCAGGGCATGTATTTGATCTCTCTGAGACTCCCTCCACGGGCTTTGGCTGCACGGACGATGGGTGCAGGGGCTATGGCACAGGTTATGGCACGGGCTACAACAGAAGCAGCTGCAGCGTCGCACACGTCCCCTCAGCTTTCCGCATGTGTTTCCCGCAGCGGTTCATGGGCTCTCATGCTGCTGGTCTTTCCCCTGCTGCAGCTTCTGCTTCTTCTTCTGCTGCTGATGCTGCTGCAGTGAGTGCGCCTGTGACTGCACAGGGGGGGCAAGAGCGGCAGAAGGAGATGGGCTGGCGGGACGATGCACCGAGCGGGCGGGTGGAGGGAGTGAGCGTGAGGCTGGGAGAGGCGGAGCTGCTGGGAGTGACTGGCAAGGTGAGCCCTTAACTCGTTGGTTGCAGCGTGCCGCATGCTATGGCATGCACGTGCCTTTGCGCGTGTTGTACGCCACACCACTGTTTGTCGCAGCCTACTGTGCTGCCTGCTGTTAGAATCAAGATGCCATCGTGCGATTCTCCTTTCCTCCCTCCCTTGCTACCACGCAGACGGGCAGTGGCAAGTCGTTGCTGCTGCTGGGTATTCTGGGGGAAGTGCCTCTCTCATCCGGCGCCATGCACCGCTCCGTGCCCTCCCTCGCCTATGCATCGCAACAGGTCTGCCTCCCACTCGCCTCTCTCTCACCCTTCCCGGTCGTCTCTATCTCATGCTTTGCCACTCGTCTCTGTCACCGAATATGCACGGTTGTGCATATAAGGTGCCAGTATGATTAAGGTGTAGGACGGGTGTAGTGATGTGTTGTATTTGGTGTATGCAGCCTCAAGGATAAGTAGGTGGGGGGCTGGGAAATTGACGCGGAGTTGGTAGGAGATCACCAAGGGGTGAAATCCTCGCGACCAATGGGAACAAACCCACCCAGGCCCGAGCCGCACATTGAGAAATGCACGGCTCGAGCCAGGGACAGGTAAGTTCACTCTCACACACACACACAATGCTTTCCGTTTGTTATCCTTTCGTATAGTGGATTCTGGTTACCTCTAGCCTTGCGTTTGGTGACACCCACTCAGGGAGGACCATTGAGGTGAGAGTCTCGTCACTTTCATAACAAACGGAAAGCATTCTGCGTGTGTGCAAGCATGGACGGGTACGATGTGCGTTATGGCCGGACGTATAGTCGGCATGAGCAGGATCGCTCACGGCGCGGACACTCCCGCGAGCGTGGGCGGTCGCTGGAGCGGTCTCCGCGGAGGCCAGATCGATCGCCGCGAAGGCCTGCCTTTCGGGCGGATCAGGTGCCTCTCGGGCATGAACGCCGAGAGGAAGGATCTGCACAAGGAAGAGCCGGCGGATCGGAATCGGCCATGGTGAGGAGTGATCCGTGGCGGACGGAAACGCGCCATGGGGGTGGCGATCTGGGATATCGCCAGGAGACGGGAGCGTATCGCTCGCCGGATGCAAGTTATCGCCGTCGCGAAGATCGGAGGCGCGGGCGAGGCTTGGAAGGACTGTTTTCGGGCCGAGAGGGAGACCTCAACGCTGGCGGAGTAGAAGAAAGCGACGCGGCGGACACCTCGCAGGAGTCCGAGCACGGCGATGCGGCGGAGAACGGCGCCGACGGCCGGAAGGAGGACGTGAGCAAGCAGCGCGACGTGCCTGCAGAAGCAACAGAAGCAGATCTCGCGCAGGCGAGCGTGGCGGCAGAGACAAGCGCGGTGGAGGCGGACGGAACGAGCGGTGCTCGAAACCCGCCGCGCAACGGAGAGGAGCGTGGCAGCGGGAGGCGTAGCAGCAGCTCGCGCTCTCCAGATTTGCGTCAGCAATGCGACGCGGGATGCGGCGACGGCGTGCGCTCGCCAGATCATCGGCGCACTTGTGATGGGGGGCGCGGCGACGGCATGCGCTCGCCAGATCCGCGGCGCACTCGTGATGGGGGACGCGGCGATGGTGTGCGCTCGCCAGATCCGCGACGCACTCGTGATGGGGGAAGCGGCGACGGCGTGCGCTCGCCAGATCCGCGGCGCACTCGTGATGGGGGACGCGGCGACGGCGTGCGCTCGCCAGATCCGCGGCGCACTCGTGATGGGGGACGCGGCGACGGCATGCGCTCGACAGATCCGCGGCGCGCTCGTGATGGGGGACGCGGCGATGGTGTGCGCTCGCCAGATCCGCGACGCACTCGTGATGGGGGAAGCGGCGACGGCGTGCGCTCGCCAGATCCGCGGCGCACACGTGATGGGGGACGCGGCGACGGCGTGCGCTCGCCAGATCCGCGGCGCACTCGTGAAAAGGGACGCGGCGACGGCATGCGCTCGCCAGATCCGTGGCCGCTGCATGAGAGGAGACACGGAAGTGGATACCACTCGCCAGATTCGAGGCAACACCGGGACAGTGGGCGCGGGGGCAGCACGCACTCACTAGATCCGCGGAGAAATCGCGACGGGAGAAGCAGAGGGGATTCGCGCTCGCCAGAGCCTCGTTACTCGCGTGATGAGAGACGCGGAGGAGGCAATCGCTCGCCGGACATGCAACGGTACCGTGGAGAGAAGTGGGGAGACAAGGCGCACTCGCCCGACTGGCGCCTGCGTCATGGGGAAAGCCGGGGAGGCGGATATCGCTCACCGCATCGGCAGCAGAGCAGGGATGGGAGGCGCGGTGGTGGGTCTCGATCGCCTGGCCGGTATTGGCAGCACGACGGAAGATGTGCCGGACAGGGAGGGCGGGAGCAACATGGCGATAGAGAAGAAAGCAGTGGGCTGGTGCACAGCCTGGAGCGAGCCAAGGAAGCAAGGGAGGGCCTACAGCGGGCAAAAGGAAGGGGAGCATCAGGGAGATTGGTGGGAGGGCCGAGCAAGGCATGGGGAGAAGGAAGGGGAGGCACGGCCGTGGGCATGAGGGTGGAGGTGCCTACACGCTTCTCAGGAGATCAGCACACGGGGCCCACGCTGAAGAACTACCTCATGCAAGTGGGCAATGTGCGGTACCGATGTGAGAGGAGCGGCATGGACTCAGTAGACTTTTTCCTGAGCCTGCCGAACACACTGGAAGGGGAGGCAGAGACATTGTACAGGATGAAGATGGATGAGCTGTTGGAGAGGGCAGGGAGGTATGGGGAAGACCCCACGGAGGCATTCCTAAGACGGCTGAAACGGCAGTTCCCAGGCCACACCGCGGAGAAGATAAGAGAGTTTCAGGACTTCAGGAAGGGGCGGGGCGAGTCACTACTCACCTACTACAACCGATTGGTTAACCTGGCATAGGATGTGAGTTGCGCGGACACGGCCCTGCTCGTGAGTAAGTTTCTGGACGGCCTGGAGGGTACTTTGGGAAGCGGGCTGCGGCTGAAAGTGTACGAGAGGGGGGCTGACGTGACGCTTGATGAAGTATTCGAGCTAGCAGAGAAGATGGAGATGGCCCAGAGGAAGCTCGAAGCCTACCGGCAACGCCCAGTGGAGCGAGGCAGAGGACCTACGTGGGCCGCAGCCATGATACCAGAAGAAAAGGAAAGAGGAGGGGGAAGAGGGGATAACAGGACTGACACACGGACGTGCCACCGATGCGGGCAGCCAGGGCACTTGCGCAGAGACTGCAAGAATTGCGACTCCTGTGGTAAGCCCGGACACCGGCGGCGGGAATGCCCAACGGCGCCAAAGTGTGACATCTGTGGGAAGGGAGGGCATGCAACGAGGGAGTGTTATCAGCGGGAGGGAGCAGCGAGGAGGACACCAGAGGACCTGGAAAGGCAGATTGGCAAGCTACAGGCTCAGCTGCAGGCAATGGGACCACGACGCGAGGCAGAAGCGGGGATGTACGCTAAGAAAGAAAAGGAGGAGGATGTAGAGCAGGATGAAGAAGCTGCATTCATGAGCTGGGCAGGAAGAGCGGAGGATGAGGTGGAACACGAGGAGCAGCCAGCATACATGGCATGGAGAGGAAGGGAGGAGATGGGGCTGCGCAGCGGGGGAAGGGATGCACGGAAGGAGCAGGTGAGGAAGGAACGAGAGAAAGGACAGAAACCGGAAGCGAAAGAAGAGAGGTGCACAGCAGCACGGCACCCTCAGGAGCGGCTGGCGTGCCAGACTTCCGTGCTGCTGATACAAGGAGGCGCGCTGTCGGTGGAAGGGGAGAAGGCCAAGACGGCTATCATAGACACTGGCGCGCAGAGCGTGATATTAGGGAAGGGGATGGCCGAGAAGCTGGGACTGTGGGCACCGGACAGACATGTAGTGAAGGGGATGCTGGTGATGACAGCAGAGGGAGGAGAGTCAAAGTGGATGCCATGTACAAGGACTCCAATTGAACTGACGGTGCTCAAAGGAGAGAAGCACGAAACGCCGGTCAGGATCAGGTGCGGGATCTCAGAATCTGAAGATTTCGACGTTTTGGTGGGCACGGAGATGATCTTTGCACTGGGCATGACCATCTGCTTCTGGAGGGAGACGGTGGAATTCAGGACCAGGTGGTGGAGGAAGGGTGAGCCACTGGGACAGCTGCCGGTGCAGTTCGTCAAGACAGAGCCGAAGCGGGCCTACAGGGCGGATCTGAAGGAAATGACAGCGAAGCAGGGGGCACAGGAGAGCACGACAAGCAAGGGACAGGGCAGAGAGCTGAGGATGCGCTTCATGGACGAGCCTAGCCAGCAGACTGATTGGCAGCAACCTATCCGCCTGGTGGAACTATTTGGGGGTATAGGGGCGGGGTTGGCAGCAGTGGTGCGGAACGGGATCGCAGTGAAGCAGTGGATTTACGTAGAGAAGGCGGCAGAAGCAAGGAAAATGGCGGAGCATCACGCATAGCAGCTGCACGGCGAGTTCCCGGAGCTGTTGAAGGAAGAAGTGATCAAGGCAGCAATGAGTAGAGGAGTGCACGATGTACGGGCCATCACAGAGGCTGAGGTGGCGAGCTGGGGGCACGTGGACCTGTTGGTGGCGGGATGGGAATGCCAAGGGGTATCATGGGCAGGGAAGGGCAAGGGTGAGCAAGACCTACGGACACAACTGATGGAGGACTTGTTCAAAATTCTGGAGTGGCTGCAGGCTCGACAAAGCAGGGTGGCCTACCTGCTGGAGCATTTAGACATGGAAGGAGATGTGCGCGAGCCCATACGAGTAGTAAGGGAGCGAGTGACCAGACAGGTGGGAAAGGGAGTGAGCTGCGACGCGACACGGATGGGAGCTTACGCACACAGGCTCAGGATGTACTGGCAGAATGTGGTGCCAGCAGAAGACCTGCAGAAGGAGATAGAGGGGGTACGGAGAGCAGGGGGGCGGAAGCTGAGCGATATACTGGAGCCTGGGCGAACGCCAGCACCAGTGTATAAGAAGAGCTACAGCCGACATTATCCGTGCAATCAAGTGGGGCAGGAGAGGCAAGCACTGCCTACGCTAGTGTCATATGAGGGGGCAGCAGGGTACCAGATGGATGGGAAGCAGCCAGGCCCAGGACTAGTGCTCGACCACGGGAAGGGAAGGTGGGAGGAGCCCACGGCCCTGGAGAGGGAGCTGGCTATGGGGTACAAGGAGAACGCTACAGCAGCCCCTGGCGTCACTGAACAGGAACGGAGGCGGGCAATGGGGAACGCAATGGATGGGTACGTGATGAGGTGGTTGGTGCAGCGGATGTGGAGAGAGACAGTGCTGCGCTGGGGACTGAAGGAGGGAGAGAACACAGTAGCAACGGTGAGGCAGGGGGCATGGGCCTGCCTGCCGAAAGCAGAGCATGAGTGGAAGATAGGTGAGAGCATGAGTGAGGGAGGGAAGGCAGCCATGCTGGCACTGCTGGTTAGGCACAGGAGGGGCTTCGCTTTCACCCTGCAGGAGTTGGGGAAGTGCAAGATCAAGGAGATGGCATTGAAGCTGAGCAGCGATGAGCCGGTGTTCCACCGCCGAAGAAAGATGCCGCCTGGGGATGAGGCGATCTGCAGGGAGAAAATAAAGGAATTACTGGAAGCTGGATTGATCAGAAGGTCAGAGTCAGAGTACGCGACCCCGACGGTAGTGGCAGCCAGGAAGGATTTGACAGGAGAGGTGCTGAGCTGCAGGATGTGCGGCGATTACAGAGATCTTAATAAGATCACCGTGCCGGACAGGTACCCCATGCCGATGGCAGAGGAGCTCTTTGACAAGATGGCCGACGGGGTGTACTTCACGACGCTGGACCTGCGCCAGGGATTCAATCAAATAAAAATCAGGGAAGAAGATGTGAAGAAGACAGCCTTCCACGGACCGGACGGGCTGTACGAGTGGCTATACATGCCCTTCGGCCTACGGAACGCCTCGGCGGTGTTTCAACGAGTCATGGACGCGGTGCTGCGGGGAATTGAACATGCAGCATGCTACATCGATGATGTAGTCATCTTCAGCTTGACCGAGCAGCAGCATCTGGAGGACGTGGAGAGGACCCTGAGTGCAATAGAGGAGGCAGGGCTCACATGCCATCCCAACAAATGCAGGTGGGGGGAACGGACGGTGCAGTACCTGGGGTATGAGGTGACAGGGGGACAGATCGGGATCCAGCAAGCAAAGGTACAGGTGCTGGACAGGCTGAGGGAACCTAGAGACAAGTCAGGGCTGCGCGCGGTCTTGGGCTTCCTCAGCTACTACAGGCGCTTTGTGCCTAACTTCAGTAACAGGGCGGCGGTGCTGAATGGGATACTGCGTGAGGACAAGGCATGGGAGTGGGGAGAGCAGCAGAGGGTAGCACTCCAAGACCTCATGACAGCTGTAAAGACGGCGACAGTGCTACGGCTGCCAACAGCAGACCAACCTTTCGTCCTCTACACCGATTGGAGCAGCCAGGGGATGGGGGCAATACTGTGCCAGGGGGTGGAGGGAGTGGAGAAGGTGGTAGCCTACGCCAGCAGGAGCTGCAACCCCGCAGAGGCGCAGTATAGCTCATACATAGGGGAGGGACTGGCGGCAGTGTGGGCAGTTGGGCACTTCAGGGTGTACCTGCAGGGCCGCGAGTTCACCTTGGTCACTGATCATCAGCCCCTCACGTGGCTGATGACCACACCAGGGCTGACGGGAAGGAACGCCAGGTGGGCCGTGAAGCTGCAGGAATATGATTTCCAGATCAGGCACAGGCCGGGGAAGACGCTGCAGCACGTAGACGGTCTCTCCCGTAATCCACCACTGCTGGAAACAGGACAAGGAACACAGGGGACGGAGGGGACAGAGCAGGAGCCAGCGCACACCCTGATCATGCTGGCGAGAGAAGTGGAACAAGTCGGTGCCAAGGGGAGTAAGGGGCCAGCGGACATATGGCAGGATGAGAAGGCGATGAAGTGGGTGAGGGGAGAAACAGAGGAAGACGAGGCAGTGTCTGACAGAGTGAGAGCACGAGGACACCACTACAGGTGGTACCAGCAGCAGCTGCAGGTCAAGACAGAGGACGGTTGGAAGCTGGTGCCAGCGCCACAGGACCGTGAAGCAATAATCAAAGAGGTACACACTAAGCTGGGACACTTCGGACATGAGAGGACCGTACATCTGCTGAAGACGGGCTGGTGGTGGGAAGGGATGCGCAGACAGGTGAAGGAGTGGGTAGAGGGGTGTGAGGCATGTCAGAGGAGCAAAGCCAACCTGACGCAGGCCAAGGCAGAGCTGAACTCACTGCCAATCTGCGGGCTAGGGTTCCGATGGTCCTTAGACCTGGCAGGGGAGCTGCCCCTAAGCAGGAGTGGGAACCAGTACATCGTGTTCATGGTGGAGCATGTGAGCAAGTGGCTGGAGGTGAGAGCCATCCCCAGCAAGAGCTCAAGGCACATTGCAGCAGCTTTCAAGGCACAGGTCGTGTGTAGGTTTGGGGCATGTGGGGAGGTGCTTACAGACCAGGGAACGGAGTTCCAGGGGGAGTTCAAGAGGTTGCTGGCGGAGTCGGGCATCACCCATCGGAAGACCTCTCGCTACCACCCGCAGAGCGACGGGCTGACTGAGCGAGCAGTGCAGACCTTCAAGCGAGGGCTTCGGGCCTATGGGGAGCAGCGGAAGAGGGACTGGGATGAGGAGCTGGACTGGATCGCAGCAGGGTATAGATTCGGGAAGCAGGCAGCATTGAAGGATCATTCCCCATACAGCCTGCTATACGGACGGGACCCAATCCTGCCTGTGGGGGCACCACGGGTGCTGACAGACACAGTGACAGCGGGCACAATCAAGAACTGGGTAGCCCTGTCCGAGGTGAGGGCGCGGTACATGCGTTACATGATGCCAGCCGCGCTGGAGAACCTGCGCACCGCACAGCTCAGAGATGCCAGGCGATATGAACAAAGGCAGCAAAAGGGGGAGGGCCGAGCGGCAAGGGCCATCAGCGAAGGACAGGAAGTGTATCTGAAGAAGGCCAAGCAGGACACCCTAGATGTGGGATTGGGGACAGTGCGCTGGAAAGTCAAGGAGGTGCGCCCATCAGGAGTGCTGGTCTTGGAAAATGACGCGGGGGCGCAGCTGCGGGAACATCAGACGAACACGGCAGTGATAAGGGGAACAGGGCCTCAGCGTACTGGTCCTGTGACCCGCGCTCAAGCTGCTCGAGCACGGGCACAGGAGGGGGCAGAGAGTGGCTGAGGCAATAGAGGGAACGAAGGAGAGACAGAGCAGGAGAATCAAGGCAAAGAAGAGTGCAGCCGCAACTCCGACAGCTGTCACCGAATATGCACGGTTGTGCATATAAGGTGCCAGTATGATTAAGGTGTAGGACGGGTGTAGTGATGTGTTGTATTTGGTGTATGCAGCCTCAAGGATAAGTAGGTGGGGGGCTGGGAAATTGACGCGGAGTTGGTAGGAGATCACCAAGGGGTGAAATCCTCGCGACCAATGGGAACAAACCCACCCAGGCCCGAGCCGCACATTGAGAAATGCACGGCTCGAGCCAGGGACAGGTAAGTTCACTCTCACACACACACACAATGCTTTCCGTTTGTTATCCTTTCGTATAGTGGATTCTGGTTACCTCTAGCCTTGCGTTTGGTGACACCCACTCAGGGAGGACCATTGAGGTGAGAGTCTCGTCACTTTCAGCCGCAACTCCGACATCTCTCTCCCACCCTTCCCACTCGCCTATCTCCCACCCTTCCCACTCGCCTTTCTCCCACCCTTCCCACTCGCCTCTCCCTCTCCCTTTGCCACTCGCCTCTCACCCTTTGCGCTTCCCCATTCCACCAGCCACTCCTCATCGAAGGGACGGTGCGAGACAACATCCTATTCGGCACACCGCTAGACGAGGCACTGTACGCCAAGGTACTACAATGCATCCCAAGGAACGTCTACCCTGATTCTGTCTCGCCCTGATTCTGTCTCGCCCTGATTCTGTCTCGCCTTTGAACGTCTCCCAATGCCCCCCTCTGCCGTCCATCTTCCCCGTTGACCCCCTCCTCCTCGCTGCCCTCTCCCCCCCCGCGTCTCTCATTCCCTCTCCACTCAAGGTGTTGGACGCCTGTGCTCTGCACTCGGACTTGGCTCTGTGGCCATGTGGTGATGCCTCATTGGTGGAGGAGGGCGGCGGCAACCTCAGTGGCGGGCAGAGGGCGCGCGTTTCGCTTGCCCGGGCGGCGTATGCTGCACTTCACTGCAAGATGACTGCTGAGTCGGCGTATGCCACCCTGCACCGCTGCTCTGCCACACCACAGTTGCACGCTGATAATAATGGTGGCTGCGACAATCGCCATAGCAACAGTAGAGACAATCGCAGTAACAATAGCAGCAGCAGCAGCAGCAGCAGCAGCAGCAGCAGCAGGGGTGCTCCCCCACCCGTGCTGGTCCTCCTGGACGACCCGCTAGCCGCGTTGGATCCAGCCGTTGCCAGCCACGTGTTTCAGCAGTGCGTGTGTGGGCTGCTGGCAGGGCTGCCCCGGATTGTCGTCACTCACCACGTGCAATACCTTGGCAGGTATGGTGATGGGTGGGGGGTGGGGGCCTCTGTCACACAGTGACTCACCACGTGCAGTACCTTGGGAGGTATGGTGACGGGTGCGGGGGAAGAGGGTGGGGAAGGGGCCAAGAGGGAGGGGAACAGTTTTTTTTCTGGACAGTAACCACAGATGTACCTTCTTTCCTTCTCCATGCCCAGTAAGCCCTTCTCTCTATCCCAGAATCCTCTTGCTGTCATCCTCATCCTCATTCTTCCTCCCTCTTCTCCCTCTGTATTTGTTCTGCCCTCCTCACTCACCCCCATCCCCAGCTGCGACAGAGTGTTGCTGCTGGATGACGATACAGCAGCGGCGTGTGGTGCGTGGAGTGACCTCTGCGCCCTGCCCTCTGCTCAACAACACTGGGGAAATCACCCTCCGGGCCCGGATTTTTCGGACGTTTCTGATGATTCCGGCACTTGCAGTGACAGTGCTGTCTGTGCCACTGACTCTGACTCTGAATTTGACTCTTGCAGCAGCACTGACACGGATGAGGACGGCACCCTTGCTGGCACACAGAGCTGCAGATGCAAAAATGGCACCACGGCGGCCTATGTGAGCAGCAGCAGCGGCCGCAGCAGCAGCAGCAGTGTATGCTCTGTAGATTGCGGCAGGAGCAGTGACAGCGACACGGATGCGCCAACAGATTCCACAGACGACTGCCCCTTGATAGGGAGCGAGGTTGTGGTGGAGAAGGCGGAGGCGGCAAGAGGGCGGGGTGTAGACGCATGCAGAGAGCGGGAGTGTGTCTCACATGGGGGTCAGCTTGCTGAGGGTTTGATATGCGAGTCGGGAGAAGCAGCAGCAGCAGCAGCATCAGCAGCAGCGGAGCTGAGAGGCGGGGAGGAGGGAGTGCTGGAGGCGAGTGGCTCCACAGAGGGCGATGAGCAAGGTAGGCCGGCAATGCACGGTAGGCCGGCAACGCACGGTAGGCCAGCAACGCACGGTAGGCCGGCAACACATGTCCAATGCTTTCTGCTCTGAATCCCGAAAGGCTGCTTCGACGTGTTTCTTTCCTCGCTGTCCCTGAAACAGTTCCGTATCACAACCCCTTAACCCCGCCACTTCCTCCCTTCCCTTTATCCCCAAACCTCCAACTTCCCATCCCATGCAATCGCTGTGTGTGCCTGCAGGCCTGCTGGACGTGGAGGGATGGCAGCATGGTGCCATCCCTATGTCGGTGTTTTGGGGCTACGCCAGACAGATGGGCGTGCTGCCCCTGCTGCTCATCGCAGCTCTCTTCCTCGCCGCACACGTCTCAAACTGCCTCGCAAGCTGGTGAGAAAAAAAATCCTCCCCCTCTCACACACTCAAACTCCCCCGCTTTTTCCCCTTCCCTCCTCCATGCCCCGTTCTCCTCTTTATTGCCTGAACGTCTGTGGTGTGTGTGTACTGCACAGCATATGTAACTGTTGGGATGCAAGTGCACACACACTCGTTCCCAATGCCGTATGTGTTGGCCCACACTGCTATCGATTGGGTTAAAGGGGCATGTTTGTATAGTGGGTAGCATACCCAAATCCCCCCAGATTCCATAACGCACATGTAGCCCTCCCACACTCGTTAGGGCATTGGCGCTCATTGGCACACACTAGGACTCGAACCGGAGACCTTTGGCTCTGATACCATTTGTTGGCCCAAAATGATACCAACTTGGTTAAAAGGTCATGTTTGTATGGTGGATGGCACAACCATACCTATCCAAAGTGCCTGTAGCCTGGCCACGCTCAACTAGGGAGTGATCCCAGTGCCCCAACAACAATTTGTCTGTGAAAATTGCCCATCTGTCCCTCCCTCCCGCTCCATGCTTGATGCCACTACCTGTTTTCGTCATTCACAACGGCCAACAATTCTTGCCACTCCTTCCCTCCCCACAAGGTTCCTGGGCGTGTGGACGGACACGCCCCACACCATACACCACCCGCTTCTCACCCTCACGGCCATCGCCCTCTCCTGTGTGGCTCTCTCTCTCCTCGCCTCGCTGCTCTTCCACCGCGCTGCTCTGCGCGCCTCCTCCTGCCTTCACTCACGCATGCTGGCCTCCGTGCTCGCCTCGCCGCTCGCCTTCTTCCACCGCAACCCCACCGGGCGCGTGCTGAACCGGTTCAGTGAGGACCTCGGGGTGACGGACGACGTGCTGCCAGAAATGCTGCTGGGATTCGTCAATGTGAGTGGGAGTATGGTAGGGATGGGGTGAGGGGGAGAAGGGTAGATGGAGGAGCGAAATTGAAGGTGGTTGGGTGATGCTTGAATCACTTTTGAAAACTCTCGAAGGCAGGAAGGGAAGTAAGGAGGGGGGTTGTAGGAAGAGAATTGGGGGAAAGCAGGGGATGGGTGGGATAGATGCATACCCATACGTTTGTTGCAATACGAGCTGGGGGATTACATTGGAATCACTTTTGAGAATTCTCAAAAGTGATCCCAACACACCCAATTGTGTTGGAAGTGGGCACTGGGATGATCCTGAGGGGTTTCCCAAGGGCTACGGGAGTCGTCTTGGCGGGGTATGGGTGCGTGTACCCACTATACAAACATGTCATTTTATCTCAGTTGGTTAGCAAACTGGAGTTAGGGCGCATTCTCAAGCTGGGACACCATCCGAAATTCCTTCCACACGTCTCGCAATGTTGACGTGGCATTAATTCACATTTGAAAGTTGTCCCACGCAGTTCGACATTTGGACACAATGAGTCCAACTGGCCATGGTCGCAATGCCTGGCCTGTCCGTCAGTGTGCGACAATGGAGATCGTGCCACGTTTGTTGGGTGTGGGGACATGACAGTTTCGTACACATAGCCGTCAACAAATCTTTTCAGCCTGCCCACGAAACCCATTTCTGCATTGCTTACGTGAAGCTGCCAATATCACCCATGTTGACTTGATTTGACCAAAATTTTACGACAAGCTCAACCGTCAGGCTCGGCCGTTTAGGTTTTGCCAGTCGAAGTTCGTCCAACACTGGTATGCGAGCTGGCGCGTCAATTCAATTGGATACCTGACATGCGACGCTGTCGACATCTGTTGCCCGCCAAAATGGGTTTCGGTGGGATGTTGGGAGGTTTTCCCCCAAAAACACCATCAGCCTCGTAAAAGCCATCAGGTGGGGGAACTTCGATGGTGTCCCAACTTGAGACCGCCCTCTTATTCCTGCATGGTGCGGTGAGTGTGGAAGAATGCACACGGGGGACCTGGGTTCGAAACCTGGTGTCGGCAGGCTTCCTGTGCCCTAGTGGTGGGCCCTCCCAGTGAGGGGAGTGTTGGAAGTGGGCACCGGAGTTAGTGGATCCAAACCCACTATACAAACATGCACATTTTTCCCAGTTGGTTAGAGAACTGGAGTTATGCTTGTAATTTGTTCTGCTCAATAATAGCTGACGGGGCACGGCAGCTGGTGATTACTACGTGAACGCAGAAAGATGCACCCGCCATAAGTCCAGCCAACCACTCTCTCATCTCGATCCTCCATCATCCCTCTCCCCTTATAAACATACCTTCCTTCCCGCCCTCCCATTCACTTGCCCACAGTCCGTAGGCTTGTGCATTGCGGCGGTGGTATCGGCGTGCATAGCCGTTCCTTGGACACTAATCCCCGTGCTGCCGCTGCTGCTGCTGCTGCTGCAACTGCGGCATTTGTACGTGTGCACGGCGAGGGAGGTCCGGCGGATGGAATGCACAACACGCAGCGTGCTACTTTCTCGGTTCCTTGCCAGCATGGAGGTGAGACTCATCAGTCATAACTCTCTCTCACTAGCTGTACGTGTACACAGTGAGGGGGGTCCGGCGGATGAGATGCACAACACGCAGCATGCTGCTTTCTCGGTTCCTTGCCAGCATGGAGGTGAGACTCATCAGTCATAACTCTCTCTCACTAGCTGTACGTGTACACGGCGAGGGGGGTCCGGCGGATGAGATGCACAACACGCAGCATGCTGCTTTCTCGGTTCCTTGCCAGCATTGAGGTAAGCTGCTTCTCTCAAACAGCCTAAGTCTTTTTCTCCTGGGTACGATTTATAAGAGTGGCGACAGCCTATGTGTCTAAGGGAGCTCCAACACTACGAAGCAATCCCCAGATAAGATGTCTTCTCCTAGGTTGCCTAGGGGCGGGTTCTTAGAATGGGATGCCTCATTTGACCTGATGAGGTAGCTGGGGACTTGCCCTCGCTTTAGATCTGATGGCACGGCAAGGGAGGTTTGACGGATGGTATGCACAACATGCAGTGTGCTCGTCTACTTAGCATGATTATGGTAGCGGTCGGTCTTCTTAGCCGTCGTCTCCCAAGAAGCCCTTCCCCTCCCCTTGATCGCTTGTGGCCCACTGGGGCTGACGGGGTCGGTGGGGCTGATGGGGTTGGTGGGGCTGATGGGGTCGGTGGTGGTCACGATGCTGCAGGGTGTTGGGACCCCGTTTTGAGAATTCTCAAAAACACCCCACTGGGGCTGATGGGGTCGGTGGTGGTCACGTCGCGAATTCCAACTGCCCTCGAGGTACAATCCCGTGGAGAAAGGTCTGCTTTATGGCCGTCAACAGGGCTGAAAACAGAAGTTTTGTTGTGAACCCATGAATGCACACACGTGCGTGCACACATCCACACACACATCCACACACACACACACACGCACTCACTCACACACTCACACACACACTCACACACACACACACTCACACTCACACACACACACACATGTCAAATTATGTGCAACACATATTGTAGGCTAGGTTGAGTTAATCCTTAGAGGGTACGACATTTGTACTTATGCACCCTGTATGGCCTGCTGTTACTTATTTCTGTTCAGTTCTACTTCTCAGCAACACACACGCACACCCACGCATCCACTGTCACACGCACACCCACGCATCCACTGTCACACGCACACCCACGCATCCACTGTCACACGCACACCCACGCATCCACTGTCACACGCACACCCACGCATCCACTGTCACACGCACACCCACGCATCCACTGTCACACGCACACCCACGCATCCACTGTCACACGCACACCCACGCATCCACTGTCACACGCACACCCACGCATCCACTGTCACGCGCACACCCACGCATCCACTGTCACACGCACACCCACGCATCCACTGTCACACGCACACCCACGCATCCACTGTCACACGCACACCCACGCATCCACTGTCACACGCACACCCCCGCATCCACTGTCACACGCACACCCACGCATCCACTGTCACACGCACACCCACGCATCCACTGTCACACGCACACCCACGCATCCACTGTCACACGCACACCCACGCATCCACTGTCACACGCACAACCCACGCATCCACTGTCACACGCACACCCACGCATCCACTGTCACACGCACACCCACGCATCCACTGTCACACGCACACCCACGCATCCACTGTCACACGCACACCCACGCATCCACTGTCACACGCACACCCACGCATCCACTGTCACACGCACACCCACGCATCCACTGTCACACGCACACCCACGCATCCACTGTCACACGCACACCCACGCATCCACTGTCACACGCACACCCACGCATCCACTGTCACACGCACACCCACGCATCCACTGTCACACGCACACCCACGCATCCACTGTCACACGCACACCCACGCATCCACTGTCACACGCACACCCACGCATCCACTGTCACACGCACACCCACGCATCCACTGTCACACGCACACCCACGCATCCACTGTCACACGCACACCCACGCATCCACTGTCACACGCACACCCACGCATCCACTGTCACACGCACACCCACGCATCCACTGTCACACGCACACCCACGCATCCACTGTCACACGCACACCCACGCATCCACTGTCACACGCACACCCACGCATCCACTGTCACACGCACACCCACGCATCCACTGTCACACGCACACCCACGCATCCACTGTCACACGCACACCCACGCATCCACTGTCACACGCACACCCACGCATCCACTGTCACACGCACACCCACGCATCCACTGTCACACGCACACCCACGCATCCACTGTCACACGCACACCCACGCATCCACTGTCACACGCACACCCACGCATCCACTGTCACACGCACACCCACGCATCCACTGTCACACGCACACCCCCGCATCCACTGTCACACGCACACCCACGCATCCACTGTCACACGCACACCCACGCATCCACTGTCACACGCACACCCACGCATCCACTGTCACACGCACACCCACGCATCCACTGTCACACGCACACCCACGCATCCACTGTCACACGCACACCCACGCATCCACTGTCACACGCACACCCACGCATCCACTGTCACACGCACACCCACGCATCCACTGTCACACGCACACCCACGCATCCACTGTCACACGCACACCCACGCATCCACTGTCACACGCACACCCACGCATCCACTGTCACACGCACACCCACGCATCCACTGTCACACGCACACCCACGCATCCACTGTCACACGCACACCCACGCATCCACTGTCACACGCACACCCACGCATCCACTGTCACACGCACACCCACGCATCCACTGTCACACGCACACCCACGCATCCACTGTCACACGCACACCCACGCATCCACTGTCACACGCACACCCACGCATCCACTGTCACACGCACACCCACGCATCCACTGTCACACGCACACCCACGCATCCACTGTCACACGCACACCCACGCATCCACTGTCACACGCACACCCCCGCATCCACTGTCACACGCACACCCACGCATCCACTGTCACACGCACACCCACGCATCCACTGTCACACGCACACCCACGCATCCACTGTCACACGCACACCCACGCATCCACTGTCACACGCACACCCACGCATCCACTGTCACACGCACACCCACGCATCCACTGTCACACGCACACCCACGCATCCACTGTCACACGCACACCCACGCATCCACTGTCACACGCACACCCACGCATCCACTGTCACACGCACACCCACGCATCCACTGTCACACGCACACCCACGCATCCACTGTCACACGCACACCCACGCATCCACTGTCACACGCACACCCACGCATCCACTGTCACACGCACACCCACGCATCCACTGTCACACGCACACCCACGCATCCACTGTCACACGCACACCCACGCATCCACTGTCACACGCACACCCACGCATCCACTGTCACACGCACACCCACGCATCCACTGTCACACGCACACCCACGCATCCACTGTCACACGCACACCCACGCATCCACTGTCACACGCACACCCACGCATCCACTGTCACACGCACACCCACGCATCCACTGTCACACGCACACCCACGCATCCACTGTCACACGCACACCCACGCATCCACTGTCACACGCACACCCACGCATCCACTGTCACACGCACACCCACGCATCCACTGTCACACGCACACCCACGCATCCACTGTCACACGCACACCCACGCATCCACTGTCACACGCACACCCACGCATCCACTGTCACACGCACACCCACGCATCCACTGTCACACGCACACCCACGCATCCACTGTCACACGCACACCCACGCATCCACTGTCACACGCACACCCACGCATCCACTGTCACACGCACACCCACGCATCCACTGTCACACGCACACCCACGCATCCACTGTCACACGCACACCCACGCATCCACTGTCACACGCACACCCACGCATCCACTGTCACACGCACACCCACGCATCCACTGTCACACGCACACCCACGCATCCACTGTCACACGCACACCCACGCATCCACTGTCACACGCACACCCACGCATCCACTGTCACACGCACACCCACGCATCCACTGTCACACGCACACCCACGCATCCACTGTCACACGCACACCCACGCATCCACTGTCACACGCACACCCACGCATCCACTGTCACACGCACACCCACGCATCCACTGTCACACGCACACCCACGCATCCACTGTCACACGCACACCCACGCATCCACTGTCACACGCACACCCACGCATCCACTGTCACACGCACACCCACGCATCCACTGTCACACGCACACCCACGCATCCACTGTCACACGCACACCCACGCATCCACTGTCACACGCACACCCACGCATCCACTGTCACACGCACAACCACGCATCCACTGTCACACGCACACCCACGCATCCACTGTCACACGCACACCCACGCATCCACTGTCACACGCACACCCACGCATCCACTGTCACACGCACACCCACGCATCCACTGTCACACGCACACCCACGCATCCACTGTCACACGCACACCCACGCATCCACTGTCACACGCACACCCACGCATCCACTGTCACACGCACACCCACGCATCCACTGTCACACGCACACCCACGCATCCACTGTCACACGCACACCCACGCATCCACTGTCACACGCACTTTCCAAGCTCACCTCAAATCTATACTCCCCTCCCCCTCTCCCCCCCCCCAGGGCCTGCCGACCATCCGAGCCTTCTCCCAACAACGCCGCTTCCACCGCCTCTTCCTTCGCCACGTCACCGCCAACGCCACCCCGCACCTATTCTGGCTTGCCACGTGGGAGTGGCTGGGCTTCCAATTGGACCTCCTCGTTGCCGCCGCCCTGCTCTCCGCCGCCCTCGCCGCCGTGGCCCTGCGCCACTCGCTGCCGCCCGCCATGGCCGCGCTGGCTTTGTCTTATCTGCTGCAGCTACCAGACTCCCTGCGCTGGGCGCTGCAATACGGAGCAGAGCTTGAGAACACGGTGAGGCGAGAGAAAGGGTGAGGCTAATGGAGAGGGGTGCAATGGTTGTGATGTTTCTGGGTGTGAGTGAAGTGAGGGAAGGGATGAACGGAGGCAGACAGACCATGGAGGGACGGGGAAGCAAGCACCCAGGAATGCGCCCCATCTGCAGAGCAGAGTGTGCTGCAAGGGAAGCAAGCACCCATCTCCTGACTCAACCCTTATGGGATGCATTCTGATGATACACACTATTTCCACATCACATTCTCATGCCGTGAAACGGTGCGAACTTGGCAGGGAGCTCATCCCTCGTGCACAAGGTCATGCATTGTTTTCTCCCTGTACCTCAGTGACTTTTGAGTCGACTCAAAAGTCACCTTGTTTTCTCCCTGTACCTCGAATCGAACACCCCATCCATGGCAGTTCACGAGTGTTGAGCGCACACTCAAGTACACCACGATTCCAAGTGAAGTGCCCCCACCGAGCCCCAACAGTCAATCTAAGCGTCAGCAGCAGCAGCAGCCATGGCAACAGCAGCAGGTGAAGCAGCAGCAGCAGCAGCAGCATCAGCAGCAGGAGCAGCAGAAGCAGCAGCAGCAGGAAAAGTCCACCGCAAAATCCACAATATTCAGCGTGCTGCACAGAGCACTGCGAACAGCAATCAGCCTCCTTCCCCCCAAATCATTATGCGCTCACATTCCTCTCCTCCCCAACTGCCAAGCCACAAATGCAGCATCACACAGCGAGGAGGAGGGGAACAGCAGAAGCTCCCTTCGCCCCCCTTGGCCGTCAGCAGGTGCAGTGCGAGTGGAGCAGCTGACAGTGCGGTATGGCAGCACGGGGCAGGCAGTGCTGCGCAGCTTGAGCTTTCGGCTCGCAGGAGGAGAGAAGTGTGGTGTGGTGGGGCGAACAGGTGAGGCTGTGTGGGATTGCCTCTGTAGTTCAACGTACCATGATTGGGCTGGTTCAAGGTGGAGAATTCTCAAAACTGATCCAATATACCTGGTAGGGATGGTGTGATTCAGGGCTTCTGTGAAAAAGCGCTTGAAACTGTGTTGGCTGGTATGTGTTCTCTATGTGTCTGCCTCGTCTCAACCCATTAGGTGCAGGAAAATCCACACTCATGCTCGCTCTGCTGCGGTTGGTGGAAGCGTCTTCAGGGAGCATTTGCATTGACGGTGTCGACATTGCATCGCTGCCCCTAGCCACCCTGCGAAGCGAGGTAGGCTTCTTAGGCACCTCAGAGTCCTTGCATTGCTGCCTCTCGCTGCCGTGCAAAGCAAGGCAAGCCTTTGAGGCACCTCTAAAGACAATACATCGCTTTCATTTGCAACCCTGCAAAGCAAGGTAAGCATCCAAGTGGCACTTTTTAGTTGACTCAAAACTACTCTCAACCGTGCGAAAAAGGGTACGCCACAACGTAGCATTCACATCGACGGTGCCGACATTTCATTGCTGCCCCTTGCAACCCTGCGCAGTAAAGTAGCATTTCCTTTCCTCCACCCCCCCTTTCCTTTCCTCCATCTGTTGGCTACCTTATCAATAGTTACCATGCATAAATTTATTTCATCTATTGTGCATGAACTTGTGGTTTTCAATGGTCCTTCCTGTTTCAGGTGGTGGCCATTCCTCAAGAGCCGGTTCTTTTCAGCCAATCATTGCGATTCAACCTTGATCCCCTGGGGTAAGATTACTCATTCCGACCACGAATCTCAAAAGGTTCTCACCGCACCTTATGTGTGTGTTCTCATTTACTCAATCCTTCAACCTCTAGTGCACTTTCACGCTCCAAAAACCCGCTTCTTCCCCCCCATACCCTCCCATCCCGTGTCTGATCTCCCCCACCCATGCCCCAATCACAGGCAGCACAGTGACGAGGCCCTGTGGTCGGTGCTGGCAACGGTGCGCCTAAAGCCGCTGGTGGCGGGGCTGCTGGGCGGGTTGGATGGTGCCCTGGCTCAGGGCGGGGGGAACCTGTCCCTGGGGCAGAGGCAACTGCTCTGTCTTGCAAGGTAATCACATGGGGAATTCCATCGGGGGCAATCACAATGCAGGTCGTATCTCTTGTCTCAGAATCGAATATTGACCCACAGTTATCACATGGTAAACTACGTATTCTGCTTCCTCTCTTCTCTTGCTCATGGTGTTTGTTTTCCATGCAGGGCGTTGCTGGCGTCGACACGCGTGTTGCTGATGGATGAGGCGACAGCGAGCATGGATGGGGAGAGCGATGCAGTAATTAAAGACATCCTGTGGGAGTCGTTCAAGGACAGCACCGTCATCACCATTGCACACCGCCTCTCCACAGTTCTGCATTATGATCAGGCAAGCCTTTTGAGACGTCTCCAGAGTCATTCAAGGACAGCACCGTCATCACCATCGCACACCGCCTCTCCACAGTTCTGCATTATGATCAGGCAAGCCTTTTGAGACGTCTCCAGAGTCATTCAAGGACAGCACCGTCATCACCATTGCACACCGCCTCTCCACAGTTCTGCATTATGATCAGGCAAGCCTTTTGAGACGTCTCCAGAGTCATTCAAGGACAGCACCATCATCACCATTGCACACCGCCTCTCCACAGTTCTGCATTATGATCAGGCAAGCATTTTGAGACGTCTCCAGAGTCATTCAAGGACAGCACCGTCAACACCATTGCACACCGCCTCTCCACAGTTCTGCATTATGATCAGGCAAGCCTTTTGAGACGTCTCCAGAGTCATTCAAGGACAGCACCGTCATCACCATTGCACACCACCTCTCCACAGTCCTTGATTATGACCAGGCAAGTCAGAAGAGTGCCGCTTGTGCCTCTTGCTCGCATGTAATCACTCTCGTCTGTGTAAGTGCGTGTGCGCACGCACACCCTACATGTGCGCAAGTCCCACCTGCTGAAAAGCTGCCTAATGTTTTGGTTCATCGACTATCCAATCCCCATTTTTCGCAGGTTCTTGTCATGGAACGTGGGCAGAGCATTGAGTTTGGAGCTCCAGAGAATCTCAGAAAACTCAAGTCCAGTGCTTTCTTTAGTATGCTAGCAGATAATACCTCCAAGATAGAGTAAAGACCTCTACGATAGTGTACTACATTGTAATATATGTAATATACATAATTATATTATATTGTATGGCTTATGATTTTATGACCTTGCTGTCAGAAGTTTCGGTTTCAGCCATCCATACTGGAATTGGAAGGGGTTTAAAAACTTTGATATCACTACACATCATAAAAATTAACATCAATTACGGTAAGTTCCCATAAAGAAACACATATTACATACATGTGTATTGTATTGTACGACAAGAAGGGACACGATTCATCGGAGGGCAATAAGCCATCTTGATTGAGCCGGCACAAAGACAAGGCACCATGTACCGTATTACCCCGGACATACCACCCTAGGGTCCTATGATAACTACACAAAAAAAAGGGGGGGGGTCTTGTCATCGGAAAAAGCTACATTGCACCCGGGTCGTTACATAATATATATTTTTTTTAGAGCACAAAAGGTTGAGAACAAAATGTACATGTTTGACGCGGTGGTAGATTGTTGGTTGGGTGCGCAAAACCGAGGACTGGGTGATAACGTTAGTCGCGTGGGTTAGCTGCCACATTGCAAGCTCCAACAAGGCCCACAGTCAGGCCCTGGTTGGAAAGAAGACACACCCCCCAGGGCTGACGTTTCATTTCGGGCCCCCCTGATTTCGGGAAAAAAATTCAGCCAATCACGCAAATTTCTCCCATTTCCCTCCCACGCCTCACTTCCCTGGCCGGTCGAAATCAAACAGAACACACAACCAAGCTGGCAGTCGTGATTTTACTGTACTGAAGTCACACAAATTGTTGGGTCAGATCACGGTTCTTCTGAAGTTCGCCTGCCATAAAATCTGGACAAGTGTACGCGAAAGTACACGTCAGTGTGACTTGGCACCACACAGCCACGAATATCGCCCACAATGTGCCACCCAAAGTACAGTGCACGTTCGCCGTCAACCACAGTGTATATTTGCAAAAACTGCAATATTACCCGTACATAACACCCACCCCCCCGGGTGCTATATCAGATCGCCCCAAAAGGGGGGTATAGTAGAAATGAGGCCCGCTATAGCACCCCCCCCGCACAAGCCACCCGGGGGGTGCTCTATTTCGGCGGGTGGTATGTCCGGGGTAATACGGTACCTTCAGCAATATTGATCGATACGGTAATGCGCAATTGACTCTTCATTGCGGTGGGGTCAAATGGGACTGTGAGAGAGAGCATGCAGGTTCGAGCCGTGTTCTGAGTCGACTAAAAAATGCAGCTTCGAGTTGTGCCACAACCACCTTATGTTTTTTGAGAATTCTAAAAAAACATGAGCCGTGTTCTGAGTCCACTAAAAATGCAGCTTGGAGTTGTGCCACCACAACCACCGGCAGCACTTGCCCTGCCTGCTGTCCAGTCCACAACATAATACCAGTGCCAGTACCAGATTCACGATTGCATTAACAGGCTGTCAGTAAGTGGAATCTACTTTCTGAGAATTCTCACAGAACAGATTCAGCTTGACACCCCAATACAGAATACCTCTGCCAGTACCAGATATCCACGATCGCAGCAGCAGGTAGCAGGCTGTCAGTCCAGCCTACTGCAGCACTTGCCCTGCCTACTGTCCAGTCCAATGCTGCTACTGCCAGTACCAGATATCCATGGTCGTAGCAGCAGGCTCTCAGTCAGTGGGAGGGCAAGCAGCTTCGACCTGTGACTCCACTTCACAGGCTGCAGCACTCGAGGTGACATTTGAGTCGACTCATAAACCCTGTCTAAGTTGGAACCGGGCTGTGGGTGGGGGGGACTCATAAATTCTGCATTCTGTGACTCCAAACACGACACCGTAGCGCTCCAGGTAGCTTCCAAGTCGATTACAAAGTCCTAGACCCTATCTAAGTTGAAACCGGGCTGTCAGTGGGAGGGCAGGCAGCCTCCAGGCGGGTCACCACGCCGTGCAGCACTCGCTTCCTGCTCAACCGGAACTGCACCGCTGTTAGCTTCTCATCCAGCACTGGCAGAAGCACTGCACACCTGCACCGCACTCCCATCGCTGTCATCATCTCCCCTCCCATCCTCCCTCCTCTCAACCTCCCTCCTCTCAACTTCCCTCTTCTCGACCCCCCTCCTGTCAGCCTCCCTCCTGTGAGTGTCCCTCCTGCCCCGCTTCTCCCTCTCTCCCCATCTCCACCACCTCCTGTCCGCCACTCCTCACAACCCATCTCAACCTCCTCGTCCTCCCTTTTCCTCCTCTCCTCCTCATCGCCCCTCTCTTCTACCTCCTCGCCTTCCTTTGCTCCCTCTGCCTCTGCCTCTCCCCTCCTTCCCACCCGTCTCCCGTCCTCCTCTTTCCCCTCCCTCTTCCCGCACCGCTCCAGCTCCTTCAGGATCGCTTCGGCTTCCCGTTGCGCTGCCTTCTTCTTTCCTTCCTTCCCCAGTTTCCCACCCTTCACCCCCTCCCCACCACCCGCCCCCACCTTCCCGCCGCTCTTGCACCACTCCAGCTCCCTCAGGATCGCTTCGTCCTCTTCTATGCTGGTCGGCATCTGCTGCAGCCGCGCCTGCGCTAGCAGACGAATGGTGTCGGCTGCTGCTTGCAGGGCGGGCAGCATGTCAGGGGCGGGCGAGGAGAGGAACCGGCACGTGCTGTTGCTGACGGCCCATCCCAGGTAGACTGCTGAGCTGGTCAGCACTGCAGGGGGGTCTGTGTGGGAGAAATGGGAAGAGGAGGGGGAGCAAGAGGGGTTGAACTTGGGGGTGGGAGGGAAGGCGCGAGGAGAGGTGCTGGCAGGTGCTGTTGCTGACAGCCCATTCCAGGTAGACTGCTGAGCTCGTTAGCACTGCAGTGCAGGGTGGTCTGTAAAATGGGGGAAGTGCGAAGAGCAGGGGGGGGGGAGAAGGGGTGGGAGGGGGAAACGGGTGAGGAGAGGCATTGACAGATGAGGTGCTGTTACTGACTGTCTATCCCAGGTGCTGTTACTGACTGTCTATCCCAGGTGCTGTTACTGACTGTCTATCCCAGGTGCTGTTACTGACTGTCTATCCCAGGTGCTGTTACTGACTGTCTATCCCAGGTGCTGTTACTGACTGTCTATCCCAGGTGCTGTTACTGACTGTCTATCCCAGGTGCTGTTACTGACTGTCTATCCCAGGTGCTGTTACTGACTGTCTATCCCAGGTGCTGTTACTGACTGTCTATCCCAGGTGCTGTTACTGACTGTCTATCCCAGGTGCTGTTACTGACTGTCTATCCCAGGTGCTGTTACTGACTGTCTATCCCAGGTGCTGTTACTGACTGTCTATCCCAGGTGCTGTTACTGACTGTCTATCCCAGGTGCTGTTACTGACTGTCTATCCCAGGTGCTGTTACTGACTGTCTATCCCAGGTGCTGTTACTGACTGTCTATCCCAGGTGCTGTTACTGACTGTCTATCCCAGGTGCTGTTACTGACTGTCTATCCCAGGTGCTGTTACTGACTGTCTATCCCAGGTGCTGTTACTGACTGTCTATCCCAGGTGCTGTTACTGACTGTCTATCCCAGGTGCTGTTACTGACTGTCTATCCCAGGTGCTGTTACTGACTGTCTATCCCAGGTGCTGTTACTGACTGTCTATCCCAGGTGCTGTTACTGACTGTCTATCCCAGGTGCTGTTACTGACTGTCTATCCCAGGTGCTGTTACTGACTGTCTATCCCAGGTGCTGTTACTGACTGTCTATCCCAGGTGCTGTTACTGACTGTCTATCCCAGGTGCTGTTACTGACTGTCTATCCCAGGTGCTGTTACTGACTGTCTATCCCAGGTGCTGTTACTGACTGTCTATCCCAGGTGCTGTTACTGACTGTCTATCCCAGGTGCTGTTACTGACTGTCTATCCCAGGTGCTGTTACTGACTGTCTATCCCAGGTGCTGTTACTGACTGTCTATCCCAGGTGCTGTTACTGACTGTCTATCCCAGGTGCTGTTACTGACTGTCTATCCCAGGTGCTGTTACTGACTGTCTATCCCAGGTGCTGTTACTGACTGTCTATCCCAGGTGCTGTTACTGACTGTCTATCCCAGGTGCTGTTACTGACTGTCTATCCCAGGTGCTGTTACTGACTGTCTATCCCAGGTGCTGTTACTGACTGTCTATCCCAGGTGCTGTTACTGTCTATCCCAGGTGCTGTTACTGACTGTCTATCCCAGGTGCTGTTACTGACTGTCTATCCCAGGTGCTGTTACTGACTGTCTATCCCAGGTGCTGTTACTGACTGTCTATCCCAGGTGCTGTTACTGACTGTCTATCCCAGGTGCTGTTACTGACTGTCTATCCCAGGTGCTGTTACTGACTGTCTATCCCAGGTGCTGTTACTGACTATCTATCCCAGGTGCTGTTACTGACTGTCTATCCCAGGTGCTGTTACTGACTGTCTATCCCAGGTGCTGTTACTGACTGTCTATCCCAGGTGCTGTTACTGACTGTCTATCCCAGGTGCTGTTACTGACTGTCTATCCCAGGTGCTGTTACTGACTGTCTATCCCAGGTGCTGTTACTGACTGTCTATCCCAGGTGCTGTTACTGACTGTCTATCCCAGGTGCTGTTACTGACTGTCTATCCCAGGTGCTGTTACTGACTGTCTATCCCAGGTGCTGTTACTGACTGTCTATCCCAGGTGCTGTTACTGACTGTCTATCCCAGGTGCTGTTACTGACTGTCTATCCCAGGTGCTGTTACTGACTGTCTATCCCAGGTGCTGTTACTGACTGTCTATCCCAGGTGCTGTTACTGACTGTCTATCCCAGGTGCTGTTACTGACTGTCTATCCCAGGTGCTGTTACTGACTGTCTATCCCAGGTGCTGTTACTGACTGTCTATCCCAGGTGCTGTTACTGACTGTCTATCCCAGGTGCTGTTACTGACTGTCTATCCCAGGTGCTGTTACTGACTGTCTATCCCAGGTGCTGTTACTGACTGTCTATCCCATGTTATTCGTGAAGTTTATCCAAAATGCACTGCTTACTGCTTATAGACCCATCTCGTTGATGCAGCAGGTCGTAGAACACAGCAGCAAGCGCAGCAATCAGATTGGAGCCCATACCCACCTCCCTGCCCGCCTCACCTGTCCGGCCAGAGATCGCACCTCGTTGATAGTGCAAGTAGTAATACACAGCAGCAAGGGCAGCGATGAGATTGGGCTCCACGAGCCCTCTCGCCCACACCGCCACGCCCACCCTGCCCTCCTTGTCCGCCTCTGTCCTCTCCTCCACGCCCCCCAGCACCTCCTCCACCTCGCTCACTCTCCTGATCCGCTGCATCAACTCAAACGGCGGGCCGCCACTCTCCGCGGCGCTGTAGAACTTCCCACCCTCCTCCTCTCGCTCCCTCACCACGGCCTCCACTGCCCGCGCTGCCACCCGCCACAGCTGCCGCTTCAGCTGATGCAGAGGAATAGTCGTGTTCCCTGCACCAGCACCAGCGCCAGCACCAGCACCAGCGCTAGCACCACCAGCTGCTGCTGCAACACTTCCCCACACGTGCAGCAGGTTCTGTTTGACCTCTTCCCGCCAAGGAACGGAAGGGCTGGCAACACTGCCAGCTGTAGCATCAGCTGCAGCCTCGGCTGAATCCTCGGCTGTACTCTCAGAAGTGGCAGCTGTAGCAGCATCAGCAGCACTGCATGTGTGCTTCAAATTACTAGACCCAACAGCAGCAGCAGCAGCAGCAGCAGCAGCAGCAGCAGCAGCAGCAGCAGCAGCATCGCAGGCATCCTTTATCTCGTGCTTGGCAGCAGCAGAAGCAACATCGCAGCGTCCTATACTTCCTTTCTTGCTCGCCACGCCGCCACAAACAACATCATCATCACCACAACCAGCGCCACCAAAGGCAGCTGCTATGGCCTCGTCTCCTTCTCCTCCCGCTCCTCCTGCTCCTCCCTCTAACCCCCCCTGCCCTTGCTGCTGTGCTGCCAGCTCAACCCCTCGCTGCTGCTTCATCCCATGGTGGACGAGAGTGGCCACGAGGCGAACAGCGTGGGAGAGCGAGGGCAGCAGCGGCGCATGGTCGAACATGTTCCCCATCAGCACAAAGCCATACGCCTCCAGCAGATCCTCGTTGCCCCTCAGCCCGTAGCTCGTGCTCACCTCCTCTCCCCGCGCCACAGACACTGTTGCCCCAAACTCAAAGGTATCCCCATCAGCGCCAAACTGCAGGCGTGTGTGTGGTGGGTGGGGGGAGGGGGGGGGGGAGGGGGAGGGGAGGGGGGTTGTGGTTGGGGTTGGAAGAGGAGGGTGGGGGAGGGAAGTTCTGAGAGGAGGTTGAGAGTAGGAAAAGGGGGAGTGCGGGGAAGGGAGGAACGGAGTAAAAAACGACAGCACTAGTCATAGAACATTCACACGGCAAGCACAGTAGGTAGGTACCGAGTAGGCGGTTTGGTTTGGAAGCCGTCGCAGCACCGTTGAGAATTCTCAAAAGAGATCACAAAGAGCTCGATTTTCGAGATGTCTCAGAAAGGCACGGTACTGAATAAGTGATTTGGGGTTGGTTGCTGTGGTCAAAGTAATCTGCTGGCGGCAGCAGCAGCAGCAGCAGCAGCAGCAGCAGCAGCAGCAGCAGCAACAACAGCAGCAATGAATATAGCACATTCACGTCGTGGGCACGGTACCGAGTAGGCAGTTTGAAAGTCGTTGCTGTGGTCAAAGAACTCTGCAGGCGGCACCAGCAGCACCGCACTCTTCTTCAGCCGCATCTCCTCCACTGCCCCCGACGCCCCTGAACCTCCCCCTGAACGTCCCTCCGAACCTCCTCCCGACCCTCCGCCCGACCCTTCCCCGGAACCTCCCCTCCATGCTTCTACAGGTTCATCCACCGCACCAGGGTCTGTCCGTTGGTACAGCACCACATTCCCCCACCGCGGGTCCTCGAAGCCTCTGGACTGAACGACAGAGAGCGCCCACATGAACTCGTGCAGGGAGGCATTCGCCAGCACTGTTGGGCCGCAGCGGCGGTACTCAAACTCGTAGCTCGCCAGATTGTGGCGCACCTGGTGGGTTGGAGAGTGGGGGAGGGGGGGGACGCGAGGAAAGGTAGACAATGGGGGGGGAGATGATGACGTGGCTCAGCAGAGCATGTTAGAGCATGACAGAGCATGACAGAGCATGACAGAGCATGACAGAGCATGACAGAGCATGACAGAGCATGACAGATCACGACAGAGCATGACAGAGCATGACAGATCACGACAGAGCATGACAGAACTTCTAGTGTAGGCACGAGTGAAGCGAAGGCGTTTCTCACAACAATGTTCACACATAATATACTGTCTGCTCTGCACTGTAGCTTCGTTCTTCCTCTGTTGCGTCATAACCGTTTGTTTTAAGAGTATTTTTGGTAATTTCACTTGAAGGTTCCAATTTCAGCAGAACTTTCAAAAACAATAACTTTTTGCTCTCACTTCACTCTCTTCACTACCAAAACACACACACACACACACACACACACACACACACACACACACACACACACACACACACACACACACACACACACACACACACACACACACACACACACACAGCTTTTACAATCGACGGAGCCTGAAACTCCTCCAGAGTCTCCTGCTCAAAGAAGTAAGGCAGGGGAGGACGTGGCACGGCAGCAGCTGCAGGTATGGCCACGGTAGGCAGGGGGTCACTCACTCACAGCATTCACCACCACTCACTGTTTTCACGATTGAAGGGGCCTGCAGCTCCTCCAACGTCTCTTCCTCAAAGAAGTACGGCAGCGGGACGTGGCGGGGCAGCAGCTGCAGGTACGGCCACCAGAAGGACTCCGTCCTCGTTTTAAGCATCTCCCTTAGCAGCCACGCGGCTGCTACAGTGAAGGCCCACACGGGCCCGGGGTAGGGGGGTCCCCCTATGGCTTGCAGCATGGCGGGGGTGGTGACCCAGAGGGAGGAGGGGATGGAGAGCAGGACCGAGTCCTCCTCGTGATCCCTCCCTGCCCGCACTGACATCTGGCGCCTGGAATGAGCGTGAAGGGGGAGGGATGGCACAAGCGCAAAAGAAAAAACCAAGACCAATCTTGGGATCCCCTTATGAACTGAAGCATGGTGGGCGTGGTTACCCAGAGGGAGGAGGGGATGGAGAGGAGCACTGAGTCCTCCTCGTGATCCCGCCCTGCCCGCACCGATAGCTGGCGCCTGGAATGAGCATGTAAGGGAAGGGGCGGCACAAGGCACACAAGACACAGGAGCACTCGTGGGATCCAGAGGGAGGAGGGGATGGAGAGGAGCACCGAGCCCTCCTCGTGATCCCGCCCTGCCCGCACTGCCAGCTGGCGCCTGCATGCTGGGTGGCAGGGGGGAGTGCGACAAAGGAGGGCAGAGGAGGGATCGAAGGGAAAGAGAGAGGCCAAGAGCGCGGTTTGGTGTGGAGAGAGGAATTCGGTGCAGATCGGGGGAGGGAGGGTGGCATGTAAGGCATCGATTGGACATTTGCCTCGGACTCACCTCCCATCCCTCACCTGCCATAAGGGGCATGTACGGATTCGGACATGACACACATCACCCTCCTTGTGTTCAACCTACCCATTTCCCTTACATGTCGACTCAAAAATAGGCTCATCACGCCTGTCATGGATCGGACATGACATGACACACATCACCCTCCTTGTGTTCAACCCACCCATTTCCCTTACATGTCAACTCAAAAATAGGCTCATCACATCTGGCATGCATGGATCGGACATGACATGACACACATTACTCCACCCGGCTTTCCCCTCCGTGCTTTCAATCCATTTGCCCAGCTCGCCTGCTTTCAACCCAATCGGTCCGGAAGGGGGAAGGGTGGGCGGGCACGCACGGAGCATGCACGGATCCGGCATGACACGCATCACTCCACCCGACTTTCCCCTTCTTGACTTTTGAGTCGACTCAAAAGATCGGACATGACACACATCGCTCCACCCAGCTTTCCCCTCCTTGTGTTCAACCCATTTGCCTCGACTCACCTCCCGTCCCTCACCTGCTTTCCTGCCCGTCATTGCCCGTCGTCTTGTTCCAAAAGACAATCTGCCAGCACAGCACGGGCAGTGGGTCTATTTTGGTGCGACTTTTGAGAATTCTCAATAGTGGGTCTATTTATGAGTCAACTTACAAAAAGACTCGTTCCAGAAGACAATATGCAGCACAGCGTTCAAATATATATTGTGTGTAGCATGCCAACACATGTGACTGTACACCAATTGTGGTGTACAGTTGGGTTGGGACTACACCCAACTTTGGGTGTAGTCTTGCACTTTGGGGTGCCAATCCACCCAATTGTGGTGGAGCCCCCAAATGCAACCCTCTTGACTTGTGGGTACCTCGCTTCCCATCATTGAGGTTACCCCAAGCCAAGTGGGCCTAGGGTTGCCTCACTTCTACAAAGTGTGGGCAACCCAACCCACTTGACCTATGGTTCCCTCACTCCCCCAAGTGAGGTCAACCCAACCTAAGGTCACTTTCATCCTTCCCTTCCAACTTTTTCTTCCAACAATGTATGCTAGGTTGCTCCTCTAATCTAATCACTTGTTCAATTCACATGGTATAGAGCTAGTTGTTCCTAAGCCTTAACCCCCTCTCTCAAAGTTTTTCTTCCCCATGGGCCCACCCCACAGCCACAAACCCCCTACGTGTGGCTCAACCTAGCATCTCCTTGGCACGACCTACGCCGTCGCTGCCCTTCCCTCCCTCCGCCGTGATTGCGCCCTCCTCGCCTGCGGATCCCACCGCCGCGAGTGCATCACCGCCTCCCGTCGCCGCGACACACCGTCGCCGCCCCCCCCCCCCCCCCTTTTTTTTTCCGCCGCCGCGCCTTCTCCGGCGCCGCCTGCGCATCCCGCCGCGACGCCTCGTCGCCGCCTCCTCCTCCCCCTGCTGCGACCCCCCGTCGCCGTCTCCCCCCCTCCCGCCGCCGCGCCTACTTCGGCGTCGCCCGCGCATCCCTCCGCCGCGACGCCCCGTCGTCGCCTGCCCCTCCCGCTGCCGCGACGTCGCGTCGCCGCCTCCCCCTATCGCCGCCGCGCCTTCCTCGGCGCCACCTGCGCATCCCGCCTCCGCGACGCCCCGTCGTCGCCTCCCGTCCCGCCGCCGCGACTTCGCGTCGCCGCCTGCACGCCCCGTCGCCGCGACCTGCCGTCGCCGCCTACGCATCCCGCCGCCGCGACCCGCTCGTCGCCGCCTGCACGACCCGCCGCCGCGACTTCGCGTCGCCGCCTGCGCATCCCGCCGCCGCGACCTAAAGTCGCCGCCCGCGCGACCTACTGCCGCGACCTGCTCGTCGCCGCCCGCACATCCCATCGCCGCGACCTAAAAATCGCCGCCCGCGCATCCTACCGCCGCGACCTGCTCGTCGCCGCCCGCGCATCCCGCCGTCGCGCCTTCCTCGTCACCGCCCGCTCATCCCGCCGCCGCGATCTGCACGTCGCCGCCCGCGCATCCCGCCGCCGCGCCTTCCTCGTCGCCGCCCGCCCATTCCGCCGCCACGATTTGCTCGTCGCCACCCGTGCATCCCGCTGCTCCTACTTGTCCCCGCGTGCCCCCACCACCCCCCTGCAGATTCCGCCGCCGCAGCAGCCGCTCCATCCCGCAGCAGCAGCGTCATTGGCAGCAACAGCCCCGCCCACAGCTACAACTGCGTTCTCCCTCCCCTTCCCCCTTTCCTCCTCCTCCCCTCCCACGCAGCAGCAGCCGGGACAGCTCAGCAGCCACAGCAGCAACAGCGGCAGCAGCAGCAGCATCAGGAGCAGCGGCAGCAGCGGCAGCAGCAGCAGCATCAGGAGCAGCGGCAGCAGCGGCAGCAGCTGCATCCACTATCTTCCTCCCCCTTCCCCTCCTCCCCCCCCCCCCCTCCTCCCTCTCAGCAGCAGCGGCAGCAGCGGCAGCAGCGGCCGCAGCGGCAGCAGCGGCAGCGGCGGTAGCAGCAGCAGCAGCAGCAGCATCAGGAGCAGCGGCAGCAGCTGCATCCACTATCTTCCTCCCCCTTCCCCTCCTCCCCTCCCCCCCCTCCTCCCTCTCAGCAGCAGCGGCAGCAGCGGCAGCAGCAGCAGCAGCCGGAGAAGAGCTCCACTCCCCGCAGCAGCACCTCCCCCCTCCCCCCCCCCCCTCCTCTCTCTCGGCTGCCGCGGGCCCACCCGCCGTCGCCCTCCCCCTTGACCGCCGCGGGTCCACCCGCCGCCGTCCAAATCGAGGCCACCGCAGGTCCACCCGGCGTCGCCTCTCATGGCTACCACTCCTCCCCCTCTCCCCCCTCCCATTGACGCCTCCTCCGTCGACAAGCTTCAGCTTGCCGCGGACCGCTCGGCGATCAACTGGCACTCCTTCGTCGGGAGCATCCGCCGTGTTCTCCAGGATGCATTCGTCGGACCCTACTGCGTCCTCGACATCCTCCTCCGCCGCCCGCAAGCTCTCCAGCCCACGGCACCCAATCACCCCGGCGAACCCCCTCCACCCCCCATTCCTCCTGGTCCTCCTCCTGCTGAACCCACCTTGGAGATCGCCACTACCCCAGCGCTCCAGAGTGCCACCGATGCCGCCTTTCTCCACGATCGTCGCGAGTACCTCATCCGCAAGGCGGAGCATGAGGTTGCAGTCCATAACGACGACTTCGCGGTAGCGGAACGCGCCAATTGCCTGGCGCTCCTTGATGAGCCCTAGGAGCATCGCATGGGCCACTGCTGACAACCGCGCCTGCACCATCCTCCTCGGCGCACTCCCTGATACCCTCATGCGCCGTTTCCAAGCTCGCGAGATGCGCGCCTCCCTCATCTGGGCCGAGCTCCAGGCGATGTTCGAGCGTCGCGACATCAGCTCTGTCCGCGCCCTGTTCCAGGAGTACTTCTCCATCACCCTCGCCACTTGTGATGGCGCAATTGACTACGTGGGGCGCATGCAGGAGGTCGCTGATCGCCTTGCGGCACGTCAAGCTGCCCTCCCCGAGCCACTGCAAATCCACCGCCTCCTCTTCAACCTCACCCCGGACTACGAGTCCCGCCTCCATGCCTTCACTGAGGCGAACGCCTTGGTCGGCCTCAACGACGTGGTCCAGTGGATCATTGACACGGAAGTCAAGCTCCGCACCTCCGTTGTCAACCTTACCACCCCTCAGTCCTCCTCCTCCAGCTCCCTCAACGCTACGCAGCCGCGCAACCAGGGTGGTCGCAGCGGCGGCGGCGGAGGCCGTGGAGCGGGCGGCGGCGGTGGTGGTGGAGGCCGCGGTGGTGGCGGTGGTGGTGGTGGTGGTGGTGGTGGCCGTGGTGGCCGTGGTGGCGGTGGTGGTAGTGCTGTTAGCGCCCCTGCTGGAGGACCTTCCGGTGCTGGTGGTGCTCTGACTCGAGGCGGACGCCCTGGCACTCTCCCCCCATGCACATATGTGCGCCGCCATGGTCCCCATGCTGGTACCCCTTGCGGCCAGACCAACCATCCCCCCACCACGTGCTTTAAGGCAATCGTCGACGCCTGGTTTGATCGAGGCAACACTGGCACCCCTCCTCGCTGGAACTCGGTCACACCTCGCCCCTCCTTAGTGGACATTCAAACCCTCCCCTCTTTCCTTCCTGCTCACCTCCGCCTGGTTACCCCCTCCCCACCTTCACAGCTGCAGCAGTTTCAGCAGCACCAGCAGCAGCAGCACCTGTACTTCCAGCAGCAGCAGCAGCAGCAGTTTCTCCATCCCCAGCAGCCGCCGCCGCCGCAGTTCTTCCAGCCACCGCCGCAGCAGCAGCAGCAGTTCCTTCCCCCACCCTGGCAGCAGCAGCCACTCACCTTCGGCACAGCGGCCATGGCCGCTCATACCTCCCTTCCTCCTCCTCCCCCCTGGGGTTCTCTCTCCTCTGCCCCCCCCCAGTGTTCCCGATACTTCGGGTAGTTTTCTTGGTAATATCAGTGTTGCACCGTCCGTCGCTGCCATGTATCCCTCTGCTATCAATGAGACTTCGTTTCAGTATCCCGTCCCACCTCCTCCTCCCTCTTCCCCCACCCTGGACTGTCCTTGACAGTGGGGCCATTGAAACCGCACTGAAAGACGCTGGCACTCTCACCCCACTCCCACTTCCCACTCAGGTTCATGGCGATGATTCCAGCTTTTCCATTCCATGCACTCACCTCTCCACCCTCCCTTGCACTACCTTCCCCTCCGTTAAGGTCACAGGTCTCCATATCCCCACTCTCCGCAACAACCTCCTCTCCCACCGTGAGCTCCAAGGTGTTGGTATCACTGCTATTTACCCCGGTTATGCCAATTACTGTGATCTCTACCGAACATCCTCCGGCCGCTTCCTTCTCCGCATTCCGCTTTGCCCTCGCACTCGCCTCTACACACTCCGCACACCTCGCCCATCCTTCTGCCACGTCACCACTCGTGCCGGTACTTCCACCGGTCCACCTCCTCCTCCTTTACTTCCCCTTCCCCTCCCCCTCAAGTATCCTCTTCTCCCTCCCCACCGTCCTCCTCCTCCCCTCTCGTTCCTTCCTTCACCCCATCTCCCTCCTCCTCCACTACCCTCTCCCACCCTGCTGTCCTCTTACACCACAGACTCGACCATCCCAACTTCACCGCCCTTCGCACCACAGTCACCTCTCGCCTCCTCCGTAGCCTTCCTCCCGTCTTACCTCCCCTCCCCTCCTTCCCCTCTCCCCCATGCCCTTCATGCATTCACGGCAAGCTCAAACAGTCCCCCCACCACAGTCATCCCACCTTCGCCGCCGCCCCCATTGACCTTGTGCACATGGACCTCTGGGGCCCCTATCCCATCCGCTCCCGCCAGGGGCATCGGTACATGCTCGTCCTCGTTGACGACCACAGCCGGTACTCCACCACCTTCTTTCTTCACACGAAAGACCAGGTGCTGGCAGTGGTCATCAACTGGGCCGAACAGTGCCGCAATCACTTCAAACGCCCCATCGGCCGCCTTCACTCTGACGGTGGGGGTGAGTTCATCAATAACACACTTGCCACATACTGCAACACCTACGGCATCCAAAAAACCTCCACCCTTCTCCACTCCCCTCAGCAGAACGGCATTGCTGAGAGCCGCATTCGTGAGATCACCAAAATAGCTCGCTGTCTCATTGCTCATGCCTCCACCCCTCCTTCCCTCTGGAGCTATGCCCTCCTCCACGCCGCCCTTCTCCTTAATCTCCGCTCCCACCCTCAGCATCCTTCCTCCTCCTCCACAGAGCTTTGGTCCAACGCCAAACCCGACGCTGCTGGCCTTCGCGTTTGGGGCTGCAAGGCCTTCGTTCTCATCCCACCCGCCGACCGCTCCCGCGCCGCTGGCAAGCTTGCTCCTCGTGCCCTGGAATGCGTTTACCTTGGGCACAATCGCGACTCCCCAGGCTACCTCTTCCTCCACCCTCCCACCAATCGCCTCATCCGCAGCGGCGACGTCGTCTTCGACGAATCCGTTCCCTATTACTCCACTCCTCCTTCTGATCCTCTCCCTCCTCCCACTCGTCCCCTTGCTTGGACCGACACCGTCCTCCCGCCCCTTCTCCCTCCAGCCCCTCTCCTCCCACCCGTCGTCGCTCCGCTCCCGCCCTCCTCCTCCGCCGATGTCTACGACCCTACCGCACCCGCTTCCCCCGCTCACTCGGCTGCACCCCCTCCCCCCTCTCCCTCCTCCTCTCCCTCTCCCTCCTTCCGGCAGCCGGATCAGCAGCAGCAGCAGCAGCAGCAGCAGCTGGGACAGCAGCCGGGGCAGCAGCAGCAGCCGGGGCAGCAGCCGGGGCAGCAGCAGCAGCAGCAGCCGGGGCAGCAGCAGCAGCAGCAGCCGGGGCAGCAGCAGCAGCAGCAGCGGCAACTGGGACAGCACCAGCAGCAGCAGCAGCAGCAGCAGCAGCAGCAGCAGCAGCAGCAGCAGCAGCAGCAGCAACAAGGGCAGCAGCTTCAACAGCACCAGCAGCAGCAGCGGCGTCGTGCCACCTCCCGCTCCTCCCCCTTCCTCCTCCCTTACATCCATACCCGCTCAGTGGACAAAATCCTTGGGGCTCCTCCTCTTGCCTCCATTCAGCTCCTTGAGGACTCCCATGAGGAGTTTCTTAACATTCGGGAGCACACTCCGTTCCTTGCCTCCCTCTACCTTGACTTCTTGGGCTTTCCCGTCCTTGGCGCCACCACCACCCCCACCATCTTCACTCCCTCCACCTTCCAGGAAGCCATCACCTGCCCTGATGCGGATAAATGGATCGCAGCGATCTTCCTGGAGTGTGAAGCTTTCATTCGCAACGACTCCTTTGTCGATGTCCCCCTCCCTGCCGGCGCTAACCTCGTTGACGGCAAATGGGTCTTTCGGGTGAAGCAGCTGCCGGGCGAGGAACCAGTGTACAAGGCCCGCTACTGCGCCAAGGGGTTCACACAGACTTGGGCTGAGGACTACTAGTTCACCTACGCCCCCACCGCCAAACCACCCACCTTTCGCGCCGCCCTCGACATTGGTGCACGTGACAACATGGAAATCGACTCCATGGACGTCTCCAATGCATTCCTGCACGGCGACCTGCATGAGCGCATTTTCCTCCGGCGACCCCCCGGGTTCCACGCAGCCTTCCCTGAGAACACTGTCTGGCAGCTGCGTCGCCCCGTCTACGGCTTGAAGCAGGCACCGCGTGAGTGGCATGCGAAGCTGGCTGCCACCTTAGGGTCTCTCGGCTTCTCTGCTTCCCACTCCGACGCCAGCCTCTTCATCCGCTCCTCCCCCCGTCGCTTCTTCATTCTAGTATATGTGGACGACATGATCCTGCTCTCTGATACCAAGGCCGACATGGAGCAGGTGAAGCTGTCCCTGCAGCAGAGGCTCAAGTTCAAGGACCTTGGCGCCCTCACTCACTACCTCGGCATGACCATCACACGCAACCGCCCTGCTCGCACCATCACCCTCTCCCAGTCCCATTACATCGGCCAGGTCTTGGAGAAGTTCGACATGGCGCATGCCAAGCCTGTCTCCACCCCCCTCCCTTTCGGCCACCAACTCGCTCCACCCACCTCCCCCACCTCCTCCCCCCACCCTTATGCCAAGCTCGTTGGGTCCCTGATGTACGCAATGATGTGCACCCGCCCCGACCTCGCCTACCCCATCAGCGTGCTCGCTCGCTTTGTCGGCACCGGTCGTCACTCTGAGGAGCACTGGAAAGCTGCCAAGCGGGTCCTCCGCTACCTTCGCGGGACCAGGGACCTTGCCCTCACCCTTGGCGGCCCTTCCCCTCCCCTTCTCTCGGGCTTCAGTGACTCCTCATGGGCTGACACGCAGCCGGACCGCCGCTCCTCCCAGGGCTACGGCTTCACCCTTGGCAGCGGCCTCATCAGCTGGCGCTCCACCCGCTCCTCCGCCATCTCGAATGGTCCTTGCATTTCTTTGGGGGGTGGTACAACGGAAGGTGCAAAACACACAAGCACAAGCTCAACAAAAAACCGGCATCCTAACTATTCCAAGTCTCCTACCTACTCTGCCCCCCCCCCTGTCCGACCCTACTGGTCGAACGGGGCCTCAATCAACTGGTGCAGCTGTCCCTCACTGAGAGGGATGATGGGTCCTCTAAAACCGAGCTCGTCCGCCGCCAAGGCCTCATTGGTCTTGGTGCGGAGGGCGTTGGCCTGTGCCCGCTGGAGGCACACGCTCCAACGCTGGCGGTACTCCGTCAGAAGCTTCGCTGCTTCGTAGGAGGTAGGGGCTGCGTTAAACCGCAGCTTTGCCGCCAGCTCCGCGCATTGCCGCAGGTAAGCCAGCACCCCCGGCGAGGGGTAGCCGTATGTTTCCACTGCGAGCGCGTGGAACCCCACCCACGTGTTCCGCCGTGCGTACTTCTCCTCCTTTTTTGCCGCTGCCGCCCTAGCTGCCCAACCAGGAGCTCGGTTGCAGTTCTCGTCGTGGTATGACATCGGGTCCGTCACGGTCACGTCGCACATCCAAACCTCCCCGGTCAGTGGATGACGGATGGTGACATCCGCCTTTAGGTTTTCAACCAGTGAGTAGACATACGTCTCCTTATGAACCGTAAAACCCGCCTCAGCCCCGATATTTGCTATCTCATCCCGCAGAGCGTGATGGGTAGCGGTACTCCCTTTCCCCTTCTCGCAGCGCATGAGGTGGTTGGGGAGGCGGTCGTCGGGGAAGGTGGTGCGGTAGCGGCAGTCACAGCGTCTAGGCACTGGGAGGGGGAGGCCTAGGCGGAAGGCAGCTGCAGTTGAGAGCTGGGAGGGGCCCATTCGGAGCGAGGGGATGAGCGGGATCGCCAGCAGCCAATCCCCCGCTCCTGGGCCTAGCACCGACTGCATCCGTTGCGCATGGCCTGAAAGGGGGTTGGGGCGCATCCGCCTTGCCTCGCGCATGGCCCTCAAGAAGCGGCGGGAGTGAACCGCCAGCGCTAGGCTCTGCTGTAGCTTCAGTCCCTTGGGGTCTGTCTTCCCGGCCTGGAGCACCTCGAGGGCCTCGGGTGGGAGAGCTGCCTCAGCCGCGGCGAGGCGTGCAGGCAGCGCGTGCGGGGAGCCGTGGGTAGGGTCCAGTAGGGGGAGGAGCGCGGCGACAGCAGGGTGTAACGACTCCTCCAGGGAGTATAGAAGGTGGGCGGCGCTGATCACTGAAGCGAGGTAAGCGTAGCTGCCTTCAACGGCGGGGTCAGTGATGCCCAGGCCTCCCAGAGTCACGGGCAGGGCCGCCTGCCGCCAAATCCTCCGCCTCTCCCGGGCACTCCTCGGTCTCATGATGTGGGCCGAGTCCAGGAAGGTGTGTAGGAGCTGCTCCCCCCAAGCTGACCATTCCGCTTCAGGGAGAGCTTCCAGGGGGGTGGTTCTGGCCAGAAAAGAGGCTCGGCGGCTGACACAGCGGGTGAGGAGGAGGAGGCTAAGCTGGGGGTCCATCTGGGCCAGCAGGGGGAGTGGGGATGCTGCTACTGCCAGTCTCTCTCTCACGGCGCCCGCGCACCCCCGGGGTGTGCCAACCGGGCTGCCGAGAATCTGCAGTCCCTCATCAGAGATAGTAATTCCCGGGGGCACTGCAGAGGGGTCGATTGGAGCGGCGGACCACGCCGCGCATTTGGCCGGGTTGTGTACCAGGCCGAGGGCGGCAAGTGCGGATGTGAGGTGGTCGAAAGCTGCTGTGCAGGCCGAGGCGTCGCCGAGCAGCGTGATGTCATCGGCGTACGCCAGCAGGACCACCTAAGGGTGTGCCGCCGCCGTGGCAATGAGGCACGGGTGGATGCTTGCCGCGAACAGGAGGGGGCCGAGCGGGTCCCCTTGGCGAACTCCTCTGGCGCTCTGCAGCGGGGCTGCGCCGAAGTCGTGGTCGAGGTAGAGCGAGGAGGGAGCCCCGTAGGATAGGCGGACGAGGGGGATCAGCTTCTTCAGCGCCTCGTTCCTCAGTCCTTCGAACACCGCTCTCCTTTCGACCGCGTTAAAAGCGTTCGCGAGGTCGATCTGCAAGGCCACTGCAGCAGGGTGCACTTCCAGGTACGTGCGAGCGGTGTGGATAGCCGCTTCGATCCCCCCTGCTACTGCCACGCCGAATTGAAGGGGGGCAAAGTGAGTACGGCCGGCTGGCGCGGTCAGGAAGAGGGCGGCCTTTGCTATAATCCGGAGGAGACACTCCCCCACCGCTATTGGCCGCATCCCTCCTTGGGGTTTCGTAAAGGCTAGCAGGCGGGAGGCCGTGAGAAGATCCCCCGCGGCTGTTGGGAGTTTCCCTGCTAGAGCTGTGTTGGAGAGGGCGAGGAGGTGGGAGAGTACTTCAGCATTCCCTAGGGCTGCGTCGCGGATATGCTCGAAAGTGGTTCCTGAGGGGTCGGCCCCGACTCCGTTGGGGAGCTTGGCGAGGAGGCGCCTGAAGTCGCGGGCTTCGATAGTGGGTGTGTCTTCAGCCGAGGCGGTGTGGAGCCAGTCAGGGAGAAGCTGGCTGGCAGGTGGATGTCTCGTCGCGAGGGCTTCCATCACTTCAGGTGAGGCAGGTGACACAGGGGTGGCCTGGAGGGATTGGAGTGATTTTGACAGGTTACCCCGTTTTGCCAGACCTTCCGCCCGTGCCAATATTCCAGTTGTGTCGAGTGAGTGCCGAGGCTGCGGAGGCAAGGAAATCGCCTGGACAGCTTCTTCGTATAGGTCCGCTCAGAGCCCTTGGCGAAATCGCAGGAGCCGATTCATCATCGCGCTCCAGTCAGGTTTACGGGCTGACGAGGTGCGAAGGAGTATGCGCGGGAGAAAGGTCAGTAGTTTCCATCCTGGCGCAGACTCGGGATTGGCCGCCAGGTGGAGTAATGGCGTCAACATACAGATCGCGAAGGAGTCGCGAAGGTCTTTGGGGGGGTGGCGAGCGAGAGGAGGTTGGCGACTGTCACGCAGCGGGTCGAGGTCCCAGACTGCAACCTGAGCGAATAGCTCAGAGTTTTTCGTCAGGTCGTCAGGTTTGAGCATCGGGGGGGTTGGACTCGGGGCTGCGGAATTTTCATTGGCTGTTGCAGAGTCAATTCTTTCTTCTGGAGCGGCTCGATTTCCCCTCCTTGCTTGAATTCCCCCCGCGGTTCGATTCCGAGCTGAGGTTCGGTTTGCAGGTTCACCCCTGGCCTGCTGGTTTGGGAGCTCCGCTTCCCGCAGCAGCTCCAACTCTTCCTCATCCTCCTCGGCCTCTGCTTCTAACATCCCCTCGCTTTCAGGGTTAAAGGCAGGGTCCCCCTCTTCACTTTCCTCATTCTCCGCTTCCTCCTCTGCTTCCTCGCTAAGTGGTTCCACGTCGCCCTCCGCGCCGTTTCGCATCAGCCTTTCCACATTCCTCGAGTAGCCGCTTGCACCAGATCGGCGCCTGTTCGAACCTCGTGCTCCACCACCTCTTCGTCCTCTCTCGTTGCCTCGTCGTCCGCGGCGGCTGCCGCGTCCTACGCGGATTCCCCGCGTTGCTCGTCCCACAGCAGCTCCCCCGCGCCCTGTCTGCGGCGCCGCGGCCGTCTCGTTTTCGCTTCGTCGCCGCACTGGCGTCGGCTGCGGTAAGATCGGGGGTGATGGACCCATCCGTGAGACGGGATCCGGAGCTGGAGGGTTCCGCGGAGAGCTCGCTACCGCAGCCTGCGCCTGCCGGGCCTCGTCCGCGTCTCCCTGCGCACCCCTCCGCGAGCGAGCCCGTGCACCACTTCGAGCGGGTTCAAACGCTTCCCCATCGTCCTGCCGCGCGCCCCGCCTCGCCGGAGTATTCGTGGGCGCCTGCTCGTGTTGCGTCGAACCGCCCGGACGGTGAGCCGCGGCAGGAGCGCGGGTGCTCGCCTCTGCGGCACCCTCAACAGCCGCCCTCTCCTCGCCGCCCTTCTCCTGAGCGTCGCGAGCACTATCAGCGCGGGGAGGGGGGTAAGCGTTCTCCTGCACGTCCTCGCTCCCCTCGCCGCCCATCCCCTCGTGGTCAGGCAGGCCAGCGCTCACCGCGAGCGCGATCCCCCGCGCAACGTTCTCCTCGGCGATCTCCGGCGACGCGGGGGAGGGGGTCGCCTGGTCGTCGCTGGGATTCGGGTCGCCGCGAGCAGTCCCCCCCGCGTCCACATTCGGCTGGTTCCGGGGGACGGCGGGGCTGGCGGAAGGGCGGAGGGCGAGGCGGGAATGGCAACCAGCCTGATCCAGCCCTCGATCATGCTGCGGACACGTTCGTGGAGGTGGTGAGGCAGGCCCGGGCGAGTGGGGCGCCGACTCACGTCCATATTGAGGTGACCAACGGTCCCCCCATCGCCGCGGACCCAGGCCAGGTCGCTCCTCTGCGTGCGCCGACGCTGCGCGAGTATCAGCCCGCGCGTGAGGGGAGGGCTCAGTTCCGCACCCCCCGTCAGGTTCCCGGCTTCTCTGCGCCGCGCTTGGCTGTTGGCCGGACTCCTGGCTGGCCGGCGGCGTTTCCGCGCGAAGCGCAGACTGCACCTCTCCCCACTCGCGCGGGGAGAGACCCCATGCTGACCATGTGCCGGGTTCTGAATCTGGCGGAGGCGTGCGAGGTGGTGGCGAACTTGCAGCTGGCGGTGTGTGGGGCCACGAGGAGCTTTCCGAGCAGTTTTGGTCCAGGGACCCGAGGATCCTGCGTGACTTTGGCAGAATCACTCGAGTCGCCGTTGGCACCCGTGTCGGACGCGCCCGCCGGGGTAGCTCCCTTAGCCCGTACTTTCCCCCGCCACGTGGGGGATCTTGTAGGGGCTGCTCAAGCCGGGACCCCCTTGGACACGCTCCAGTCGTCGGCGCATCTCCTTCTTGCGTTGTCGGCGTGCATGCGCTCGATGCTTGAGGTGGAGGGGGCGGAGCCGTACACGATGTAGGCCTCCGCGGTGTGTAGAATTGGATGCCGCGCCTCTTGCTCCTGCCCAGCTCCTTGCCTTTGTGTGTGTGTGTGCCCTATGTAAGCCGATCCTCCGTTTTGTGTCTTGCCACCAGAAACGCGCGGCCGAAGGCCGCCGGCGCGAGCCGCGGAAAACTGAGAACACACGAAATAATGAGGAGAAGAAGGCACCAAGGGCCCTTAAATAGGCTCAGAGGAAGAGGGCCGAGGGAAGAGGAAGAGGGCTGGGTGCTAAGTCCTCTCTCTCTCTCGCTCTCTCCAGCTGCGGAAAACTGAGAACACACGAAATAATCTCTCTCTCTCCACCTGCGAAGCCGAGCTCTACGCTGGCACCATGGCCGCCCAGGAGTCGCGTTGGCTCTGCTTCCTTCTTGCCGAGCTTGGCGCCCCCCAACCGTGCCCCACTCTCTGGTGCGACAACGCCAGCACCATCCATCTCACTCAGGACCCCGTCTATCACGCCCGCTCTAAGCACATCGAGCTCCGCTACTTCTTCGTCCGCGAGCTTGTCCAGAAGGGCCTCATTGCCGTTCGCAAGATTGCGACCGAGGCCAACTTAGCTGACATCTTCACCAAGGCCCTTCTTCGCCCTGCGCACTCTGCTTTCCTCCGCCTCATTGGCCTTGCTCGCCCGGGCGCCCCTTGATTTAGGGGTTGTTCTCTTCTTGTGTTAGCATGCTAAGGGGTTGTGTTAAAACATATATTGTGTATAGCATGCCAACACATGTGACTGTACACCAATTGTGGTGTACAGTTGGGTTAAGACTACACCCGACTTTGGGTGTAGTCTTGCACTTTGGGGTGCCAATCCACCCAATTGTGGTGGAGCCCCCAAATGCAACCCTCTTGACTTGTGGGTACCTCGCTTCCCATCATTGAGGTTACCCCAAGCCAAGTGGGCCTAGGGTTGCCTCACTTCTACAAAGTGTGGGCAACCCAACCCACTTGACCTATGGTTCCCTCACTCCCCCAAGTGAGGTCAATCCAACCTATGGTCATTTTCATCCTTCCTTTCCAATCTTTTCTTCCAACAATGTATGCTAGGTTGCTCCTCTAATCTAATCACTTGTTCAATTCACACACAGCACGGGATGGTGGTGGTGATGCAACGAAAGACAATGGCATATGGCTGTGGAGTGCGTATCACAACCGCCTCGAATCACACCACACCTCAATCAATCCCCAAGCCTGCCTTTCTGTATTCCACCGTCCTATTGCCTCAGTCACAACCCGCCCGTCACAACGCACCTCAATCCCTGACCCAGGCTTGTTGTAGTCCGCCATGCCATTCGCCCGCACCCACTCCACAAACACCCTCACCCGCTCCTCCTCCCCCATCTCACCCATCCTCTTCCCCGCCACCTCACTCCACACGCCTGCCCTCCCCGTCAGCTCACTGCCGCCCCTGCCAAACCCCATCTGTCTGTCCTCTCCAATCACCCTGGCCTGTGTACCAGACCCTTTTCTTTCTTGCACGTTACCCTCCTTCCCTCCCTGCTCTCCCTCCTTTCCCTCCTCCCTCTCTCCTTCCCTCTCTGTCTCTTCCCTCCCCTCCTCGTGCTCTTCTCCCCCTTGGGACGAAACTGTTGTTGCATCTCGTTCAGCTGCTGCTGCTGCTGACGTGGCGGTTGCTGATTGGGGCTTGCAGGCGGAGGCGAGGCGATCGGAGGCAGCCAGTAGGATGCTGCGCTTGCTGGCGAGGAATCGCAGCAGCGAATGGGAGGGCGCCACGTGGGCAAGCACAGACGGCCGGCAAGCCTGCAACAGGGGCATGGCATAAATCTTTCTCTTTAGAATTCTTTATTAAAAAAAAAAAGATGCAGGATTGAAGGGGCGGATGCACAAAAGGGGTGGAATGGAAATGGGTGGAATGCACATGGCAGGAGTGCAAGAGGAGAGAAGACAGGGAGACGTGCGTTGGGGCGACATCTAATCTAAACTGCTTGCCCCCCGACCATGGGGCTCTCTACCTGTTCCATCCCCGCTATAAGCTCCCCCATCTATCTCTCACCTCGTCTGCTTGAACCGGGTCGATTCCCGCTGCTCTCCCTTCATACGCAGACCATCCCCCAACCGACCCATGCCTTTGACCCTCCTATTACTGCTCTATCCCCGCTATAACCTCCCACTGTATCCCCGCTATAACCTCCCACTGTATCCCCGCTATAACCTCCCGCTGTACCTCACCCCATCCACTTGAACCGATTCAATCACCGCTGCTCTTCCTTCCCGGCACACCATAGCCCTTCCCACCCATGCCTTCGCCCCTCCCAATGCCTGCCATTCACATTGCCTGCACCATCCCCGCTACAAGCTCCCACTGTATCCCCGCTATAAGCCCCCCCATCTATCTCTCACCTCGTCCACTTGAACCAAGTCAATCCCCGCTGCTCTCCCTTCCCGGCAAACTATCCCCTTTTCCACCCATGCTTTCGCCCCTCCCAACGCCTGCTCTATCCTCGTTAAAAGCTCCCCCACTGGCCGCTGCAAGCTGCTGACAACCACGTCTAGAATCTCAGGAAGGCTTGTCAGGAAAGCGGAGGGGGAGTAGGAGAGGGGGAGGTAGAGCGGGTGGGAGGGGAGGGAGAGCAGATGCATGTGCGTGCAGGTGGTGGTGCCGTCCAGATTCCACGCCACTGCCACACTCACCCTCGCCAGCAGCGCTGCATCGATTTCTGGGTGGGGAGAGTGGGGGAAGGTAGTGGGGAGGGGAGGGGCGGAGTGAATATGTGAAGGTGGTGGTGCCGTCCAGATTCCACGCCAGTGCCACGCTTATTCTTGCCAGCAGCGCCGCGTCGAGTTCTGGGTGGGGCGGGGGTGAAGGAAAAAGGGGAGATGCGTATTTGGGAGATGCGTGCAGGTGGAGTGGAGGCCGTCTAAATTCCACGCCAGTGCTATGCTCACCTGCGCCAGCAGTGCCGCATCGAGTCCTGGGCGGGAGAGAAATGAGTAGCAGGTGAGTGGAGAGTTGGGGTGGGGTTGAGATGAGTGCGCAATGAGCGCGGGTAGGGGTGAGGGTGAGATGAGTGTGGTGTGTGGAGTGTGCAGAGTGGGAAGAGTGAGTGAAGGAGGTGGGAAGGGAAGGGGGGCAGTATGCATGCACTGAGGGTCGAATCAGGTGTGATAACGTGTGTGTTTGCGAGTGCGAATGCGTGTGTGTGTGTGTCGGGGCGTGTAACAAGGTAAGAGTTGTGCATGGTTTTTGAGTCGACTCAAAAGAAGAGTTGTGCGTGGAGTGGAGACAAGGAGACAAGGGATGGACGCACGGGCTGCTATGCCAACAGCGCCACATCAGGGCCTGGTGGGGTCCATGTGTGTGTGTAGGGCATCGTTTGCAAGTTTGCTACCTAACACTTGGACTACCAAACAGGAGTCACATGCAAGCATGGTAGCTAGGGTAGGCCCTGACGGATCAGCACAGCATGAGGCACGAGCTAGCCTCTGCTTGCTTGTGGCCATATGTAATCGGTAGCTACCTTCCCCAGCAGTACCTTCCCCAGTAACAGCCAGCAGCACAGCGGCAGTGTACTGAGCAACGAGCTCAGGGTCCATCCTGCCATCCGCGTACACGTACAGCCCCTCCCCCCCTCCTTCGACCTCTCCCTCCTCCCCCTCCTTCATCCTTCCCTCATCCTCCCCCCCGCTGCCTCTCCCACCACCTGTCTCACTCCCCCATCCCGCCTCTCCTGCATCTCCCGCTTCTCCCCCCCCTTCCCCATCGCCACCCTCTTCCCCCTCTCCCCCCTCCCTCCCTTCTCTCTCCGCTGCCATTCTCACTCTCTTTGCCAGTCTCTCAGCCAATCTCGCTCGCATGCCCTGCCGTCGCTCCCAGAACAGCATCTGCTGCAGCACGCGCCCCATCCCTTCCAAATCCCACTCCCCATCCCCAAAGCACTCTTCCTTGCTGTTCCCCAAAGCTTCAGAAGCCTCTGCTTTGAGCTCCCCAGTCCCGTCCCCTCCACCCTCTGCCACACCACCCTCTGCCACACCCTTCCCCATGTCCCTCTGAGAAGGCCCTTGGGAGGCTTTTCCCTTTTGCTGCAACCTGTTGGGAAGGCCCCAACCCCAACGGGTGTTGGCACTTGTGTGGGTGGTGGTGATAAGGCCTTTTTTCAGGGCGGCAGAGAAGAGATGCTCTTTCACTGCCCGCACTTGCTCCACTGCCTTCCTGCCTGCTGCTGCCGCCCGCGCTTCAAAGAGCGCGCGGAAGGAAGGTTCGGGGAAGGCGGGTGTTGAGATGCTGCGAATGACGCTGAGTAGGGAGGGGAAGATCTGCAAGGAGGAAGGGGGCGGGGGGGAGGAGGGGAGAGGGGAGGGGCGCCGCAAAAGTCAACACGTGGCAAATTTCGTGACCAAACCAGCCTCCAGGCAAACGCTCTTTAAAAGAGGCACTCCGGCCAGCCGCCATGTGCTCCCACCCACCAGCACGCGGTCTCGAGTGAACAAGGACACGCTTCCCCCTTCACGACCCACCTACACCACTCACGAATCACCTGCACCGCTCAAAACCCGATTGCACTGCTCACTACCGACCTGCACCGTTTGAGAACGGACAGGCACCGCTCAGAGTATCGCGCTCCACCACTCGGTACGGACCTGCACGCGGTCAAAGGCAGAGCAGGCGGGGATGATCCCAAGGGAGAGGAAGGCATCGTCGTTCGAGAGCAGCGTGACCGGCGACACATGGCTGTCTGCCTCCTCCACCTCCCCCAGAGAAGACAAGCGCGCCCGCCCCTCCCCTTCCTCAACCTCCTCGCTCTCCAAATCTGCTGCTGTCCCCTGCGCCCCTGCATGCGCTGCTACTTGTAGCGAGTCGCGCTGTAGCGGGTCGGGCTGTAGCGGGTCGGGCAGGCCGCCGTTGAGAGGCAGCACGAGGGCAGCCCCGGTGGGAATGGCTTCTGACGCTCTCAGGTGGAACCCCGCGTGGGTGAGCTGCGGATTGCGGGGAGGTGGGAGGGAGGGGGAAGGTAAATGGGACATAGAAGGCGGAAAGCCCTCAGATGAAAGCCCGACTGGTTGAGCTGTGGGGGGGGGAGGGATGGGAGAAAGGGATGTAGGGGAAACGTATCATGAAGCTCTTGTGGGGATTGAGTTACAGGCGGATTTGGGTGGAGTTGGCAAGGGATACAAGTGGGGGAAGGGAAACGGTGGTGGAGGATTGTTGCCAGCCTCTCACCTGCCACCGCACGTTGCCATCACCTCACCTGCCACTGCACGTTCCCTTGGTTCCTCTCATTCGCCCGTGCAACAGCATTCACGAGAGGCACCACCGTCAGCTCAAACCGCCGCTGATTCTGCTTCTTCCGCCTCTTCCCTCCCTTCCTTCCGCCCTTCTTCCCGCACTTCCTCCCCCTGCCCCCCCCCTGCTCCTGTTGCTCTCCCTGCTCCCCCTGCCCCTCCGGCAGGGGCGGCAGGCGCATGGGCAGAGCCAGCGCCCTCACGGCCGCCACCGTCGCCAGAAACTGCTGCAGCGACGGCAGCGAGGGGGGGCTGCTGCTGCTGCTTCTGCTGCTGGTGCCGGTGGTGCTGCTAGTGCCAGCGCTGCTGCTAGTACGTGCGGTCCAGTTGGCATACTCCCGCTCGTACTGCTGCCTTTCTTTCACGGCCTGGCGGGGTGAGCGAGCGAGCGTTCAGAAGAAGGAGACGGACCAGGTCGCAGGGCAGGCGCAAGGAGAAGGAGAGTGAGGGTGCGGGTGACGCTGGAAAAGAATTGTGAGTCGACTCAAAAGTGAGGGTGGGGATGATGTTGGAAAAGAATAGTTGCGTGCGAGTGCATGTGAGAGCGGATTGTGAGAGCCAGATTGCGAGTGAAATGCGAAAGTACGTTTCTAGAGTGAATACTGAGGGCGAGTGGTGAGAGTGGGGAGGCAAAGTGGGGGAAGGGAGAGAAATGAGGGGATGGGAGAGGGATGGAGAGTGGGGGGAGGGAATGGGAGCACTGGAATGGAACAGCAGATTACGGGACAAGTGGATAAAAATGGAATAGGAAGGGAGTAGGGGGAGGGCGAGGGGGAGGGCGAGGGGGAGGGCGGACCTGGTGGAGGAGGGGCAGGTGGGGGAGGTCGTTTCTGAGCAAGGGCAGCAGGTGGGCCGTGCGGGACGCCAGCAGCGCCGGCAGCACAGCAGGAGTCACTTGCGCTCCCCAGCTCTCCCCTGCGCCCTCACCTTCCCCCTCCCTTTCCCCCGGCTCGCCCCCCTCCCCTTGCTGCTGCAGCAGCAGCAGGCAGGCGGCAAGGGCGCCTTCGGGGGAGGGGGGGAGGTGGGGGGAGGGCGCAGAGCAGTGCGAGGCGTTGAGCAGCAGCGGCAGGGGCAGGCGCAGCAGCAGCTGCCCCGCGCCTATGGGCGCTGCTGCTAGCAGCTGGGGGAAGAACCTGAGGAGGGGGAACGAGGGTGGGGGGAGGGGAAAGGAGGTGAGGAGAGGAATTAACGTCAGTTGGATTGGGCGCAGCAGCAGCTGCCCCGCGCCAATGGGCGCTGCTGTTAGCAGCTGGGGGAAGAACCTGAGGAAGGGGAAGGAAGGGGGGAGAGGAACGAGTAGGATAGCGAAGGGGAAGGAGAAAGGAGAGGGAGGTGCGAGCTATTAATCCCAGAGGCCGTTGCAAGAAGCTGTGGAAAGGAGCTGGTCTTCTAGAATTCTCAAAAACCACTTGCAAGAAGCTGTGGAAAGGAGAGAGGGGAAAGGAGTGGTAGTACCAGCACCCGCCTTGCCACTTGCCTGTACTTCCTCTCCTCTGTCTCCTTCGCATCTTCCTTCTCCCTCTCCGCCCCGTTGTCCCTCGTCTCCTCCTCTTTCTCCTTCTCCCCTTCCGCGTGCTCCCCCTCAGCCTCTCCCCTTCCGCGTTCTCCCCCCTCCACGTTCTCCTCCTCCGCCTTCTCCCCACCCCCATGCCCCTCTTTCCCCGTCAGCAGCACTTGCCGACCCTGCCAGTCCAAGCTAGTGTCTTCTGGAAGCTCCATCCGAAACACTCTCAACTGCATGAAAGGGTTTAGGGCATGGGCACAGGGCGCGGAGAGCTGACAAGGATGGACCCCGTATGGGTGCAGTGCAGTGCAGTGCAGTGCAGAGCCCAGGCCTCTATGGGTTGAAGAAGGTACATTGGTTGGAACAACAAGCTAAGGCGTGGGACGGGAGTGAGAGGTCTAGAGGCCTAGTCGGAGGTTCTTGTGGGAACCTTTTGTGAACATTGGCTTGATCGAGAAGGGAGGAATGGGGTCACACAAGGAGAAACGCGGCAACACCCAAGTGGTCAGAGCAGTCAAAAGCATGCAGCAGCAGCAGCAGCAGGAGGAGGAGGAGGAGGAGGAGGAGGAGGAGGAGGAGGAGGAGGAGGAGGAGGAGGAGGAGGAGGAGGAGGAGGAGGAGGAGCAAAATGGGGCAAGCTGTGCTTTTGTTCATCACTCCCGCATCCGATCCACCCACTCTATTTGAGGCGCCTCAAAAGTAGTCAAATCAGTCACCCACCCACAGGCCTTGCAGCAAGAGCGCACATTGTGCCACCCACCCACCCACCCACAGCATTGTACAGCCACAGCATGGAGCAGCATTATGCCCTTGCCTGTCATATCAGCTCCCCACCCCATGCACTCACTCGAACGCTCTCCCCCTCCAACACTTCTCCGCACGCCCCATTGGCGCGCAGCCACGTCAGCAGCTCCGCAAACCCGAAACCTTCCAGCGGGATTTCCTCCCATCCCTCCGCGCCACCCTCCGCCTCCCCCTCATCGCTCTCCGCGGAGGTTTCTCCCCCTAGCTCCCGCAGCAGCCAATCAAATCCCTCCTCGTCCGCCTCCGCATCCGCCTGCGCAACCCGCGCATGCGCGGCCCCCCAGTCAGATTCCGCTTGCGCTGCTTGCGATGCGTGCGCTACTTGCAGTTGCGCGGTGACTGAAGCGGATGAGGGGAACGTGGAGGGCGGAAGGAGAAGAAAGAAGCAGAGGAGAGACCACCAGGGGAGGAGACCAGAGCGCAAAGAACGGAGGTTGCTACGTTGGGCAGCGCAATGAGCACGTTCTCTTGCTGCTACCGCTGCTGACGTTGCTAATACAGCCATTTTTCGGAAGCTCGTACTAGACTTGCTCGTAGCGCTCTATCGTGAGGTGGACATTACAACCAACAGACGACGTGGGATGGTACAAGTAGTAGCGTTGTGCGAAGATCACGAATCGTGTAATGCCAGCACAACGGGACGGCAATGGACCGAGGGAGAACGAGAAACGGGATATCGCATGAGGATTGAGCAACCATTATGCAAGAGTTCAGACTTCCCTAGGTTCTCGAGTCTCGCGCACCTTGCGGTGAGACCGATCACAAGCTTGAGTTAGTCTAGGAATTTGAACAGTTTGGGGTTGATTGGAGCAAGATTTTTCTCGCATTGAGACGGACTCGTAATTCGATATGGTAGCGTTTGTTGCTTCATTCTACACATTCAACCACCTTTTAACGAAGAAAAGCCGAGAAGGGAGGCAGGATGGTGCTTGGTTGCTACATCTGACGTGTGTTCACGAAAAGCGAACCGCTTTCGTGATCAGACCGGTGTCGATATGGTGTCATATATGACATTTTAGGGAAGCCTTAATTGCTTCCTTCAGACCGTAACAGCCTATCACGAATTCTCTTTGCATGTGAGATCGTGTTCGACACTGACCTGGACGGATCAGCAGAAGTTGCAATCTAGCTTTAACACTGGTTCGCTGAAGACGCTCTCATTCCCAAACTTTCTCCAAGCCAGAATCACAGGAATCTGCTGATCAGTGTTGGTTTCCTTTGCAGCCATGTTTTGAAGACGCCCCGCGCCTCATCCTGCATTTTCACACAGCCCCTAAGTTCCCTGACAGAATCAGTTTTGCAGAAATTCCAAATCCACTTCGCTTCCCACGTTCCTTGCGGAGAAGCGCGTCAATATTCGGGGGCTGCTCATGGTACTCCCGTTCTCGCACGGAACACCATGAGCGATCTCCAAGATTCGCGGAGAGACGCCAGCGTTTTCCGCGGATCGTTCGTTCCCCTCCTCCTCCGCATCCCCCTCGCGCTCATCCTCTGCGCCGCTGTTCTTCCGCGCGCCTGCGGCGATGCCCCCACGTCATGTTCCGCCAGTCATTCTCCCCCCCATTCCCCTGCGCGAGGCACCTGTTCTGCCTCTACTGATGCTGACGGCATTCCCCGCTATGCTGCGCCGGTGGGGGAAGCGCCAGAGGGAGAAGCGCCAGTAAAGGAAGTGCATGTGGGCGGAAAATCAGTCGGCGGAGAAGCGAGGATTGGCGGAGCGGAAGGAGATCCATGGGAACGGTGGGGGAGCAGTGGAGAGGGGAGCGGAAGGAAGATGGAGGAAGAGTTTGATTGGCTGTTGGATGATGCTGACGAGGACGCGGATGGGGTAGAGGGAGGGGAGAACGAGGAGGATGTGACAATACGAACGAGGGAGGGTGACAGTAACGAGGAGGAGGAACAGGATAGTTATCCAACTCCTGAACTCTTGAAGGAGTCCGGATTCATGGAGTATCTTGATTGGCTGCGAGAACACGGAGTGGAGGGTGATGTGGCAGCTCCTGGTAGCCCTGTTCGCGTGAGTGAAACAAATCCGCCACTGTAGTCCTCTCTGGATCTGATTTTCTTTTTCTGACTTTGCCATCTTTCCTTCGAGCTGACACTTTTTTCTATAAACATCTTAGTTCGTTGAGTCCTGGTTTTGCTGTGTTTCCTCTTGCAGCTCATGATTCTGAGAATAGAAATGGCTGCACAAGAGGAGGACGAGGAGGAAGGGGAAGAAGAAGAGAGAGCAGACAACGACCCACCAGAGTACAGGTATTGATCAATCATTACGTCTAACAAGGTGACTTTTGAGTCAATTCAAATGTCACCTCAGAGCAGACAGCAACGACCCACCAGAGTACAGGTATCGGTCAATCATTATCATCTGCCGCACATCGCACGCTAGTGCTTCTCAGAGATTCCCGTTGCTGGCCTGGCTTCTCAGGACCATCCCATCCCATCCCATCACATCCATCCATGCAATGTTTCCGTCCATCCCTCGCATGCAGGTACCTCCCATCCCATCACAGCAGTCAGCACAGCACGCACCTTTCCCAAAGGCCAGCACCTCTTGAGATGTCTCAGCAGAATTCATCGCCTCTCTCCCTCCCTGGTCCCTCCCTCTCTCACAGGTACCACCCATCGCTGCTATCAGCTCGCACCATTCCAAAAGGCCAGCGCCTCTTGAGATGTCTCACAAATGATTGAATCTTTAACTCTCCCAACCTCCCTCTCTCACAGGTACCACCCATCGCTGCTATCAGCTCGCACCATTCCAAAAGGCCAGCGCCTCTTGAGATGTCTCACAAATTATTGAATCTGTAACTCTCCCAACCTCCCTCTCTCACAGGTACCACCCATCGCTGCTATCAGCTCGCACCATCGCAAGAGGCCAGCACCTTTTGAGATGTCTCACAAGTGATTGAATCTGTAACTCTCCCAACCTCCCGCGCTCACACCCGGGTCCCTCCCTCGCTCGCAGGTACCACCCATCTTTACAATCATCTCGCACCATCCCCAAAGGCCAGCGCCTCTTCTCTATTCCCCTCCGCCTCACCCTCTCCTCCTCTGCCTGCTCATCGTCCTCCTCGTTCCCCCTTCCTGAGCTTTCACCTGAGGGCTATCTGGCGGGCTGTATGCTGCTGCAAGCAGCTGCAAAAAGAGATCGGGCGGCAGAGAGATTGTCTTGGGCGACACTGGCAGGGGTGCTGCTGCCGCCCGTGAGTCTGGCGAGGCCGCTGCCTCTCATGCTGGATGACGACCTGCGCATGGAGCTCAGCTACAAGCCGTTGATCGACAGGGTAAGACGAGTCTAAACGGTTTATTGACAAGGTGAGACGAAAATAAATAATCGGTTGACACAAAGTGAGACAAAGCTGAGGTGTCAGGCAAACTGATCTGGACTGTATCAATATCGTGTTTCAAAAAAGGATTCATTTGCCGTTAATGTGTTCCACATTTTTCTTGTTCCTTCTTTGTTATCCCGTGCATTCACCCCTTGGGTTGGGTCCCATTCTTGCCAGCTAGACCAGCAGTTGGAGCAGTACCAAGATGAGTACGACGCGTGGGTGAACACCACTCTGAACCGATCTGCCTCCCCTGTACCTCTCTGTACCCCCTGTGTGTACACCCTGTGGGCCCCATTCTTGCCAGCTAGACCAGCAGGTGCAGCAGTACCAAGATGAGTACGACGCGTGGGTAAACGCCACTGTCAGCCAGTCTACCGCAGATGACGCGGACTTGTCTTTTGACAGCTTTCTTCAAGCTGTCGCTGCTGCTCTCTCCTTGTCTCTGCCGCTGCTGCCCCAAGCCCCGTCGCCTTCAGCACCTGAGAGTTCACCTGACAATCAACCTGCCGCTTTGGGGATGGTGCCCTTGCTGCACCTTATGAGCCGCCCTGCTCCTGTCCAGCCAACAACAATGGGAGCAACAGCTCCAGCAGCAGCAGCACCGGCGACAGCAGCGGCATCAGCAGCAGCAGAATCAGCAGCGGCAGGGGAGGCAGCACAAGCAGCAGCAGTGACGGGTGCAGCTGGGGGAGGTGGAAGCAACGTGCAGTGGCAGGTGGGTGAGGGATGGACGGGGAAGGGGGGATGAAGGGAAAGGCGAGGGGGATGAGAGGGAGGGAGGGGTCACAAGGATGGGCGGATAGAGGGACATAAGACCCAATTGCTGATTCTGATAGTAATCAGTCCTGACAGCTTGACACATGACTCGCCACTCCTTCATTCCCTTTCTTTCTGCCAACCACACACACCCATCCTCCCTTCCCTTCCACGCAATGCAGGTGTCTAACGATTCAATCAAGGTGTATGCCAGCGAGGATATCCCGGCACAATCGTAGTCACCTTCAACTATTCTCACATGCGCCTTTCTTCAAACATTCCCATCGCCCCTTCCATGCAATGCAGGTGTCTAGAGATTCAATTGAGGTCTTCGCCAGCGAGGATATCCCGGTGCACTCTCCTCTCGTCCTCGCCCCAACGCCAATGCCCACCGCTCCTACTCAACAAACAGAAACTGACGTGAATTTTGCAACACTCCTACCTCCATCTCCACCGCCTCTGCTCTCTAATGACGATGTTTACTTAAGCACTGGTACTGTTCCGCAGGACACGGCTTTCGACCGGGTCCTTCTTTTTCCCTCTCTCGCCCACACCCTCCGCTCCTTCTCTCTCGCGTTTCCCTCCACTGGCCTGCCCGCTAAACTGCCCGAGAAAGAGTTTCAGAAGAGGGCAGCGGCGCTGGAGGACCGTGTCGTTCGGGCAGTTCTTGAGGTGAAGAGAAATGTTTTAAGCGCTGCCCGAGGGGTTGGAGGAGACACAGATGGCATGACGGGTGGCAATTGGTATGGGATGGAGCGGATGTGGTTCTGGGAGATGCGACGACAGAAGCAGCTGGAGCACCAGAGGAAGAAGAAGGAAGGAGAGAAGCACCGGATGATGGGGATGGAACAGGAGGAGAACAGCAAGGAGAACGACAAGGAAGAAAAGGAGGAATCAGTGGCAGGGGGGGTGGATCCAGAGGGGCTCTTTGCGTATCCTGAAGGGCGGATTGACCCTGAGCTCCTCTCTTTCCTCACTGCCCTCGCCTATCTGCGCTCCACTGGAACAGGTGAGGCACAGCTTTGCTTGAAAAAGTGGGAGTGGAAGTGACTGTGGTGCAGGTGACAGAGGTGGGTGTGGCAGGGGAGATGGATATGGTATGGATCCAGAGGGGCCCTTTGCGTATCCTGAAGGGCGGATTGACCCTGACCTCCTTGCTTACCTCACTGCGCTTGCCTTTCTGCGCTCCATTAGAACAGGTGAGACCCGGTGCTGTTGAAAGCCAAAACCACTGGACAGGATTTATGATTGTTGAAACAATTACAAAACCCAAACCTGCAATCAATTTTTAACCCTTTCCTCTTCTTTTGGGCCTTACAGGAAGCCCAGCTCGCGTTTCATGCTCTTCCGGCCTGCTGTGTGTAGGGAGGGTGTTCTGTGCTTTTCTGAAGCCCTTATGCGTCTCAAAAGCACCCTTATCGGAAGCCCAGCTCGCGTTTCATGCTTTTTCTGTCCTGCCATTACATCCCCTGTCTGCGCGCTGTCCATCTCTATACTGATTCCGTTCTCCACACTCCACACTCATCACCCCACTTCCCACATCCAGAGCCCGACCCAGCACTGGTAGCGCGGGTGAGTGTGGCAGTGGCGTGGAATCTGGACGCCACCACCACCTGCACGCACATGCCTCTGCTCTCCCTCCCCTCCCACCCGCTCCTCCTCCCCCTTTTCTCCTCCTCCTCCTCCTCCTCCTCCTCCTCCTCCTCCTCCTCCTCCTCCTCCTCCTCCTCCTCCTCCTCCTCCTCCTCCTCCTCCTCCTCGCCCAATCACATACCGCCACCTGTCACCAGCCTGTTACCAGCGCTGCGGGCGGCAGCAGGCATGCTGAGGCGGCTGGTCGAGAAGCTTCTGGGCGGCTTCTCCTCGTCTGTGAGCGAGGATGAGTTCATGCTGACGTCAGCAGCCATCTGCAGGCGCTACCGCGATGCTGGGCGGCTGGACGAAGCCCCATCTGGGGTAGGTGCTATCTGGCTTCATGGGGTGGGGAGTAGGTGTTTCCTGGTTGGCCCCATCCAAAACCGTCGCCTCTGTCCCAACCACTCTCCCTTCCCCACCTCTCACCCCCCACAGCTCTGCCTACCGTGGTTCATGGGAGCATTAGAGGAGGTGCAGCAGGTGCTGCAGGTGAGGGCCAATAAGAAGCGGTTGCTCATCGACACCTCTGATTGGCTGCTGCTCGCCTGCGACCCCAAATACGACCTGCGATTGGACGAGCCAGAGCCAGTGACTGCAGCAGCTGCTGAGAGCAAGAGGAGAAGAGGTGACGCAGCAGCAGAGGAGGATGAAGAGGAGAGGAGTGATGAGGAGAAGTTGGGAGTGTTTTTGGAGTGGGTGCGGGGCAGGGGGATCCCTGACTTTGGCAAGCCGCGATCCACCTTCGAGGTACTAAAGAATGATTACTTGAGTATTCACGTGCTACTTGAGTCGAATCCTTCCCCTCCTTTCACTCCTTTCACTCCTTTCACATCTTTTCCTCCTTTCACACCATTCTCCCCCACCCTCCAGCAAGTTGCCTCGTATCATATCTCATCCTCTCCTCCTCCGCCCATTCTTCCCTCCTCCCTCGTTTCACTCTGTCACAAATCGTCTCTACCTGTTTCTCCTCCCTTCCCTCCCCTGTCAGGTGCATTTCCGCCCAGAGCCCAACAGCTCCCATTCACCTTCTCTCAAAGCTCACGGGGAGTTTGCAGCCTCTTTGCTGCAGGCCAAAGCACGGTCCAGGTGAGCTCTGAGGAATCTCAAGGTGTGTGATCTTGTTTGCAGCCTCTTTACTGCAGCTATATGAAAATCACTTTTTAGATTTTCAAAAGTGATTTCCATATATCACAGTCCTGGTGAGCTAGGAGGCATCTCGGAATGTGTGGTCTTCTTTGCAGCCTCTTGGCTGCAGGCCAAAGCACGGTCCAGGCGAGCCTTGTTGTGAAATAACCTAAAACGAATTACACTATGCGTGGAACTTCGACTCGTCTCCTGGCTACTTTTGAGTCGACTCAATTTTAGAATCATCACACGCGAATCACATGATGCGTGGAGCTTAGTCTCCTCTCCTCGCTACGTCAAAGCACTTCTGAACGTACCTCCTCCCCCTGTTTCTCTCCCGCCCTCATCCGCCCCTCTCTTTCTCCACCTACCCAACTCGTCATTCCCTCCACTCATCACCCCCTCAACGCAACCCAACACCTTTCTAGGAAGCAGCTGACAGTGGTAGCAGGGCAGTCAAAGAAGAAAGATCAACTTTTCCTCGCCATCCCTCGCGCCCTCTGGGTGTCAACACACACCATGGCAGAAGAAGCAGCACCCTTTGCCAACCCTGTGTGGACCCTCTTTCCCTCTCGTCCTTCCTCATCCGCCCCTCTTTCGCATCTGTCCCCCCACTTTCAATCTCCCCCACCCACTCATCTCAACCCCTGAACGCAACCCAACCCCTGACAGCGGTGGCAAGCCAGTCCAAGCCGAAAGGTCAACTTCTCCTCGCCATCCCTCACGCCCTCTGGGTGTCAACCCACACCATGGCAGAAGAAGCAGCACATTTTCCTTCTATCGAGGAGCCTTTAAGTCAACTCATAGAACTTTCTTGTCCTGCCTTCCCCCTCCCCAAACCCTGTCTCTTTCTCCTTCCCCCTCCCCAAACCCTGTCTCTTTCTCCTTCCCCCTCCCCAAACCCTGTCTCTTTCTCCTTCCCCCTCCCCAAACCCTGTCTCTTTCTCCTTCCCCCTCCCCAAACCCTGTCTCTTTCTCCTTCCCCCTCCCCAAACCCTGTCTCTTTCTCCTTCCCCCTCCCCAAACCCTGTCTCTTTCTCCTTCCCCCTCCCCAAACCCTGTCTCTTTCTCCTTCCCCCTCCCCAAACCCTGTCTCTTTCTCCTTCCCCCTCCCCAAACCCTGTCTCTTTCTCCTTCCCCCTCCCCAAACCCTGTCTCTTTCTCCTTCCCCCTCCCCAAACCCTGTCTCTTTCTCCTTCCCCCTCCCCAAACCCTGTCTCTTTCTCCTTCCCCCTCCCCAAACCCTGTCTCTTTCTCCTTCCCCCTCCCCAAACCCTGTCTCTTTCTCCTTCCCCCTCCCCAAACCCTGTCTCTTTCTCCTTCCCCCTCCCCAAACCCTGTCTCTTTCTCCTTCCCCCTCCCCAAACCCTGTCTCTTTCTCCTTCCCCCTCCCCAAACCCTGTCTCTTTCTCCTTCCCCCTCCCCAAACCCTGTCTCTTTCTCCTTCCCCCTCCCCAAACCCTGTCTCTTTCTCCTTCCCCCTCCCCAAACCCTGTCTCTTTCTCCTTCCCCCTCCCCAAACCCTGTCTCTTTCTCCTTCCCCCTCCCCAAACCCTGTCTCTTTCTCCTTCCCCCTCCCCAAACCCTGTCTCTTTCTCCTTCCCCCTCCCCAAACCCTGTCTCTTTCTCCTTCCCCCTCCCCAAACCCTGTCTCTTTCTCCTTCCCCCTCCCCAAACCCTGTCTCTTTCTCCTTCCCCCTCCCCAAACCCTGTCTCTTTCTCCTTCCCCCTCCCCAAACCCTGTCTCTTTCTCCTTCCCCCTCCCCAAACCCTGTCTCTTTCTCCTTCCCCCTCCCCAAACCCTGTCTCTTTCTCCTTCCCCCTCCCCAAACCCTGTCTCTTTCTCCTTCCCCCTCCCCAAACCCTGTCTCTTTCTCCTTCCCCCTCCCCAAACCCTGTCTCTTTCTCCTTCCCCCTCCCCAAACCCTGTCTCTTTCTCCTTCCCCCTCCCCAAACCCTGTCTCTTTCTCCTTCCCCCTCCCCAAACCCTGTCTCTTTCTCCTTCCCCCTCCCCAAACCCTGTCTCTTTCTCCTTCCCCCTCCCCAAACCCTGTCTCTTTCTCCTTCCCCCTCCCCAAACCCTGTCTCTTTCTCCTTCCCCCTCCCCAAACCCTGTCTCTTTCTCCCCAAACCCCGTCTCTTTCTCTCTCTCCCTGCGCTCAACTCGTCACCTCTCTAGGAAGCAGCTGACAGTGGTGGCAGGGCAATCGAAGAAGAAAGGCCAGCCTCCATCCCTCGCGCCCTCAGGGTGTCCACCCATATCATGGCGGAAGAAGCAGCACCCTCTCGTTTTGAGAGTTCTCAAAAGCCACCCATACCATGGCAGAGGAGGCAGCACCCTCTCCTACTATCGAGGATCCTTTGAGTCAACTTATAAACCTTTCTTGTCCTGGCCTTTCCCTCCCCTCCCCCTCTCTCTCTCCCTCTCCCCACTCTCAAACCATTACCACTCTAGGAAGCAGCTGACAGTGGTGGCAGGGCAGTCAAAGAAGAAAGGCCAGCTGCTGCTCTCCATCCCTCGGGCCCTCTGGGTATCAACTGACCTTATGGCGGAGGAAGCAGCGCCCTACGCCAACCCTGTGTGGACGCTTGCTGCCGGAGCTGCCTGGCTGCTTCGGGAGCAGGCTCGGGGGCGAGGCTCGGAGTGGTGGCCGTACCTGCAGATCCTGCCGGCCTACGTGCCTCTGCCGTACCTGTTTGATGCTGCCACGCTGGACGAGCTACAGTCACCCTCGTTTGTGGAACGCGTATGTTGGTGAGAGTTTTTGAGTCGTCTCAAAGCAACAACAAAAACTCACTCATTTCACCCTCGTTTTGTGGAACGCGTATTCAAGAGAGAAAACAACGACACCCTTCCCCCCACGACCCACCCTTCCCCCTCCCCCCCCTTCCTGGCTCACAAGTTATTGTTCCTTTCTTCCCTTCCAGCCTTTTGTGCATCTCCAACCTTTCTTCCTGTCTTTGTCATCAATATCCATTCCTGCCGCCCTCTCCCCATCAGATCTGCATGGTTCCTGAGCACTAGGAACAACAGTACAAACTCTGCCGCCCCCGTCAGTTACCCCAACGGAAGCCTGATTCTGTTTTCCCTTGTCCCTCAATCGTATCCCGCCCCTTCAGATCCGCATGGTGCGAGAGTACTACGAGCAACAGTACAAACTCTGCCGCCCGCCAGCCATCGCCTTTGCCTCGCTCCACCAATTCCTCTGGGCCCTCGCCATCATGAACTCCCGAGCCTTCTCCACTCCCGCACCTGGCCGCCGAACATCCGCCGAGCCTCACACTGACAGCCACAGTGTCAACAGTGGCACGTCAGGCTTTCCTCAAGATGAAGAGAGGGAGCAGGAGAGGGGGAGGGGGGGGATGTTAGAGCAGCTGATGGCTCTGCCTGCGTCTGAGAGGCGACGGTTTGTGGGGGAGCCAATGGCTCTGGTGCCCATTGCAGAGCTGATTGATCATCACCACCCGCACAATGCACAATACAAGGTGTGTGCGCCGTTCTATAAGCTTATGTTTGAGGCGCCTCCCACACGGTTTGTGGGGGAGCCCATGGCTCTGGTGCCCATTGCAGAGCTGATCCACCACCAGCACCCGCACAACGCGCAGTACAAGGTGCGTGCGTTGTCCTTCCCATGTTCTTATTCATCTCTAACACTCTGTAGCCTTGTCTATACACATCATTTTCCCATTGCCTTGCTGATCGACCACCACTACGGCACTACCCGCACAACGCACAGTACAAGGTGCGTCACTGTACAACATTGCAAATGCCTCTTTTGCTATAACTACCAGTATATTACATGACATAGTGCAAGGTTTTATATTCCTACTGTGTATACCTTAATATTCACATACATGTACATGTGTGCAAGTGTGTATTCCGCCATGTAAATATCGTAGGTATTTACTTTACAACAAAAAATCATACGAAGCAACACACATGCCATATGATCTCTTTAGTGTAGTATTTCATTTTCTACTTATTATTATCATTAGTTCAAGGTGGGCGATTTGATAATACAAACACTTGACAATTTCTTTATGCCATCCACCTCCCCCTATCACCCGACCAGGTGCAGCAGAACAGTTTTGACTTCTGCGCCATGGAAGAGGTTCAGCGCAATGCAGAGCTCTCCACAGTGTACAGCTACAAGCCCAACCACCACCTGCTGCTGGGCTACGTGATTCCCTGACCTAATGCGGCTGTGCCCCATTCCAATCTATTCCGCCATATCCTTCCCTACCAGGTACATGCCAGCGGTTTTGACTTCTACGCCAGGGAAGAGGTTCAGCGCGGTGCAGAGCTTTTCACAGTGTATGGGTACAAGCCCAACCACCATCTGCTGCTGGGATACGGCTTTGTTCTCGATGACAATCCCTATGACCACGTCCGGCTCTTCCCGAACCTCTCCCGAGCCATCCGAACCGTAGCCGCGGTGGTGTACCACCAGGAGGGGCAGGATGTGGGGAGAGGGATGGGGGGAGGGAGAGGTGGGGAGGTTCGTCCGGGGGAGGTGGATCTGAGGGCGGGCTTGCGCCGAGTTTGGGGCACAGGAGACCCTTTGCTGCTTCCAAGAGACGAGGAAAAGGCCGTGGGAGGGAAGGGGGGAATGGGAGGTAAAGAGGGTGTGGGAGGAATGTTGGGCGTGGGAGGAAAGGGAGGTGTGGTGCATGTGATGTGGCAGGCGGCAGCAACAGCGGTGGGTGAAGTGGTGAAGGCTCGAGAGCCTGGGGGGACGTATGCTGAAGGGAATAGCTTGCCACAGCTGCAGCTGCGACAGCGGATAGAAAAGAGGAGTGCAAGGGAAACGAGGGGGATTAGAGCGGAGCATCGTAGTGGCACAAGCACAGAGCATACAAAAGAGGTCCTTGTAAAGGAGGTGCTTGTAAAGGAGGTGTTTGTAAAGGAGGAGGACGAAGGCGTGGGAGTGTCTGTGTGGGCGGGCGGCATAGTGGAGCCAAATCTGCTTGCTGCCCTCGCTGCCAGCTGGCACGCCGTCCACGTGTCACAACGTGAGTAGCTGAAGCAATACAGATGTGAACACAGTACAGTGCGGCGTGTGTTGTAGCATATGGCTCGTGCAACCATTCTCTCTCTCCATCCCTCTATTCCGCATCTCCATCTCGTCCTCCTCTCCCAGTTTTTGATACAATCTCAACCTGCCTGCTCTTTCCCGCCCCACCTTCTCAACCTGCTGTTTCCTCCCGTCCTGTCCCCACAGGCCCAGCCACTCCAGACCCAGACTACACATGCCTGGCCGGTGCTGCCTCCTCTATGGCTGGGCCCTCTCCACCTCGCTGTAGGGATTTTTTTAGAATTCTCAAAAAAATCCTCCCGTCCTCTCCCCTCAGGCCCAGCCACTCCAGACCCAGACTACACATGCCTGGCCGGTGCTGCCTCCTCTATGGCTGGGCCCTCTCCACCTCGCTGTAGGGATTTTTTTAGAATTCTCAAAAAAATCCTCCCGACCTGTCCCCACAGGCCCAGCCACTCCAGACCCAGACTACACATCCCTGGGCGGTGCTGCCTCCTCTATGGCTGGGCCCTCTCCACCTCCTCCTTTCACCACCTTCTGCCAAGCGCCTCTTCCTTCAGGCGTCTCAACACTCTATCTCTCCCTGCTGTTCCCCTCCATTCCTTTCCCCATGTGCAGCCTCCCCTGACCCACACCCAGACTACACGTCCCTGGCCAGTGCTGCCATTCATTACGGCTGGGCCGGCCCTCTCCACCTCCTCCTGCCACCACCTCCTCTCAATCGCCTCTACCTTCAGGCATATCATAGTTTGCCATCTCTCCCCGCTGTTCCCCTCCATTCCCATGTGCAGCCTCCTCTAGCCCAGACCCAGGCTACACATCCCTGGCCAGTGCTGCCATTCATTACGGCTGGGCCCTCTCCACCTCCTCCTGCCACCACCTCCTCCCAATCGGTTCCTCCTTCACACCTGCTTTGAAAGCTGCTGCTGAGACGGTCCGGCTCTTTGCCGAGGCTCGGTTGAAGCAGTTCCCAACGAGTTTGGAAGAAGATGAGGCGGTGCTGGAGGAGCTTCGAGGATGTGAGTCGGCAGGGCGTGCGGGGTTGAAGGTGGAGGGTTGGTGTGAGGTGGTGCTGCCGGTGGTGGAGGAGAGGATTACGGCCGTTCGGTTTAGGATGCACAAGAAAAGGGTTCTCAAGGATGTGGCAGCACGATTGCGAGAAACTTGCTCTTGGGACATCAGCAAGACAGATGTGGTTCGATAGTAACGTGGCATGGCTATAGAGTCTGCATGGTGTTTACAAGGAATGTTGTTTTGTAACACGTGATATCCCAAATATAAAAATCTCCACAAAGAGAATGAGAACATGCGAAAGGTGTATTATGTTCCCTTCCCACATCACCTGACGCTGCTAGCTGAATAATATGTTTATGTGAAAAAGACAGATAGTTATTCCATGGACGAGGTGTACAGCTTAGGATCAATCTGGATTTGTGTGGATGAAGGTCCAAGTGTTGGCGAAGCAGTTCGCAGAACCCCTCCGCGTAGCCCTGCGATGCAGTTTCCCGTGGTCATCATCGAACCCAGAAGTCGCAAGAGGCAGCCAGTCGTATGAGTCGTGTACTGTCCTCGGTGCGTGTCCGATCCGCCGCTGGCGATAGCAGCAGGTTCTGCGACTACAGTCAAAGCTTCAATCAGTTCCCTCTCATCCTTCCCATCCTTCCTAGCTTTCCCTCCAACGCTCTCCCCCTGCAGCCTAAGCAACTGGTATCCCTAGGATCTGTGAACTCGTGTGCTTTGGCCTGCAGGCTTGAACTGTTCTCGTCATATTACGTTGCAGATTCTTCGTCGTCGCCTTATTGCCGGATTTTATATTAGTTTCGGTTGGGGGAGGGCCCGCGATGGCCTCGAAAAGGATTCTTAAGGAGCTGAAAGATCTTCAGAGAGACCCTCCTACATCATGCAGTGCAGGTCCAGTTGCCGAAGACATGTTTCATTGGCAAGCGACAATCATGGGTCCTCCAGATAGTCCTTACGCCGGTGGCGTCTTCCTGGTTACCATACACTTTCCTCCCGACTACCCTTTCAAGCCTCCCAAGGTACGATCTGAAATCTGTGTGTATTGAATCGCGACGTTTGATATGTATTGCTTGCCGTTTAGTTACCATATGGTTCTTCGCAGGTACCCTAAATCCGCGTGTAATGAATCGCGACGTTTAATCTGTATTGTCTCCCGATTAGTTACCATATGGTTCTTCGTGGTTACCCTCTTAAGTCATTTTCGGCAGTTCCGGTCGTCAATCATGGTCATCTGGGCTTCTTGTCTGGGAATTCTTCAGTCTCAACATTACCTACTGTCGCTCCATTACGCTCCAATATTGCAGGTCGCCTTCAGGACGAAGGTGTTTCATCCCAACATCAATAGCAACGGGAGCATTTGCTTGGACATTCTGAAGGAGCAGTGGAGTCCAGCCTTGACCATTTCTAAGGTAGTTAAATGAGGCTTTTGTTCGATGTTGTTACAATTTGGTGTTCTTTTCTAATATTTGTGCTTTTGTCCTTCGCAGGTACTTTTGTCGATTTGCTCCATGTTGACGGATCCGAACCCAGATGATCCTCTGGTTCCTGAAATCGCCCACATGTATAAGACAGACAGGCAAAAGTATGAAGCAACCGCACGTACCTGGACAGCCAAGTATGCCATGGGCTAGCCACAAAACGAGGGGGTCTACCCTCTCTTTTGTACATCCAAGCCCCTAGTTTCTGCATCAGTCATCCTACGAACAGTCTTTCCTCTTGTGATCGCTCTCCTGTTGGACCATCAACGATCAAGCAGAATGGCCTGACATCATTTCTCCATCCCATCCTCTTGAGGCTGTTATTTGAAACATGCTGTATGAGATGTGATATGATTATGGAGCTAGATGAGCTAGTTTTGGATGGTATCATCTTGAGGCATCCATGGAGATCTTGTTGATTCAAACTATTTGCAGTGGAGGAATGCATGCAGAGATTGGGTAGTTTGGTTGTCAAATGCACTCTGTGTCATCCGAGATACGGGTATGGCATCCAGACCAGACGGTTTGCCAGCCAGACATGCTGAAAGTGAGTTTGCTGCAACTGAACCTTATTCACGCAACAAGCTATTTGGAAACCTATAATGATATGTTTTTCTCAACTACAACACAAACACATGGCACAAGGTTTGCTTTGAGAGTTATTGGGGTAAAGATGCACAAGAAGAGGTGTAGTTTCATGGTTGGAGTTGTGTTCTCCTCAAGGAGAAAATGCGAATTTAAGGCAGTAGTCTTCTGCTAGAGGACAAGTTATAGCATTTTCACCCACTTCCAACAAAGCGTATGCTTTGTTTAAATGTGCCACGTCATAGAAGTGATGTGGATGGTCACCATGAATTGTCCACCCCATGCCCCACGCTGGCGTCCCCCAATCAAGGACTTGTACATCACCGAGGCGCGCCAATAACCTCGGAATCTCCCTGCCCTTTGACTGGAAGGTCTGAGATCTCTTCGCGAACAAAACCGTCGCGACACTCTTTATCTCAGCAAATCGCGTGCCTTTCTCCCACCTTGTCAGCTGTCGCGAATCTCGCAGCACCGAAGACTTCCTTCGCAAAGGCTCAGGGCCAAGGCATTATGGCTGTGGAGAATCTTTCGTTAGGCTTGACTAAGCACGCATCCTCACACTCCATTTGGCTGCAAGCTTCTGGGTTCGAGCTACAAGGTGCTGCCAGTTGGGCTTGTTTTTTGTGAATTACGCCGGCATTCAAGATCTCAGGAACTCCTTCACGAAGTCGGAAGGACTCTCAAATTGTTTCGCGTCTGGTCTCATTTCTAGGCACATGGCTACCGCGAAGTATGCCACGGGCACCTGCCTCGTAGGAGCAAGCCAGCAGAACAAGAAGCTCGCTAGCGCTTGTCAACATAGATTTGCCTCTTCGTCGGGTGGGACCAAGATCTCTTGGAGCGCTGCCGTTTCTCAGCAACTTTCAGTCCAGCAGAAGAATGGCACCAGCAAATCAAAAAATTTGAAGAGGCCAGTGACACCCCGAGCTATTTCCGATTCGGAAGCGTTTACTGATGTCTGTCTTGATCCAGAGCCCAACAAGGTGCGTGCTTGGGTTAAACTGGTCGCTCCATGTCGTTTGTTTTTGTGACTTGCTTTTGTAGATCGTGTTTGGGTGTTTCGTCTCATGCAAAGCCTGGTGCTTTGTTTCTGTCACGCAGAGTGTGCTCTCGGTGATTTTGGGTGGGGGAGCCAGTGCAAAGCTTTACCCGTTGACGAAGGAGCGAGCAACGCCTGCTGTGCCGTTGGCCGCGAATTACAGGCTGATCGACATCCCCGTTAGCAACTGCTTGAATAGTGACATAGATCGGATTTACGTTCTCACTCAGGTAACTTCGGCTGCTTTTGTTAGCCCACAGCGGCAGACAGTTTTTAACTGGGTGAAAGGTTTTTGCTTGGTGCTGATCGCGTGCTTTCGATCATGACGTTCGTTCGTTGCAACACCAACTTCATGCTTTTCTCTCAACGTTAGCTCCTTGTCTCTGTTCGCAGGTCAATTCCGCCTCGCTCAACCGTCACTGCTTCACAGCATATGCGCCGTGCCTGAGTGGTTACCAGACCAAGGGCTTCGTGGAAGTGCTCGCAGCGGAGCAGAGCCCGGATAATCCAAACTGGTTCCAGGTAAGGACCCGTGGGTTTTGACTGGCACTTGAGTTTTTAAAAGAAACCATGGAAGAGTCATAGTCGATCTTATGTAAAATAAGTCATTTTACTTTATGCTGTAACGAAGCCCCGATCGGAAACACATCATTTAATTCTTTTGACTCTGAGTGGTGTGTTCACTCTATGTCAGGGAACGGCGGATGCGGTGCGTCAGTACATATGGCTGCTGGAGGACCACAACCCGCAGGAGTATCTGATCCTCGCGGCCGACCAGCTGTACCGGTGCGATTACCGCAGAATAATCAAGTGCCACCGGGGTGCTGGTGCTGACATCACCGTCGCCGCGATCCCTGTCGACAGGTAGAGGGAATTGAATTTCAGGGATTTGATCTTGCAAGACTGTTTTCGTCTGCAAGTGCTTGCCTTTCGGTATAGAGATGGTTTTCTGACGCTTTTTCTTGGCTGGACTTGTTTAGAGAGCGGGCGACGTCCTTTGGGATCATGAAGGTTGATGAGGATGGGCGTGTGACTGAATTTGCTGAGAAGCCTCAAGGAGCAGAGCTCGACAAGATGAAGGTACGAACAGTCACCAACTGGAAGAATAATTTGGGCACTACCCAATCTTTCAATAGGCACGAATAAATTCTGTCCTGGTGATTGGCCTGGTTTTTTCTCACGAGAAGCTGACGTTGTCACAAACGTGGTTGGAATTGATTTCGTTTACATTGTCAGATGGACACAACGAACGTGGGTCTAGATCCCCAGGAGGCAGCAAAGCGGCCCTTCATAGCGTCCATGGGGATCTACGTCATCAGCAGGGAGGCTCTGCCTCGCCTGCTTCTCGAGCAATTCCCAGACGCCAATGACTTTGGCCGGGAGGTCATCCCTGCTGCCTGTGCTAATGGATCCAAGGTGAGTTAACATTGAGTCAGGCTTAAGGTCATGATCAGCAGGGAGGCTCAGCCTCGCCTGCTGCTCGAGCAGTTCCCAGACGCCAGTGACTTTGGTGGGGAGGTCGTCCCTGCTGCCTGTGCTAACGGCTCCAAGGTAAGCTGAAAATGAGAAAGACTTGAAATCGTCATGAGCAGGGATAGCCTGCCTCGCTTGCTGCTCGAGCAATCCCAGACGCCAATGACTTTCGCGGAGAGGTTATTCCTGGTGCATGTGTTAATGGCTCCAAGGTTAGTCGATTGGGACAGACTTCTCCTAACCTTTCCCCACCCCTCCCCTTCTCCCCCCACATCACTCCCCTCCCTCCCCTTCCATTCCTTTCCGTCCCTCCTATATCCATTCCCCCTGTCCCACCCCCAAAACCCATTTCCGTTCCCCTTTCTCCCTGTCTGTATCAAGTGCATCAGGTGCAAGCGTGTATCTATGATGGGTACTGGGAGGACATGGGTCAAATCAAGAGTCCCTTTTTTGCCCGTTCTCCCTGTCTGTGTGTGTCCTGCTTGCATCAGGTGCAAGCTTACATCTATGATGGGTACTGGGAGGACATTGGGTCCATTGATGCGTTTTACCACGCCAACCTCAGACTCACCAAGCCTAACCCCCCCTTCACGTGAGTTAAGTCACGTACTGATACTTTCAGTGTAATTCGAGTGTACATGAGGTGCAAACGTACTTCTATGATGGGTACTGGGAGGATATTGATTTTCTTTTATGCCTTGTATCACGCCAACCTCAGGCTCACCAACCCCAACCCCCCCCTTCACGTGAGAGAAATTCCACCACGATGTTTTAGTCGGGCTTAATTAAAATACACCATTCCGAGCCCTTCCTTACACATGAGTGGAATTGCGTTACAATTCTCAGTCAGGCTCGATCATGGGCTCACCAAGCTGGACCCACGGGATCCCCTCTTCGTGTTTGAGAATTCCCATCATGACCAAGTTAGTTCCCCCTTGAGGGTTCTGTCTGTCGCTGTGTCTCGCACATCGGTCGTACTCCTTGTACTGTTTCTCTCATGTGTTTAATCTCCTGGTCATTCACTTTCACGTCTTGTCTGTACCTCCTTGTAAAAACTGTGCTGTGCAGGTTCTATGATCGGTCGGCGCCCATTTTCACTCAGTCCCGCTCTCTGCCTCCTTCCAAGCTGAACAACGTTGACATTTCTGGCAGCGTTATTGGGGAAGGCTGCATCTTGCAGGTATGCACTCATTCCGTGCTCGTTGGACTTCTCCATTCCTAGTTAAATTCGCATGAGTTAATTGTCAACCTATTCGCCGCAACCACCATCCAATGCATGATGGTGGTCCGGAAATTGGGCTCCCAAAGACGTGGACTTGCTGCCTCATTAGCTATTTGCAACTTTCCTATCTATGTCACTGTATCTAATCTTTGCCACTGTCACTGTCTCTGACTCTCAGGAGTGCGCCATTCACGACTCAATGGTGGGCCTGCGGTCGATAGTTGGTGCAGGGTCATCCATCCACGACAGCTTGCTGCTAGGAGCTGACTACTACGAGGTACTTGTTCAATGATTTCTGTTAATGATTTTTTTTCCAAGTGTATTTCGCTGTCAGCTCATTTTTTTTCTTACAGATGCTCTCTCAGCCTGCTTAATTCACATCAGACTCTTTTCATGGATGTTGCAACTTACCCCGCTGGTCATTTGCAGGATGAGGATGAGTTGCAGAGGGTACTTGCATCTGGCCAGTTGCCCATTGGTGTTGGGCGGAATTCCGTCATCAAGGGAGCTATCCTAGACAAGAACGCGCGAATCGGAGACAACGTGCATGTAGGAAACTATTTGTGCTTTAACCACTCTCTGTTCAGAAAGGAATTAGCTTAGCTTATCTGAGTGAACCTTCCCCTGTTTGTGTTCTCTCTTCCAGATTATCAACAAGGACGGAGTTCAAGAGTCTATTCAGGAAGATTCTGGCTTTGTCATCAACAAGGGGATTGTTACCGTGTTGAGGAATGCAACCATTCCATCTGGTTCGGTCATTTAGTCAAGCTTTCATTTGAGTTGTCCAATGGAGAATAAAGTTTGGGTAGGGTGTAATAGCTCGTAGACGTTTCGTGTTGTGATGCTAGTTAAGGTGTATATGGAGAATTTTCATGTAAACTAGATAAAGGAAGGGCAGCCAACTCAGCGCCCCTGCCCTCATAACTAAACATGTTTCACTAATTTCGTTGTAAATACCCAACGAAAGGTAATTTCGAATTACGCAGTAGGGAGGAAATGACAACGATGCGTCAAATGCGTGGCACACGAATGAAATACGAGATGAGCTCGGTCTGGTTGGTTGCCTGCCTAACAATCTCGTGGCTTGCCAGATGCGCACGCACGATTGGGTGCTGTGCATCACATACTTACAGCCAGCTGCGCGGCAATGACTCGGATTGGCAGGCCACTTGTAAAGCTTTGTTTCTTTGTTTGTAGACGTCCAGTAGGCGACCAGTCTTGTGGTGCTACGTTTCTGTTTGTGCTGCTGTGCTCATCGCTCATGGGCTTGCTCTCACAGGGAAATCACGGAAGGCGAAAAATCGTTGTATTCCGTGAGCAAACAGGTTGTCTCTGGGAACAGATTGGTGTCGAAGAATCTAGCAAACGTAGCCATACGTGCAAGTTTTGGTCAATCGTGGTTCCCGTTTAGCAGGCGTTACGCAAAGGTCTGTTCTTGAACGATTCGTTAGGCGAATATGTCGTAGTTTAGCCACAGCAGAATACTTCCTTCTACTGAATTATTGGTCTCAGTAGTGGCCTTGTGGCGACGCGAGTAGAACAGTGGTCGGAATCGCCTGGTTCACGGTTGGCGGACGGTGTTCGACACTGCGTTTGCCTGTGGCGACAATCCCGAGGGTCTGTTTACCAAGTTCCTTCTGCCCAAAAGCATCAGGAGCCCATCATCCTATCCATGGAGGCATTCGGAAGACATAACCATCAGGCGAGTCTCAGCAGCTCGTGTTTATTGTACATGTTAAAACCTATTCGTTCAGCCGAGATTACGTCTTCTTTGTTGGCACACATGATGTGACATTGACACGCACGATTGAATCTCTTCTACTCTTTCACATCCTTACCCTCCCGTCCTTTTTTTCCGTTTACGAATTGTTTCGCGTACTGGCATTCATATCAGGGCTCTCAGGGCTCGCGGCTCGCAGCCGCGTCGGCACGAGAGGAAGAGTGGGACCTGTGCGAGGATTTCCGGGAAGATCTAGGGGATGACCGCAGAGACGATCGCACAGATAGTCGCAGAGATGATCGCAGAGCTGATCGCAGAGATGATCGCAGAGATGATATCAGCGGCGATCGCGGCGGCGGTTCCCGTGGGGACGTGTGTGAAACCCTACGCGACGATTGGACCGCCGTGTGTGAACCGCCGATTCATCCTCACCACCCTCTCGATCGCTCCATAGGCGGCCCGTTGGATCAATCCGGGAGATCGCCACCGTTGATAGGAGGGGAGTCAGCGCGGATAGGTCCGGCTGCTGACACGTGTCAAGAGTCGGTGCGGATAGGCCCTGCTCCGTCGGCATCGGAGGTGGCTCACGCGGCGAGGCAACTCCACGCGAGCATTCAGTCGCTTCCCAGGTGCGCTTGATCATAAGAACGAGGTTTTACAGCTGTCTGAGGCGCGTAAGAGTTCCGGAACGTTTCAACAGGTGAAGCAGCTGCACACGAGCATTCAGTCGCTTCTTAGGTGAGAATGATGGTTGAAAAAGAAACAAGGTAGCGATCTGAGGCCTCTTAAGAAGCAAAGAACTTTTACCGCCTCCCTAGGTGAGAATCATGAAAGAAATGGAACCAAACAGGGTATATTCAGTCTTGGGAGATTTTTTGAAATGCTGTTCAACTTACGGCAGCGTTCAGTCGCTTCCCAGGTGAGATGAACTACAGAGATGGAACCAAGCAGGGTATAAGCTCAGCAGGCGATATATGCCCGCTAGGTTAGGTACACGCACAGCCGTGATCTGGTCTGGTCCATGAACAGCAAGGCAGCTCCGCACTGCACAGTGCGTTTCATTCTCAGTTGTTTCATTCTCAGTTGTTTCTTGAGTCAACTTCATAAAAGGTGGCTTGCCCTGCACAATGTGCGATTTGGGACTTAGTAATGCTGAAATACCAGGGTGGAGAGGAGGGGTTCAGAGGTAGGGAAACATGACGGGCTGAGGACGCAGAGAGGTGCAGATATGATTACGAGGGGGAGGAAGGCGTGAAAATTAGATGCTGGTTCACGAATTTGGTGATTGGTCCCTGGCACGGTTACTTCTGGCTTGTCAGGTTGTTGCCTTGCCTCCCTTGCCGAGCCTGATACCAGCACTGTACCCTCCCCATTCCAACCTGCTCATTCCTGCCTGCAGCCACTCCGTGTCGGCCAATCAGCTGGTGACAGATGTGCGCAGAAGAGCCGTGCAGGAGGGCGGGCGGGACAGGCGTGTGCTGGTGGTCTCACACGCCTTGGAGCTCTTCTCTAGGGATGCAGAGTTACAGGTAGGGCCTTATTTTTCCCCTAGCAGCTCATGAATCTCTCTCTCAGGCGTGTGCTGGTGATCTCACGCGCCTTGGAGCTACAGGTGGGAGAACTCCCTATCATCGCTTCTGGTCATCCTTCCATGTCTCTCCACACAGAGAATAGCCACGTGTAGAGAGGGTGTTTTTAAGACGTCTCAAAAAAACCCTCTCTACACGCCTCGGAGCTACAGGTGGGAGAACTCCCTATCATCACTTCTGGACATCCTTCCATGTCTCTCCACACTTTTTGACACAAGAAAGAGCCCCTTTCCACCTTCCTTCTTCCCCTGCAGAGCGCAGAGACGTCAGTGGCTCGCGACCCAGCAGTGTGGACGAATTTAGGGACGTCTCAAAACAGAGTTGCGTTTCATCCTTTCCTCTCTCTCCCTCCTTACAGAGCGCAGTGACATCAGTGGCTCGCGACCCGGCAGTGTGAGCGAATTTAGGGACGTCTTAAAACAGAGTTCCGTGTCACCCTTTCCTCTCTCTCCCTCCTTACAGAGCGCAGTGACGTCAGTGGCTCGCGACCCGGCAGTGTGGGCGGCCATAGGCAGCAACCCAGACGTGCAACGGCTGATTGGTCGCAGGAGAAGGAATAGAGCGCCTGCGCTTTCCCTCACCTCTGCTGCTGCTGCTGCTGCTCCTGGTACTGATACGGTTTCTGCTGCTGCTGATACTGCTGCAGTTTCTGCCGCTGTTGATAATGGTGGGGCCGGAGTGTTGCGCAGTGGTTGTGAAGTAGAAGAAGAGAGGGAAACAGGCACAAGGGCTGGGAGGAGCAGAGGAACCAGGAGGGCTGATGATTCGCAGAGCAGGCTATTAGGAAATTGGGAAGCTACCCTGCTTCCCTGTAGTACAGGTACGCACTCTTGAGACTTCTCAAAAGAAATCGGGAGGCTGCCCTGCTTCCCTGTAGTGCAGGTACGTCGGCTCTTTGTTTTGTTGTGGGAAAGGTACATTGATTTTTTTTTTTGTGGTGAAGGTAGTCCATGCATGGACTGCGATAATGGCACGTCGACACGGCACCTGTTCTGTTACAAATCCCTGGCCGAGGGACGGTACAGGCCTGCATGTCTCTTGTTGAGTCGCCTTATGGTCACTTTTGAGAGTTTTCAAACTAATTTCTCACAAAGGGGCCCTTGTTGTGCGATCAGTGTCTCATTGAGACAAGTACAGGTGTGCGTTTCTCTGTTTTTCTTCTTCTTCTTATTCGAGGAAGACAGCATTAGCAAGGGGTTGCCATGCTTTTTTGCTTTCCGCTTCCATATTCTGCCTTGGGCCTTGACCTCTCCTCTCCTCTGCTCATTCATTCTCTATGTGCCTGATGTCCATGTGCCTGTTGTCCATGTGTGTTGCTTTGGAAGAGCAGTGGCCGAATTAGCAGCAGCAGGAGCAGTGGAAACTGCTGCAGAAACAGCAGCAGTAGCAAGGGAAGAAACTGCAACAGCAGTAATGGCTGCTGCAGCAACAGCAGCAGAAGCAGGAACAACAGTAGGCGCAGTGGCAGAAGCCGTAGCAGCAAGCATTGGAGTGCCAGTGCCAGTAGCAGAGGCTGCCAAACCAGGACTTGCCAACAGAGCAACAGGCAGAAACTCAGCATCAACACCACTGCCACGACCGGCATTGTCACTACCACAAGCCACTCGAGACTCCAGCTCCTCTCGACCGCTCGTACCTTTTGAGAATGCTCCCGCACGATCACCGCCCGCGTCCCCGCCGTCGCCATCAGTGGTATCCGTGGTTTCTCACTTGCTGGACCAGCTCTCGTCCTTGCCAGGGTCTGCTTGGGGCTCGCTGCTGCTCCTGCTGGGTGCTGATCATCATGCTTCTTTCGAGCAGATGAGCGGGAGCAGCGAGGAGGGGTCTGACGGGGAGGAGGAGGAAGAGGGGAAAGAAGAGGAGGAGGAAGAGGGGGGACGTGGGAGTTATCAGCAGCAGCTGTGTGGTAGTTTGCATAGTACCCACCGAGCTGCTCCCGCTGCTGCTGTTCAACATAGTTACAGAGGTAAATTTGGCGAGGAGGGGGGTGAGGAGGAGGAAGGAGATAGTGGGGGCGGTGGGGGCTGTATGGAAGGGGACCATGGAGGAGAAGGAGAGCATGGAGGAGAAGGAGAGCACGGAGGGCCGGAAGTGGTGCCAGCAGTGGCAGTTCTTGTGATTCTCCTGCTCGGGATTATCGTGTTCAACAGGCCGCTCTCTTGACGAGGGGTACAAGCTGAAAGGAGTCATGGAATGCTGTTGCCAATCCCCTGCCCAGCATGAACGCAGGGGTAGCAGGG